CGCTCCCTTCGCAGTCAGCTTGGGCAAAGGGCCCGCCGCAGAGCAATTCATCCGCAGCTCCTTCGCCGCGATCGCAGTCTCCCGCTCCTACTCATGTTGCATCTCCAATAGCTATTTCTCACTCGAGACGTCCAAGTGCGTTAGGCCAGGGCGTGTCCGTAAAAGATGGTGTCTCAGTCCCTCGAAATAATGTGGGATCAGTAGTACGACCAGGTTTGATTTATTATTACTCCAAAACAATTTCTAGTTCTAACTGTTACTCTTAGCATCCGTTGTGTTTGGATCAATAGATGATGCCTCGGCCCCGTTATCTTCATCACCGGCTGCCATTCCCGCTGTAAAAACCGAAGTCGTAAAGTCTTTCGGATCCGTACCTGCTACGTCTTCCAACCATGTAAATGGCAAAACTTCAGCTTCCGCATCGGCCACAGGGTCGTCGAAGCAGCCTCCACGACCTTCCCTATCATCAACACCCTCCAACTCCAGTGCGCTATCCTCAACGGCCGCAACATCAACCGCATCTACGCCTAAACCGTCTAGAGCAGACATTACAAAGCTCTTCCAGAATCCCTCGTCATCGTCTTCCCAGCCGTCTTCTGACACATCCTCTCCTTCCACTCGGCCCTCTAATTTACCTCCACATCACCAGCCATCGTCATCTTCGTCACAACAGCCACAGCAACCCTCGCAACTGGGCACACATTCATATTCGCAGTTCGTGCCAAATAACATGCGCCCACCGCAGCAGCCTTCTGGCACCCCACGTTCCCCTGCATTCTCTCGTGCTGTGCCAAACGTGCAAGGCCAGTCTCGACAGGGAGCTGGCCCAGGGGGTCCCGGTGGCCCACCTATCCCTGCCAGTCCCCGAATGGCTCCGCACCCACATCAAGCACCTCCTGGAGGTATAGCGCCGCAGGTACCCATGCAGCCTATGTCATGGGGCGGATACTATGTTAGTACTCCATTTTTCTAAATATCTTTATCAATTGTGTTAACGTAATCCAAGTATATGGACCCATATCAACCACAACCTCCTTGGGGGTATTATGCTATGCCCTCCCAACATATGCATCAACAGCCCCACCCGCAACATGTCCCTCATGTCCCCCCTCCCCATCAACCTGGACCTCTTCCCATGTCACCTCGCCCCGCAGCCCCCCAACTACCTGGCACACCCACCATGGCACACGCTATCCCGCATCCTCCTCATACACCTCAACCGCCTCCCTCCATGTCATCTCCACCGCCCACACCTTCCACCGCCAACGCACCTCGCCTTAACACGAACGCTCGCGACTTTGTTCCTGGCGGACGCTCTACATCCAAGGTTACCATCAAGAGCCAGGATGGCATGGAGGTGACGCTTGATGCTCTCAAGAAGCACAGCCCCCAACCACCAACTGTTCCTATCCCACCAGCATCGCCTGTTGTGAACAATCGGCGGCAACCTTCGGTTTCGGTACGCATCGAGAGCGAGGAATCGAAGCGCGCAAGAGAGGAGAATGCACGTAAAGAGCAGGAGAAGAGGGAGGAGGAGGAGCGTGCGAAGAAGGATGCTATAGAGAAGAAGAAGCGCGAAGCAGAGGAAGAGGCTAAGCGGTTGGAGGAGGAAGAGGCAGCACGCAAGAGGAAGGCTGAGGAGGACCGGATACGCATGGAAGAGGAAGAAAAGAAGCGGATACGACAAGCAGAGGAAGAGGAGAAGGAGCGCCTACGCCAGGAGGAGGAAGACCGTCTTGAGGCAGAGCGGCAGGAGGCAGAGCAAGCACGCATTGCACTGGAAGAGGAGGAACGGAAACAGCAAGATGCTCTTGAGGCAGAGGAAGCTCAGCTTGAAGCTGAAGAAGCTGAAGATATCGTTCAGACTCCATCACCCGTCAGCGAGTCTCAAGAGCCAGAGGATGGCGAAGTCTCCGAGCATGACGAAACTCCTGTGCCTCAGCTTAACGGCGATAGCGGGAAGAAATTGAAGGAGTCACTTCGGATAGATACGTCTGCGATGCCCCCTCCCACTGAGATTCCACGAAGACGTCCTGGGCCTCTTGACCTTGCTTCAGCGAAGAGAGATATTTCCGCCCCTCCCCCTTCTGCACTCCTCACCGCACGTGTAATCGAGAATCTCAACGAGGTTGCATACCCCGAAGGCATCAAGAGCCCGAGGGTTGAGCTCAATGCGAATGTCAAGGATGGCCGATTCAGGTGTGTTTCACCTCTTTCACTTTGAATATCTTATTCATTGCTTTGTGTAGATACGACCGTGATTTCCTAATGCAGTTCATGCACATTTGCAAGGAGAAGCCACCTACCCTTCCTGCTCTCGATGTTCTTGGCATTGAACCCGTTGATCAAGTTTCGTTTCCCATGGCTCGTGGTGGCTCTGGACGTCATCGCAATGCCTCTGGTGCGATGCCCGTGTCTGCCAATCGCCAGGCTTCTGTAGGGCTGGGCATCGGTGGTTTCCAGAAACCCTCTATTCCAAGTGGTTTCCAGATGGGCAATTTCCAGTCTCCAGCAAGCAAACTTACCAGTGACGAGCGGTTTGCCATGTCCAACACCCGTTCTGCTTCAACCAGCAGTGCTTCTTCCTCATTCCGTTCCACGATGGTGCGCACACCTAGCACAGGTGGGCCAGGGCATCCCAACCGCATACGCAGTAAACGCGGTGAGAGGCGTGGTGATGCCAATAAGACACCAATGTCCCAGGACGAGCATGGTTCTGGCTTTGGTGTTGCACCTATCCTGGGCGCTGGCTTCGAGCCCGTTGCACCTCTGGAATTGTCTGCCAACCGTTGGGTCCCTACGAGTACGGCCCGCAAGGCTCAGCCTGATATTGACTCACCCGAGCTGGTGGACCGTAAGGTCAAGGCGCTGCTCAACAAGCTTACGATGGAGAAGTTCGAGACGATTTCGGATCAGATCATTCATTGGGCCAACAAGAGCGTGAATGAGAAGGACGGGCGGACGCTCATTCAAGTCATCCGGCTGGTGTTCGAGAAGGCGACTGATGAGGCCGCTTGGAGCGAGATGTACGCGCGGTTGTGTCGGAAGATGATGGAGCAGATCAGTCCTGAAGTGCAGGATGATGGGATCAAGAACACAGAGGGCAAGCCTATTGCTGGCGGACAGCTGTTCCGCAAGTATCTCCTTAACCGGTGTCAAGAAGACTTTGAGCGCGGATGGTTCGCCAAGGAAGCTACTGCTGCAGCCGCTGCGGCGAAGGCTTCCGACGATCATGCAACCAAGGCTGCTAACGACAAAAAGAGCACCGAGGAAGCTGAGCTGTATTCGGATGAGTACTATGCTGCACAGAAAGCGAAGCGCCAGGGTCTTGGTCTGATCAAGTTCATCGGCGAGCTGTTCAAGCTGCAGATGCTCACAGAGCGTATCATGCACGAGTGTGTCAAGAAGCTGCTGGGCAACGTCGAGAATCCCGAGGAAGAAGAGATTGAGAGTTTGTGTCAGCTGTTGAAGACGGTTGGCCAGTTGCTTGACACGCCGAAAGCCCGCGCGCATATGGATGTTTACTTCACACGCATGAAGGAGCTTGGCAAGAGCCTGAACGTCAGCTCTCGTATGCAGTTCATGCTTCAGGTGTGTAGCAATGTTTTCTCTTTGTCGGTCGTGCTCATCAACGTGATCTCAGGACGTCATTGAGTTGCGTGACCGAAAATGGATCAGCCGGAATGCTGTTGCTGCACCTACGACAATTGCTGCTGTTCACGAGTTGGTAAGATAGACTGGCATCTCCGGAAACATTTGTATTGACGCTTGTGTTACAGGCTGCTAAGGAGAAAGCAGCTGCAGAGAAGGAGTCCTTCAACCGTCAGATAAGTATGTCCCGCGGTGGATCTCGACGCGGCGACAACCGGAATCAAGAACACGGCCCTGACGGCTGGGCTGTTGCAGGTGGCAACTCTGTTCCACGGGCGCCTCCCAAGGCTGGTGATCTGTCGCAGTTCGGCAAAATCAGCAAGGGCCCAGCTATGGCGATGGTAATGGGTCCAAGCGGCGTCTTCGCAGCCGGCAAGAAGGACAGCAAGCGGGAGACACTTTCCCGAACGAATTCGAGTTCGAACATGTTCCACATGCTCAGTCAGAACCCTGAACTTGCCGCCGAGGCGTCCACAAAGCCTAGTCGTTCATCGAGTCGGAAACCGAGCGTTGATCTTGGTCATGTTGGTGCTCCTGAGCCCGCTGTACAGCGCAGGAAGCTCCAGCTTCTTCCACGGTCCGTTCTTGCTGCTGAAGAGAACGCCACAACTCCTTCGGAAGAAGAACCTGAAAGCACACCCACCGCCATGTCAGAAGCAGACGTGAAGAAAAAGATTGATGAAGATGTGAAAGAGTTCTTTGCTGTTCGCAATCTTCAAGAGGCTGAGGTCTACTTCACCAACCTTCCTGACGAGCACCGCTTCCGGCTCGTGGACAAGCTGGTTGCGTCCGCGCTCGAGAGCAAGGAGGCGGATGCGAAGTTGGTCGGTGATTTCTTCGCGCAGGCTACGAGTAACGGACAGTGTACACTTGAGGTCATTGAGGAGGGGTTCATGCCCATGGCGGAGTTTTTGGACGATATTGCTATCGATGCTCCCAAGGCGTTTGACTACATGGCTATCATGCTCAAGGGCGCTGGATTCGAGAATGAGCCCGAGAGACTCCAACGGATCACTTCGAAGCTCGAGAATAGCGACAAGCTAGTCTCTCTCGTTGCATGATCTGTCCTACTCGCATCCGACATTTTCGATCCATTTTTCTTTTCACCTGCATTCTTATCGCATTTTCGTTTTCGTTCGTTTTCTGATCGTATTGCACACGTTCTTGGTGTTCAGCAAACTAATATATGTACATCGCACGGCACTTTTGCGCTTGTCCTCTTTTTTTGTCATCGTTCACTACATACAGCGGCATAGGATACAGCTAGCAGTACATCAGGTACCAGCAATGCATTTCAGATTCCGACAGACTCATCAGCATGTGACATCTTTTAATGCAAGCCTCATTGCAGGAAGCTGTGTTGACCGTAGTCATGTGCGGCCCGTTGGACCATTACATGTGTATAATAGGGTTCTACCCTTGCAGATTGGGCACCAATCTCCAGCTCCTCGACAAGTCTGCCAGCATTCTGGTCCCCACAAGTACGACCTGGCGCAAGCGTCAACCTCACGCTGATCACCAGAAACCTTCCATTCCAAACAGTTTCCAGATAGGCATCTTCCCAGGAAGCAAGCTTACTCACGAAGAGCGTTTTGCCATGCCATCCAACGCCCGTTCTGCCTCAACTAGCTGTGCTACTACTGAATTGCGCGCCCCGATGGCGCACACGCCCAGCCAGGGCCGCCCTAGCCATCTCATGCATGGCACTGGCAGAACGCATAGTAGACGTGCCAAGGCATGCGGCAGTGCTAACAAGGCATCGATGTCTCATGGAGGACAAAGTTTTGGCTTTGGCGGTGCACCTACCCTGGGCGCTGGCTCCGAATTCGTTGTACCTCTCAAATTATCTGTCAATCGTTGGGTGCCTACGAGTACGACCTGCAAGGTTCAATCTGGTATTGATTTACCTGAGCTGGTCGACCGTAAGGTCAAGGCGTTGCTCAACAAGCTCACGATGAAGAAATTTGAGACGATTTCAGACCAGATCATCCACTGGGCCAACAAGAGCGTGAATGAGAAGGACGGGCGGACGCTTATCCAAGTCATCCGGTTGGTGTTCGAGAAAGCAATTGATGAAGCTGTTTGGAGTGAGATGTATGCGCGTTTATGTCGGAAGATGATGGAGCAGATCAGTCCTGAGGTGCAGGATGAGAGGATCAAGAATACGGAGGGCAAGCCTGTCAGAGGTGGCCATCTCTTCCGGAAGTATCTCCTCAACCGGTGTCAGGAAGACTTCGAGCGTGGGTGGTTTGCTAAGGATACTGCTGCTGCATCCGTCACAGCGAAGGCATCTGACAATCAAGTAACCGAGGCTGTTCACGAGATGAAGGAGGCACATTGGATGCTGGGTTCAATTTCAACGAGTACCACGCTGCGCAGAAGGCGAAGCGTCAAGGTCTTAATCTCATGACGTTTATTGGCGAGCTGTTCAAAGTTCGGATGCTCACAGAACGTATCATGCACGAGTGCGTGAAGGAGTTGCTGCTGGGCAACATCGAGAACCCCGAGGAAGAGAAGATTGAGAGCTTGTGTCAGCTGTTGAAGACGGTTGGCCAGTCGCTTGACACGTCAAAAGCAAGCGCGCATATGGACGTTTACTTCACGCGTATGAGGGAGCTGTGCAAGAGTCATAATATCAGCACTCGTATGCAGTTCATGCTTCAGGTGTGTGGCATTTTGGGGGATCTTTGTCGATTGTGCTCATCATCGTGATTTTAGGATGTCATCGAGTCGCGCGACCGTCTATGGATGAGCCGCGATGCTGAGCCTCTGACGATTGCTGCCGTTCATGTGCTAGTAAGATAGATTGGTGTCGTTGAAAATTATTTAAACATTGACACTCGTGTTACAGGCCGCCAAGGAGAGAGCTGCTGCAGAGGAGTGTCTTAACCGTCAGATAAGTATGTCTCGTGGTGGATCTCGAAGGGGCAGCGACTGCGGCCAAGAGAATGGTCCTGATGGCTGGGCTGTTGCAGGTGACTGTGTTCCACAGGCGCCTCCCAAGGTTGGTGATTTGTCATCGTTCAGCAACATCACCAATAGGTCCATCCAGGACATTGGTGATGGGTCCAAGCGGCATCTTTGGGGCTGGCAAGGACGGCGAGCGGGAGGCACTTTCACAGACAAATTCGAGCTCAAATATGTTCCCCATGCTCAACCAGAACCTTGAACTCGCCGTCGAGACGCCCATAAAGCCCAGCTGTTCGTCGAGTCGGAAACCAAGCATTGATCTTGATCGTGATGGTGTTCCTGAGCCTACTGTACAGCACGCGGAGCTCCAGCTTCTTCCCAAACCCGTCCAGTGCTGCTGACGAGAGCATGGTAACTCCTTTGGAAGATGAACGCCAGGGTATACCCATCACCATGTCAGAAGCAGACATCAAGAAGCAAGTTGATAGATACGTGAGGGAGTTCTTCGCGGTTCGCAATCTCGAGGAAGTAGACGTATACTTCAGCAATCTTCCACATGAACTCTGCTTCCGGCTCGTGGACAACCGTCAGATACGCATGTCTCGCGGTGGTCCTCGAGGCGGGAGCGAGCACAATCAAGAGCACGGCCCTGATGGCTGTGCTGCTCAAGGTGACTCTATTCCATGGACGCCTCCCAAGGCTGATGATCTGTCACAGTTTGGCAAGATCAGCATGGGCGCGCCCATGGTCATGAGTCCAAGTAGTGCGCTCGTGGGCAAAAAGGACAGCAAGCGGGAGACACTTTCCCGGACGAATTTGAGCTCGAACATGTTCCATATGCTCAGTCAGAAACCTGAACTCGCCGCTGAGGCGCCCACGAAACCCAGTCGTTCGTCGGGACTTAAGCGGGCGTCGGAAGAAGAATCTGAAAACACACCCACCACCATATCAAAAGCAACCGTCAAGAAGATTGATGAAGACGTGATGGAGTTCTTCACGGTTCGCAATCTCCAAGAAGCGGATGACTATTTCCCCAATCTTCCTAACGAGCACCACTTCCGCCTTGTGGACAAGCTGGTTGCGTCCGCGCTCGAGAGCAAAGAGACAGATGCAAGGTTGGTGGGCGATTTCTTCGCGCAGGCGATGAACAACGGACAGTGTACGCTCGAGGTATTTGAGAAGGGATTCATGCCCATGGCAGAATTTTTGGACGACATTGCTATCGACGCTCCCAAGGCGTTTGATAATATGGCTATCATGCTCAGGGGTGCTGGGTTCCAGGATGAGCCTGAGAGACTCTACCGAGTCGCTTCGAAGGTCGAGGATAGCGACAAGCTAGTCTCTCTCGTGGCTTGATCTGCCTCACTCCAACTGACATTTTCGATCTACTTTTCTTTTGCGCTGTCTGTTTTCGTTCGCTTTTTGATCATATTCCGCACTTTCTTGGTGTTCTGCAAACTGAAATATATATATCGTGGTACTTTTACATTGATTCTCTTTTCAATTTGTTGCTGTCGCTGCAACTAGCCACCAATGCTTACATCACCTGCGTGCTTCTTCTTGTCCAGCAAGTATTAAAGCAAGCCTCATTGCAAGGAGCTGTATTGATCCAGCCATGTGCGGTCTGTCGGACGATCCCATGTGCAACGAGGTGAATAGGGTTATATCCTTGCATCGTCTGGCAGATTGGGCGCCAATTTCCAGCTCCTCGACATGTCTTCCAAGATTCGGGTCCTCACAGGTGGTCAACTTGACGTCGATTATCAAAAACCCTCCGTTCCAGGCAATTTCCAGATGAGAAATTTCCAGTCCCCAGGAGGCAAACTTGCCTGCGCAGAGCGTTTTGCCATGGCATTCAACGTCCGTTCTGCCTCAACTAGCCATGCCTCTGCTGAATTGCGCACCTTGATGCCCCCTCCCACTGAGATTCCACTAAGACATCCTGGTCCTCCCAACCTTGCTCCAGCGAAGAGAGATGTTCCTGCCCCTCCCCCTTCTGCACTCCTCACCGCACGTGTCATCGAGAATCTCAGCGAGATTGCGTACCCCGAAGGCATCAAGGGCCCGAGGGTTGAGCTCAATGCGAACGCCAAGGATGGCCGATTCAGGTGTGTTTCACCTCTTTCACTTCGAATGTCTTATTCATTGCTTCGTGTAGATACGACCGTGATTTCCTAATGCAGTTCATGCACATTTGCAAGGAGAAGCCGCCTACCCTTCCTGCTCTCGATGTTCTTGGCATTGAACCTATCGATCAAGTTTCGTTTCCCCCTCGTGGTGGCTCTGGACGTCATCGCAACGCCTGTTCTGCCTCGACTAGCTGTGCCACTACTGAATTGTGCGCCTCGATGCCCTCTCCCACTGAGATTCCACGAAGGCGTTCTGGCCCTCTCGACCTTATCTCAGCGAAGAGAGATGTTTCCGCCCCTCCCCCTTCTGCACTCCTCACCGCACGTGTTATCGGGAATCTCAGCGAGATTACGTACCCCGAAGGCATCAAGGGCCCGAGGGTTGAACTCAATGTGAACGTCAGGGATGGCCGATTCAGGTCTGTGTCTTACCTCTATACTTTGAATGTCTCATTTATTGCTTCATGTAGATACGATCGTGACTTCCTTATGCAGTTCATGCACATTTGCAAGGAGAAGCCGCCTACCCTTCCTGCTCTCGATGTCCTTGGCATTGAACCCGTCGATCGATCTTCGTTTCCCATGGCCCTCGGTGGCCCTGGATGTCATCGCAACGCCTCTGGTGCGATGCCCATTTCTACCAACCGCCAGGCTTCTGTAGGTCTGGGTATCGGTGGCTTCCAGAAACCCTCCATTCCAAGCGGTTTCCAGATGGGCAATTTCCAGTCTCCAGGAAGCAAACTTACCAGCGAAGAGCGGTTTTCCATGTCCAATTCCTGTTCTGCTTCAACTAGCAGTGCCTCTTCCCAATTCCGTTCCACGGTGGCGTGCACGCTCAGCACAAGTGGACCTGGGCATCCCATACGTGGCACCAAGCGCATACGCACTAAACGCGGTGAGAGGCGTGATGGTACCAACAAGGCACCGATGTCCCAGGAAGAACATGGTTCTGGCTTTGGCGCTGGTTTTGAGCCCGTTACACCTCTGGAATTGTCTGCCAACCGTTGGGTCCCTACGAGTACGACCCGCAAGGCTCAACCTGGTGTTGATTCACCTGAGCTGGTGGACCGTAAGGTCAAGGCGCTGCTCAACAAGCTTACGATGGAGAAGTTCGAGACGATTTCAGACCAGATCATCCACTGGGCCAACAAGAGCGTGAATGAGAAGGATGGGCGGACCCTCATCCAAGTCACCCGACTGGTGTTCGAGAACTTGAAGGCGACTGACGAGACTTGGAGCGGGATGTACTATGCGTTGTTGTGTCGGAAGATGATGGAGCAGATCAGTCCTGAGGTGCAGGCTGAGGGGATCAAGAACACAGGGGGCAAGCCTATTGCTGGCGGACAGCTGTTCCGGAAGCATCTCCTCAGCCGGTGTCAAGAAGACTTTGAGCGCGGGTGGTTCCCTTGCAAGGAAGCTACTGCTGCAACCGCTGCAGCGAAGATTTCCGACCATTACGCAACCAAGGCTGCTCACAAGAAGATTGGCACGAAAGAAGCTGAACTCTTTTTCGATGAGTACTACGCTGCAGAGAAGGCGCGGCGCCAGGGTCTTGTTCTCATCAGGTTCATCGGCGAGCTGTTCAAGCTGCAGATGCTCACAGAGCGTATTATGCACGCGTATGTGAAGAGGCTGCTGGGCGATATCGAGAACCGCGAGGAAGAGAAGATTGAGAGCTTGTGTCAGCTGTTGAGGACGATTGGCCAGTTGCTTGACACGCCGAAAGCCCGGGCACGCATGGATGTTTACTTCACGCGCATGAGGGAGCTCGGAAAGAGCCATAATGTCAGCACTCGTATGCAGTTCATGCTTCAGGTGACATTTTCTGGGTACCTTTGTCGGTTGTGCTCATCATCGTGATTTTAGGATGTCATCGAGTTGCGTGACCGTGCATGGATGAGTCGCAATGCTGCGCCTATGAGGATTGCAGCCGTTCACGTGCTGGTAAGATAATATTTTTAGATTGGCGTCGTTGAAAATTAATATATTGACATTGGCGTTACAGGCCGCCAAGGAGAAAGCAGCCGCAGAGAAGGAGTCTTTCAACCGACGTCAGATTGGCGTGCTTCGTGACGGTTTTCGACGCGGCGACAACCGGAACCGGGAACACGGCCCTGACGGCTTGGCTGTTGCAGGTGGCAGCTCTGTTCCGCGGGCGCCTCCAAAGGCTGGTGATCTGTTGCAGTTCGGCAAAATCACCAAAGGTCAAGCCATGGCAATGGCAATGGGTCCAAGTGGCGTCTTTGCGGCTGGCAAGAAGGACAGCAAGCGGGAGACACTTTCCCGGACGGATTCGAGCTCGAGCATATTCCATATGCTCAGTCAGACACCTGAACTCGCCGCTGAGGCGTCCACAAAACTCAATCGTTCGTCGAGACTTAAGCCGGGCGTTGATTTTGGCCATGCTGGAGTTCCTGAGCCCGCTGTACAGCGCAGGAAGCTCCAGCTTCTTCCACGGTCTGTTCTTGCTGCTGAAGAGAACGCCACAACTCTTTCGGAAGAAGAGCCTGAAAACGCACCCACCACCATATCAAAAGCAACCGTCAAGAAGATTGATGAAGACGTGAAGGAGTTCTTCGCGGTTCGCAATCTCCAAGAGGCAGATGACTACTTCCTCAATCTTTCTGACAAGCACCGCTTCCGGCTCGTGGACAAGCTGGTTGCGTCCGCGCTCGAGAGCAAAGAGACAGATGCAAGGTTGGTGGGCGATTTCTTCGCGCAGGCTATGAGCAACGGACAGTGTACGCTTGAGGTATTTGAGAAGGGATTCATGCCCATGGTAGAATGTTTGGACGACATTGCCATTGATGCTCCCAAGGCGTTTGATTATATGGCTATCATGCTCAGGGGTGCTGGGTTCCGGAATGAGCCTGAGAGACTGCGTCGGATAGCTTCGAAGCTCGAGGATAGCGACAAACTAGTCTCTCTCGTGGCTTGATCCGCCCCACTCGCGTCTAACGTTTTGGATACATTTTTCTTCTTACATTCTCATCGCATTCCTGTTTTCGTTTGCCTGTTGATTGTATTCTGTGCTTTCTTGGTATTCCGCGAAGTGAGATATGTATATTGCGATACTTTTGCGTTCGTCCTCTTTGCAGTATCGTTGATCGATATCACATACAAAGGCAAAGGCTTTAGCTAGCCATTGATGTTAGCTACATTGCAGGGCGGGTATGAAGCAATACTGTACAAGCTACAGACCTCCATAGATACCATGGCTGAATCCATAGCCCTGAAGCCCGACTCTGCAGATGCACACGAAACAAGGAGCGCAGACGAGGCTTTAGTCTTCTGCGTTGCGTCTCATTTGGGAGCGAGTAGAATGGAGGCGGGTTGAAAGGCGGCCTAGGAAAGGGCGCAGGCATCGTGGCATGTCGATTTCCGCCCCAGGACCTAGTACATGCATCACCGTAGCAACTTCGGGAGATAATGCTAGTAGCATGTCATGTTGTGCAGCAGTGGTTGGATGGTCTGAATTGAGACAGCGAGAGATTTGACCGGTGTTGCGCTCGAGCGCCGGATATATGTGCTTCATTGCAGTCGAGGCACCGTAGCAGCACTCCAGGAGGAGCTAACCAAAGAAAGTTGGACATCCGTGAACGCAGCTGACTTGAATAGTTTATCAGTCCTGTGAATCTCGGCGTTAGAATGCACAACTCCATAGATGCAAAAGGAAACGCACCACAATCTGATGAAAGGAGGGATGCCAGAGGTGTCTTTTTTTCTCTCTCGAATATCGACAACTGAAGGTCTAACGCGTGGGTGAGGGGAGAGAAGAAAACACTCTATAAGGGCGTCCTGCCACGATCTTCACGCCACCAAGAAGTGAAGGTGTCTGGAGCTATTTCGCACGGAATATGATGCATTGTAGTGGGTGGGCTATTCTGAAAGCCTGGATCGCTTGAAAAGTAAATATGAAAAGAACCAAGCTTCAAATATCGACTGGGAAAGAGTGTTGTAGACGGAACAACTGGAGAAACAGACGCACCCGACCGCCCAGAATACATACACCAAGCGCTGCTCAGGTATTCTTTTATGATGCACAAGATGTCCTTGACATTATGTGAACACCCTCTGGCTTGTTGCTGAAAGGCACGTTGTCAAGGGGTCTAGAGGACACATGAGTATGGTATGTAGTACAAGACGGCCCACGGCATGCAAGAGACACAAAGTATGTGACAGACGCCACTTCACTTTCTGGCTTTTGCAGCAATGGGTCGTATAAAGTTGGTATACTTGACCAGCGTCGAGCATTGATATTGAGTACCGAGTATTGAAAATTGAATGCTCGAGTTTTGCATTTTGGGCCCTGGTGAGGCTGTGCATCTCAGATTATTAGTCAGCATCAGCATGTAAACTTCTTCCTGATCGTCCAGCACTGCAGCAAGTTTTAGTGCAGGTCTCATTGCTTGAAGGAGCTGTATTGATTCAGCCATGGGCGGTTCGTTGTACCATCCCATGGGCAGCAAGGTGGACATGGTTCTACCCTTTGAATCGTCCGGCAGTTTGAGCGCCAATCTCCAGCTTCTCGACGTGTCTGTTAACATTTGGGTTCCCACAAGCACGACTCGATACAAGGGTCAAATTGGCATTGTTTCACCTGAACAAGTCGACCGCGAGGTCGAGGCGCTGCTCACCACACGCTGGCAATGGAAAATTTCGAATCCAATTCAGACCAAATCACCCACTTGGCGAACAATAGCATAGAAGCCAAGCGAGAGCAAGAGGCTGTATACAAGAGGACGGCGGAGCACGAACGGGCACGCAAGGAGGAGCAAGAAAAGGAGTGCGCGCGCAAAGATAAGGAGAGGGAGAACTTGAAGGAGAAAAAGAGTAGGAGGACCGCCTACGTGTTAAGGAGGAGGAAGAACGTCTTGAGTCCGAGGCGCGCATTACACAAGCAGGCGATGCTGGCAAAGCAACGATATCCCGGCAAGGACAGGCTTGGGATCATTCGGCGTTGCACCTGTGCTGGGCGCCGGTTCCGAGTTCATCTCACTCCTCGTTTTGTCAACCAGGGTTCCTGTTAGTATAATTCGTAAGGTCCAACATGACTTCGACTTACTTGAGCTGGTTGCCCGCAAGGTCAAGGCCCTGGTCGGCAAGCATGCGATAGAGATTTGACTTAATTTCAGTCCACTGGGCGAACAAGCTAGTTCTCACTCGGGACGTCCGAGGGCGTTAGGCCAGGGCGTGTCCGTATAGGATAGCGTCTGAGCCCCTCGAAATAATTAGTACGATCAGGTTTGATTTCATCCTCACGCTAACGCCACATGTCCTGTCCTAATTGTTACTTGTAGGATTAATAGATGATGTCCCGACCCCATTATTTTTATCCTCAGCCACCATTCTCGCCGTAAAAGCCGAAGTCGTACTCAACCCTCTCCCTCCGTCTCCCCCCCACCGCCAACACCCTACACCGATATCACGGAAAAGGGTGCCCGCATCATAGCGCACAAAGAAGGTTCCGCAGATCAGCATCAATCGAGGTCGCTGTTTTTTGACGTTGGATAGTGAATACCTGAATACAACCGTGACAAGCGATGGCGTGCGGTTGAGATTTCTTGAAAGACGTGAGGCTTGAGAGGATAATCAATATATGTTCATGGTAGAGAAAGGGGCTGCTGGGGTAGTGCTGGCGGAATGCGAAGCGAAGGTGAAAAATGCACGAAATATTTTGACTATGGACGGTACACCATCACATGAGGTGTGAAGGCAGCAGCTCGTCGAAGTTATTGGACTACTCCACTATCACAATTTAGCAATTGCCATCGTGTATCATAACGGGACCAGATCGTTCAGAATCGCGAGTTGATAAAAACGGCCGCTGGGCTTCCTCATCTCCAACAACTCTACCACCATCCGTGTTTTCGATACGCCTTTCTTTTACTGGCGTTCTCAGATTGCGCACGTTCTACTGCTCTGCTGCAGCTTAATACATGTTCGTGCGGCATTTCTTTGCCGTTCTTTCTTTCGTTTACTAGATACGGCCTACTGCACAGACATGATATTGCTTACGTCAGCATGTCACAGGGCTTGTTCGACTTCCCAAGTAAGGAGCGTCAATCTCTGACCATGACATTGTATTGCCGGTTGGAGTGGACGTATATAGGTCGTTCTCGTTCTTAGCAAGTTCGCCCTCCATCGTGCGATTTCGCCGGAATGCCAGCGCAGGTCTCGACATCGTCTTCAGAACACAGCTCATGGCAAACCCTCAGGACGCATCTCAACTTTTTCCGCATACATGTTGTTTTCTTGTAAGTTCGCCGTTATCTATTGGCCCATCACGGAATTTGATGACATGTGTATTTAGTACTTTAACGCCCCTGATATTCTCCGGAATCTTTTATGCTAGCAATGGCAAGTATCCAGTTGCATACATTGATGCACTATACAATTCAGTCAGCGCGATGACCGTGTGTGGTCTCGCGACTGTGAACCTGAGCCAGCTTACTGCTTGGCAGCAAGTGCTGTTATTCATCCAGATGTGTGTTGGAAACCCAGTGCGTTCCTTGGCTTCAGGTACACGTGATACCTATCTAACCTTGGCTCAAGGTCATCGTGTCGTGGGTGATGGTGTACACCAGGAGGTTGTTATTTACAGCGTGCGCGTCAATGATATTCACTCCTAATTTTCCAGGCACTACTTCGCTAAGACATTCTATCATATCATTGGAGCGGAGGCTGCCCGGCAGGCAGCGATCAAGGTGGAGCAGCAGCTTGCCACTGCGTCTGCGTCTGCAGGAAATTCTGTCGGCAGCAAAGGTGGATGGTCCCGTCGCTTCTTCCGAAGGAGGACCGGCCTTAGTACGGTACCGGAGGATTCTGCTAGTGGCGATACTCGAACGATACCGAAGGACAGCGCAATGAGACTGAGACCCGATATGATCAGGCGCATGGACGGACAGCCCAAACCGGTCAACCCGAGCGGACGGATCACAGAAAGCGGTGCGGTTCCTATGATGCGTTTTTCGTTGAAATTTGTAACAAGCTTAGATACACAAACAGAAGGACAAAGGCAAGGGTCCTCTCCTCGTCAACTTGCGTTCGCAGATGAAATGACCCAGTCCCCGGCGCAACTTGAATTTGAAGATGATGTCGAGATCAAGAACCTACATGTAGAAACTGTCAACGCGGGCCCTGCAGATCCGAAAAGAGACACCCCGTAGGCAATCTACAACACTACTTTTTGGTGCCAGCGAGCCTGACATCTATTTTACATCAGTGGGCGAGCACGCCGTCTTTCCGATTCAGGAAGTCTGAGGGAACTCTCAAATTGCGGGCCTGAAGCGGGTCAAGGTGCTGTGACGTCAGCTACATCGACTGGAATGCCACGGACAGCGACTATCGAGTTTGCACCCACTGTTTCTCCTTCACATCTTCCCCTCTTCCCTGTCGGTAGCCGGACCGGTCACTCGGATTCACCTGAATTTTCATCAGATGTTTCAGTTTCAGGGTTCTCTGTACCCCGCCGTCGCCGTTCTTCCGCAGTACCCCAACATTCGCACGTGCCATTAGCACAGCACCCAACTATTCAGACACATCGATCTAGTAATGCTAGACGCGCATCGAGTTCGTATCATCTCGACCAACCGCAGGAGCAGATGATACGAGGGTTCGGGGGGTTTCCTATGCCGCACGAGCTGCTGGGGATGCTGTTTGGTTGGCTATTCCCTAACACCAAGGATAGACTGAAGAGAACTGTGACGATTCCTGTTACTACTACACTGACAGGCGGTGGGTTGGGACGAACTATGAGTAGCACTGCGAGTGTCCCTGGGAGGCCGACACACGGTGGAAGTATCAGCGCTAAGGAGGGTACGAAACCTGTAACGTATATTTCGTTCGACGCCGTCGTTGGGCGGAATTCCGCGTTTCATTTTTCGACCAACGAACAGCTTGAGGAGTTGGGTGGAGTGGAATATCGGGCACTGAATGCGCTGCTATGGTTAGTTGCATCTGTGAGTGATCTTGTTTTCAGTCGTCCTCATCGACTTAAAAATGTCTTCGAAGTATCACATAGCCGTACAACTGGTTTCCTTCGTGGTGATCGCTCCTTACATGTCATTGCCAAAGTGGGCTAGCAATTTCGAACCTCCTGCCCAATTTAGAATAATTACGGTCCCTTGGTGAACAGCGTCTTACAACGCTAAGTAACAAGACATCGACTAACAGAACCCGAATGCAGGTTTTCATTGTTCCAAGTCGTATCGGCGTACACAAATGCTGGAACTTCTCTTGTCGACCAGAGCATGGTGCCCTTCCAGACAGCCTATCCAAGTGTGTATCGTATATCATATATGCTGAATGACACTGACGTTTTCTTGGTCAAGTGATCTTTTTCATGATATTTTGTATTCTGGCTGGCAACACTGCATTTGTGAGTGTCAACGGGCTCGTTCTAACAACATAATAATCATTCATCATCGTTAGCCTGTACTGTGAGTTTGCAATCCGCAATGCATAACAACTCTTACTCAAAAACAACCTGAAGGCTTCGGTTTCTCATGTAAGTAAGCTATCTTTATGATAAACTTGTTTGTTCATCGTAGGAAGTTGGATCATCACGAAATTCGTACCGAGGGATTCTCGACTGAATGAAACGCTGCATTTCCTCCTAGACCATCCCCGCCGATGCTTTGTTTATCTCTTCCCTTCGTACCAAACTTGGTTTCTCCTTACGATTCTGGTCATCATGAAGTATGCACACCTGAAGATCATCTCCACGGCCGTATGCTGAACTTGGCAATATAGCCTTACAGACTGGCTCTGCTTTTTGGTCCTTGATATTGGTAACCCTGACATCGATTCCATACCTTTAGGAACGAGGGTTGTTGCTGGACTGTATCAGGCTATTGCTGTTCGTGCCGCGGGGTTTGGAATAGTTCCGCTTGCCAGAATAGCTCCCGCTGTCAAGTCAGGTCGACCAATCGTCTTTTGGAAAGGATGCTAACTTCAGGAAACAGAGTCATATATGTTATCATGATGTATGTTAGCGTATGTGAGTGCCTTGATTATCTTGGCGATACGCGTAATACTGACTGCTGGTCAAGATCCCATTGCACTAAGGTGCGTTCGCCCCTGGCAACCGTGCAGATAGGTAATTATGATGCTTATTAATCTAGTGTCCGCTCGACAAACGTCTACGAAGAGCAATCCCTGGGTATATACGATGATGATGATTCAGAGGATGAAAATGCCTTTTCAACCGCAGGCCCAAGGATGACGGTATGGTCTCGGTACTTGGCCATGCATGCACGTCGACAACTGGCATTCGGTATGTCTGATTTTCTCGTCTAATGACTTGTCTCACCCGGCTATCAAGACATGTGGTGGTTATGCCTGGTAAGCTTGTGCGCAGTCGCCGTGGGGGAGTAGACTGAATTTGTCTGACGTAGGCGTTGGTGTTGATTTGTATCATAGAGGTAAGCAGCTCAACGGTGGAGGATTCGCGACGGTTCTAATGGGTCGACTAATGGTAGCGCGGAAACTTGGACAACACGGAGATACAGGGCTGGTTCAATATCTTTACTATCAGTATGTCCTCATCTTATCGAATTGCGGCCTCTGCTCAATTTCAGCAAGTTTTTGAATTAGTCTCAGCATACGGCACTGTTGGTCTCAGTCTTGGGATACCTACCGTAAGTGATGGAGATGCTGTGTTACAATTGAAGTATTCTCATTTGCTGTGGTAGGAAAATTATTCGTTTTCCGGTGCCTTGAAACCTCTTTCAAAGCTCATATTATGCCTCGTCATGCTTCGCGGGCGACATCGTGGTCTCCCAGTAGCCATCGACCGCGCTGTCGTGTTCCCCTCCGAATTCAAAAAGACGAATGACGAGCCGCCCATCCCTGTCACGCATGATGACGGGCAATCAAGCCCCCACAGTAAGTTTCTGCATACGCGCGACCCCCTTCCGAAGGACGGTCTCGCCTCCAGCAACGAAGGTCCAGTTACTTCGAGGGACGACTGAAGGAGCATGAGAAGCAGAGTGGCAGCTATGATGCACTTGTTGAGCCTAGAAGACAAAACGCGGGGTCGGAGATGCTCCCTGACATCTAGTACGACCTTATACTCTGTGGCACTCGCGCCATAGTGACGAGTTGACGTTGCCTTCTACTACCCCAATCATCTATCAGACAAATAGCCAAATGGCATGGTGGCACGTAGACAGAACGAGCGATTGAAGGACGTTAATAGGTGTATTCTTCAAAAAAATAACGATATCTCTTGAGGAGAACTAGCGGGCTAATTGTTCTATTGAGCACTCGGATAGCTCGCTCCGAGTTTTCATCAGGTATGTCGACTAACAGGTTGATACGACATCACTTCGATGGCTGACCACATGAACGATGTACTCACAGGGTATAAATACATGTAATTCGTGTCAGTTCGTCTGTATCAAAGCGGTTCGCTGAATATCTGCGTCTTTACTTGCAAAATTCTCGGTGGAATTGAACCAGCCCCAACCCGTCAGAATGGACACCTTCAATTCTCTCCATATTATAGTAGGTGAGACCACGCCTTTATCCAGTGCAGGAGGCTTGTCATTCAGTTCTCGCTGAGCCCCTTTTCCCGTTATGCATGCTTCGGTGGGCCGCTCCTGCATGGTGTCTTGAGCTTTCTGTTATGGGGTGCTCTAGAGTTTCGCGTTGACCTCTCTGTTGACATCTCCGTCCGGTGCCCGGGTCTCGCTGCGGTAATCGAAAGTAAATATTTTTGTTCTGCCTCGGCATCGACATAGAACAAGAGCGCACGCAAACTCCACACGTCAGAACAATATGGCCTCGCTCTGCCACTTTCAATTCTTCCATCTTTAACTTTCAAGTCATCCTCAGTCGCGTTGGAAGAGCCAACGACCGAAGCAACGTCCGTCGGTGAGGCTTCAGCAAGACTGGGTGGTTACATCATTTTCCTGACTGTCAGACTCATCCTATCCTTAGCCTGCGTGCATTCTCATTAACATTTTTCATTTGGTGGTGAATTCTAACAGTTTTTGTCAGTCTATCGAGAATCTAGGTTGGTACGTACACACCTCAGGGATATATCTTATGTTTCTGAGACAACCCTCGCGGGGCATGAAGGTGGAATCCTTTCAGGGACAGACTATCAGCATAAAAAGGAGGTTTCAACGCAATGACCGGGTCTAGTTAAGATAGACCTCCAAGGATCTATACACTGCAAAAATGTTGTCAGCAGGTTTCGAACCAACTTCGAGAGAAACAGATTTTAACTCTGTTGTGGTGACCACTTGGCTAAGACCAGTTAAATGGACCACGGAGGAAACCATCCATGAGTCCATCATTGTCAGGGTGTCCCGACAAAAAAAAGAGTCACACAGCAAGTTTCAAACCTGCGCAGTCCAAGAGAACCTGTTGCAGTAACCACTTGGCTAAGACCAGTTAAAACGAAGATCCGAGCAAATCATCCATGAGTGAATGTCAAGGTGTGTTCCGATAGAGAAAAACCTGCACAGTCCCAGAGAAACAGATTTCGATTCCGTTGTGGTAATCACTTGACTAAGACCAGTTGTCCACGTTCGAGGAAATCATCCATGAATGAATGTCAAAGTGTGCCAATAATAATAAAAATTTGCGGCAGGTTTTGAACCTGCGCAGTTTAAGAGAAACAGATTTTGATTCTGTCGTGGTAACCACTTTGACCAGGACACTTCCCAAGTTGGGATGAACCTCCAAAGCACTGTCTATGAGTGAATGCCGAGGGAAAATCATTTGTTGGAAGGTTATTCGCACCACCCATAAAACATGCCAGGAACAAGCGAGTCGGGGGCGGCGCCGGCGTTATTGTGATACTAGTAGTAGGATTCGTGTTCATCAGATTTGCAGGTATTTATTGATGTGTGGCCGAATCTCAAGGTAGGCGCCTGAGTGTGCCTGCGACGTTTGATTAAGACAGGTTGAAACGTTGAAACGTAGTGAAGTATGTTAAATATGAATGGAAAAGATATCGGCACAGGATAAGCAGGTACGTGGATACTGACCTCATGACATGAATGAGTTCATATGCACATCATATGGTTGAGCGAGCCGTTGCATACCTGGAGACCAGAGGTTCCTGCGGCGATGACGAATCACACCATGCATCAAATGCTGCCAGGTCTTGATCCAGGACCTAACACTCGAGTTACATTTCGTCTCGTAAAAACTGTATGGTCGTCCTAGAATCACATGTTGCTTCGTCATGGTTCGAGTGATCAAGGTGTCAACACGATCCTCACCTTATTGGACAACCGGTCGAGAACATTTCTGCCAGTTCAAGTGGTCAGCGATCATTGCGATGTCCTCCCGACTGCCTTCAAGTCTGTGGGGAATCAGTTGATGATATACTCGCCGCCTGTCAAAGAGAATAGCATGCTTCAGTGGCAGCGCAGCAGTCTCTACCAGCGACGAGATGACTGTGGATGTATGACACAAGCTGTTCTCATTTTTGTGAGTGTCCCAACGTTTGCTGCTCAGATGCAGTTCGGATGATAGGATAAACGCGCTAACGAAGGCATACACTTCTGGGAGAATGCCAACAGGCGTGGACAAAGCGTTGGCTGATTCTGGTAAGACGCAACGGCAGGGCACATCAACTTGAGGATCTCACTTGAAAATGGTACACATACATGAGGACTCCGTCCTCCTTCGAACAAAAGGTGGAATGGACAGGGAGATGGGTCACATCGAGATGACGAACACGTCAATAAGTGCTTTTGGGCAGATGTCAGAAAAAACGGCAGCCGCAGAACCGGTCCCGAAAGAGATATGAAAGATGGAACTAGACTCTCCACAAATTGAGAAAAGTTCTGGGGATCGATGACGAGGCGGAACAGGTTGACAGAGCCCGAATCGTTCGAGATAAGCCTGATCTGAAGCACTCCTTCAATAGCATAATCCTGCGAATGCAAAAGACCCACTTCGTTCACACACAAATGAAGCCAAACGTCATACTACATTTCCTTCACTAGTGCTGGCGCCAGCTCATTCTGAGCCTAAACTGGTACCACACGCATGACCGGGTGATCCGAGTTTGAGTTAAGGGACAGCGATGTACCCACCTAAAACCTAGCTATTTGATGGTCTGTGAACAAAGGAACGTGGAGTCTCATACACTGAAACAGTGGACCGGCGTCTGATACAACTGAAGAGGAGCAAGGAAACGGAAAGTAAATCGTTTGCAACTACTGGCAGCGCACCCTGACAGATAATTCTAACTGTGTGGAAGGTAAAGGGGCGTGCTTGAGGAGACAGGGTTGGGGCGGAGAAAGTCGGGAGAATGGGCACAGCTTTGCACACGGACTGACACATGGGAATATGTTTGTGTTCGACAGAGGTGGAAGTCGACCAGATGAATCGTCGGGACTCGGGGGTACCGAGGCGGCGTACAAGTGATCACTGGTTCAGCATCCAAGGCGTGGCGTCAAGATGTTGCGAACAGAAGCCATTTGGAAGCTATGGTATATGTCTTGCAGTGCTGCGCCAAAAGTTCCGGAAGGCCGTCCAAGGAGAACAACCTCACCGAGTGAGACTCTAATGAATTTTCTCCACCTTGGGCCCTAGTCCAGCGTAAGCATTTAATACTCTTCGGTGAATTAATTGGTCCAGCTTGCTCGCCGTGCTGTCACCTGTGTGATTCAGCTGATACTCTTGATACACTATGTATAAAGTTGATATGCACGTTCAAGTTATGTTCCCGTGATGCCAGACCAGTCCATGCGAAACTCTACTCTATTAATAAGAAACCTATATAAGGCTGTCATTCGGCAGATGACGGTCGGGCTCTTAATCCCCCTCCTCATCCCGGTAACTTCTATGTTCCGCTGTACTGGCCAACCTCTATGTCTACTAGCGACTGTCAGGTAGATCTCCGCGCCGGCCGGGGTGCTAAATCCATGCCATCACTACAGCATGGGAATCCCAAGATGCACAATGGTCGCATTGCAACTCTGCCCGGTAATTGGTACCAGTAGTGAGTCTGAATTATCAGTTAGGGATGTACTAAATTGGTGCAATGCCGATAGGCCAATCATACAACGATGACGAGCGCTCGACGAGCCGACGATCACCCACGAATTTTAAACGGGACCTCCCTAGAACCGTAAATAAGTATCGGAAATTGAATGCCCCGCCGTGGTTTCGAGCTCATGACCCGATTCCTGAAACGTGGCGTTCGAGTACCGTGCAACCAATATATATTGCAGAACCTCCTGAGTCCTGAACAATCCGCCTTGAGGCCGATGCACAGGAGCTGTCACCCAATATTACCTATTTAAGTAATCAAAATTTGCTGGCACGGTGGTATATCTAGCACGAACATTGTCAAAGCTTTATATGTGCCCACCAAGTCCGTCACTTGCTGACAGCTCGACATCAATCCCTTAAATATGACCTTCGTCTCAAATGACCCAACTTGGTGGTCGCTGATCAATATCCATCGTGTATCCAGCTATTTTGTAGGTTCGTGGACATAATTATGGTGATATCTCACTTTATCTTTAACTGCCATGGCTTGGTCATGTAGTTGCATCCGCTACCGCTGTGGCATACGACTGGGGTGAGTCAGGTAGTATTCATTGACTCATCAATGTCCTAATGGTATTCACCAGTGCTTACATTCGGACAAGAGGTAGTGTCATTACTAGAGCAACTATCTCGTTGATAATGGTTTATAGTTTGAACTGGTGTGGGTAAGCAGGCTCCGATATTAGAAGAACAATATGTGATAAGACAGTGGATTCAGCAGAGGCGACGCTGGCCCCTTATGACTATCCTGTACCTCTGTGTACGTGATATAGCTTGTGTCATAAGTGCAGCTGACAACACTGATTTGCTATCACTTCAAATTGTTTTAGGTGCGTTGCATTGGAATACTATATTCTGTGTATGTCAACAAGGTTTCCAAGTTAGAACTTGGCTAATACTAGTCCCCCGTGATCAGCCTGAACATAGCATGTATGTCTTCTCACTTACATTACGTTCCTTTCTTCCGACCTTCGGCGTGTAGCAAGTATCCCATCAGTCTCATTAACAGATGTAGTCAGTGTTCTGTTGTCATCCATTGGCATCCAACTAACGCATTCCTACATAGGAGTGAGTTGACAGTTGACTTGTCGGTCCAGTACAATGACTGACTGGAATAGATGTGAGTTCACTAAAGGCATCGAGTTCTCCAATTCTCAGTAACTGTGTCTTTCAGGCGCTATTATAAACCTCACACAATTGTGGATATCTTTTGTTGTAAATGCCATGTTGAGCGGTGAGCTATTTAACTGCAGTACCTAGGTGATATTGACTTAATGAATACATCATGCAAGTCATCATGATCACTCGGTTATATGCCATGTATCAGCGGTCAAGAAAGATGCTCATCTTTATTGTTGTAACCTTCCTGGCTGTCACGATTGCTTGCGGAGTGATCGCCGCAATAGGAAGCAGCTACGTTTCATGGGGTAGGCTTTGATTTTTGATGAAAGATTGAATCACATCAAGCTCATGGACAAACACCAGAGGAGTTCGTACTCGCTGGCACCTATCAATGTGTTCGGAGGGGAGAGGTCCGACTTCTGACGACCCTAGCTTGGATACTTGCTACTATATGGGAGATCCTCGCACTTTGTCTTGCGGTCTGGATTGTTGTAAAACACTTCCGCGAATTGCAACGACCATCGAGAGGGCGGCGGACCATTGGGAACTGGTTCACAGTATTGATCAAAACTCACGTACTTTATTTCGCAGCGTGAGTCCTCAGTTTAAGTAGGATTATCTTTTCCGACTGAAGGTTTACATGCTAGTTATGCGGCTGTTTCTTGCTTCACCCTCGGCTACCTGTCTCCAAAGATCTCAGTGCGTCAATCTGTGATACTGACTGCCATCTGGATCTGACCACGCTTCATCGTTTCTATAGAGCTCATCGTCTGTTGGGGCCGAGATCTATACTGGCATTCTTGAAATTATATCATTCCTGCAGATGTTTGTGCTGGGACCGCGTCTCGTGCTTAGTGTTCGAGAATATGACGCCGAACTCACCACAGAGTACGATGAAGGAACTGCCATGACCACAATTGCTTTCCAGGAGCGCGTACATGTGGTGTCAACTGAGGGTTATTTGTAGCGCGGGAAACGCTCCCGGTGGACCTTACATTTGTTGGGCACCCTGCAGACAACATAACAATTCTGTTTGAGGTTTCGTCGTGGTACTCATTTGGTATTCTACAGTAGAATTAGAGATGAGAAAAGTCGTTGCGTCACAAGTTCTCACAACTAGGCCCAGATTTGTACGCAGCTGAATCATGTGACACGTTAATCAAGCACTCTGGTACTCGATACTTCATGCAGGTCGACTTCACTCTTACCTGCGATAAAAAGCCCGGAAATCTCAAATCATTTTTGGCATAAAACAAACGAGGCTGGAATGTTCAACGGCTTTCGCAGGAATTTGAACTTCGTCGAGACTCCTCAGTGGTTTGCACTGTGAATGAACACAATAATTATTGAGCCGATCATCATCGACGGCGACTGGTCAAGAATTGCAGAACACAATGCGTGAACGATTGAATTGAAGCAGAGCCGCCTGGGATTCGTTGCGACGGCCTGTGGCGGAAAACGCTAGCTATACTATTGAGTATCAGAAGTAAGGGGGGCTGCTGAACTCGAAACAAGTATCCTCTGACCCGATAGAACAATAAACTTGGAGCTTGCACTAGATAGCAATCTACCTATAGATGTACCTCCGGAAGTTAATTGGAGGAAGAGCAGGGGATTTGCAAAGCATTGTGTGACCGCAGGACCAGAATGAGACGTCGAATGACAGACATCTACGGTGGTGTGCCGTTGTGTGATGACCTGAGGGTAACATGACGATTGCACGTGAACCGCCAAGGTAAGAAGATGTGATAGTACTGTCCAGCGTGAAATTGGAGCCACTTGTTAGTTTATCGTCAGTGACGCGTCACGGTCGTTATCATAATGTACATGCCAAGCAAAATCAATTTTTGGAGAGAAGTCTCTCAAGAAACCACGAAAAAGATTGACGCCTTCATTCATAAAAAATGTTTGATGAAACTTATGCCCTCGCGGCAAGCGCGAGTCTTCTTCTTGTTTGGTCGTATGCTTGGCATCAAGCATCGGGTATCAACGAGCGGCACTCCTGCTGCGACCAGTACTGTGGCTCCATATAATTCGGAATGAAGCTTAATTGGAAGGCTTGAAATCAGTACCCGGCCTTGGCAAGATGCAATCTGACACAGGAGATGATCTTGCTGCGGGTTTGCGCCACTCCGTGATGAACGTCTCATTCCCAGCTCGGCTGCCGACTTCCGCCACTGGATCAGAGCTTATAAGCTTCTCGATCTCATAGCGGTCTTTATACTTGACTCGGCGCTGATTGTGCGAGGGCGTGGTTAACGAGCAGCTATCGATGTATAGGTTCCAAAGTAACGGAGTGTTCGTGTGGTGCTCACTTTTCGGTAGCTGGGGTCATCCACCGCCGAGAGCAACTGAGCGATAAGCGCCGGATATGGCATGGGCAGGAAGGAGTATGTGTGATTTAGATAAGAATCTGAAAGAAAAATGAGTATAAAATTGCCACGCTTCAGACTCGTGACGGTGACATACTATTGTAGGTTGAAGGAATCTGCAGGTAGTTGAACTTTCAGAATATAACTGCAGCAGGGCAGCTGCCTGCTATACCGTAAGATTAATATTGACAATTACAATCACTTGAAGATAATAACCCGTCATTCGGTACAAAGTTGAACAAACAACACTTTCGCCGCAAATATTGCAATCATTCATGAACGATCTATAGTATGATCATCGAGTCAATGCACCCGCCCGCACCCGCCAATCGAAGCGAAAGAGTTCATGATGCCGATGCTGCTATTCGCCAGACAGATTCAGATGCAGCATTGGCACGGCTGTCTGCAGTCAGGAAAGGCTATTTGACCGACCGTTTCATCAGTTCCCTGTTGCCTCGGGCGCAGCTACAGCCCCTGCGGTCACCATTGATCAACACTGGCACCTATGTGCGATCCGAAGCTATCGACAGGACTCGTAGAACAGTGGCTTGAGCTCTCCAAGCCAGAGGGGCAACTTTGTCAGATTGTTAGTCTCGGAGCAGGGAGCGATACACGGTTTTGGCGTTTAATGGTGATTAATGGCTTCCCACCCCCAACGACGAGCTGACAGTGAAACGACCAGTAGGATGGACCCTGGAAAGAGCAGATTGGAGCGTATTTCGAACTTGACTTTCCGGACGTGACCCTGAAGAAAGCAATGACCATTCGCAACCCGAGAAGTGGGCTCAGCACTACTCTTGGTCATTCGGAGTTAGGTCAGTGAGGTTGCCCGACGATGCGCGAATAACCACTTCTGCAATGATCCTTGTAGATCTTGGCGGGCAGGCTTTGCACTCGTCCAGATATCACCTTTTACCATGTGATCTTCGCAACCCCCCCGCAGACATTTTTCCAGGGCTCTTCAAAGAGTATCTGTCACCTGCTCTTCCAACACTTCTATTATTTGAATGCGTGTTGGTTTACATGTCACCGGAGGCCTCATCCATATTGATCCAATGGTTCGTTGACTTCTTCAACCCAAGCACCCACACTCCATCGCCAGGCACTCTTGGATGCACGGTGTATGAAATGTTCGGGCTGGAGGATGCCTTTGGGCAGGTCATGATGAACAATCTTCGAGTAAGCCATCCACTTTGACATTGACTGTCTGATCTTAGTGCAATGTATCACAAAGGCGAGAAATGTTTCTCTTCCCGGAGCGAAGCCATATCCTTCGTTAGAGTCTCTCCCCTCCCGTTTCTTAACGCACGGATTCACTTCTGCGAAGGCGCTAACCCTTCGTAACATCAGAAGTAATTACATAGAGCGGTCAGAACTAGAAAGGTAAGTCTTCTTCTTACGGCATACATAATGCGATTCAGTAAGTTTCGTTTATCTGTATTTGACAGAATATCTAGCCTTGAAATGCTTGACGAGGTCGAAGAGCTCAATCTCGTTCTTGAACATTATGCAATCACATGGGGTGTGAAGACATCCTCTTCAGCTGCGTCAATATCCCCATGGATTAAATGGGGCTTGCGCCCGGTCAAACAACAACTCGCAGATATTGCGTAGCTTGACTAATAACAGGTGCATCCTTCTGGTCTACCTTTTGTTGTCAGAATCCATTTTGATCCATCAACCAGCAGTGCGCAGTCCCAGACTCGCCAAATTAGGGCTTTTTTTGATGATCGGTTTTTTCTGGGTCATTGTCGTGCTGGGGGTATGCTCCGTGAGCTTTGTTCGCATCGGCTGCCCTACTTTGTAGTGAATCTAGATTCGCTTTTGTTTTCGTTTTTGTCTCTAGCTTCTCTTCGTTCGACGTTGACGCTGGTTTATTGTCATCTTCCAAGTTGTGCTTGAGGGTGTTAAACAATTATCATTCACGGTGTGAAACAAATTTGGATTCCATTATTGTACAGAATGCGTGGTGACGTGAATGATTTGGTGAGTCTTGAACCAGTTTGGTTTCCGTGGTCGTCTGTTGGTCTTCTCGACTGTGTCCGACGAAAATGAGACAACGTCAATACTGAGTTGACCAGTGAACTTGATTCGTGGCATGCTGTCTTTATAATAGCTGTCACTCCACATATCGAACCAGCGAGCCCTTGCAAACAACTCTTTGTAGCTTGCAGCTGGGAATATCGTACTCAAATTCCCGCATATAAGACATATATAACGATCAGGGAAGGCGGGGAGGCGCCTGGCGGTTGTTTTTTTTCGCTCCAAAACTAAACAAAAGCAGTGGGTTTGAACCCGGTCAGCCTATCGATTTGGAAACGGCTGTAAGTTGAGCCGTGTATCTGTGTATCACGTACTTATAGCACACAGATAAAATGCAGGGTGAAAATCCACAAGTCGGGGACGGGTGGGTCACCGTGGGTGCTCGCACCGTAACTTACGTTCCAAGTATCAAATGTCTCAACAGATCCGGGATGATGAAATTTTACTCACTAATAGTTTTCTATGTAGTCTTAGAGAGTACTAGGCTACAAGGTATGTCTAACCGTTCTCCATGAGGGCTGCTCAAAGGGCTGATTCAAGATCTGACGTTCGAGTTCACCTGTCCGAGCACCGCTCTAAGCGTCGCTAAACTTATCCTAAACGGGACTTGTACCTAAACATTAACCTAAAAAATTTAAGGCCTTACGGTGCGCAGTATCAGCGTCAACTTAAAGCACATCCTACACCTCGTCATTTATAATAATTCTCAGCAGACCCAACCCTTATCTAAACTTCGTTCAGTAGCAATGTATAATCAATTGATTTCATTTTTGAGATGATTAGACGGTCCATGATGTTCACGAACGTACTAGTACATATCATGAACAGGGTCACGAATATTAAGGGTTAGCCTGCTGAGGGAGCGACTCTGACGAGTTTGGGGTGCGCTTTATAAAGACTGCTTATAGATAGCTTACCACACCAAGTGTCGGTGCTGCGCAGTGCACGCCGTAAGGCACTGCTCGGATCCCCCAGGTAAACTCGAACTTTCAGAATGAAGGTCCTGGGCCATTGCGCCGCGCCACACTGGCAATTACCGGCGAACTCGGTATGCATTTGGTCAGACAGAAGCACCACCGGACACACGGGTGCACCTGCTTTAGATGTTGTTGTAATTTTCAATCTGATGAGTCAAGAAAGGAAATCTGGCGGTCAAGCCAATGGGAGTTGGGATATCTGCGAAGATATGCTAGACACAACCCATCCATTGAAAACACTCGCAGTCACCCTATTCTCGATTGTCCAATCACATTGCAACAAAGCGGTTCGCACTTTTGACCGTGGCGCAATCGGATCCCTGACCTTCACTCCGCCTTTTATCTGTGTACTATTACTAGTAAGAACATGAGACGTAGATCAGTTGAGGCACTCGGACCAAATTTTGCTAAATCGAGCAACCCCCATTCAGACCAAGAGAACCTTCCGCTTTTTTGGCGCTACTATCACTGACGGGGTTTTTCAAAATGGGTATTGGGTTTCAAAATTCGCTGATCATCATATCGCGAGCTGCGCACTGCACAAAAATATTCTGTGATTTTAGCCAGTGTTCTCTAGTGTCTATAGAACACAGCTGTGAAGATCATATAGAAAACATCGAGCAGTTGTGTTCACAATAAATCATCCATTGAAATATGTCACACCACTGAATGTTAATGATTGTAATGCTACAATCTATATACTTTGTCAAACAGGACAAAAACTATGTGAAAACAATCTCTGTCCCTATACAAATGATGCTTACCACTGCGATTTCTATATCGTGATTGAGTGAGGGCAGAACCATGTTATTAGTGAAGTTGTTGAAAGAGTGCATCCCGCACCGTGACTATAGTGCTGCATCAATTATAATCTCCGCTCCGAATCCATTGAACGTTCACTCGTTCAGATATCGAGATTCAAAATTTTGCCGAGTGTGCCGTTGCGGAGCTATAAAACTCCAGTGTGACATTGCTATGACAAATTTTGAAACAGCATATCCAGTCCCTGCCAAACTGACATCGCACAACCGGATTCCTTCCGCCACTCGAACATCATCGCAAAAAAATCAGATTTCACCTGGGTGTGATAGAGCACGATTTTTCCCTTAGGTCTGTCAAGAAGCGGGAAAAAAAAACCTCTTGACGAGTGTGCTACGCTTCAAACATTGAAAACCTTTGAAAAACCCCGCCAGTGATAGTAACTGCTTATACGAAAGCAAGTCATTGCGCTCCAACATCAATCAAAGTCAGTATTTACATAAAACAACCTAATATTCGAGCATCTAAATCTCGTAAATAATCTACAACGGTATGATGGGGCTCCAGAGTCCAGGTCTATGCCACGGAAATATCTACAACTTGTTCTTGATCTCTCTGAGACGGGCACCCTGAAGTCGCTCATCTACAAAGGCATTGCATTAGATTACCAAAAGAAAAGACACGGGACTCACAGTTGCTATCATAAAGGTTATCACTGGGCACAGAGACTATGTGCAGGTGGATGTTTGAGGAGTCAACCATCTCTGGCACGACTTCCTTTATACTACGTGCCCCCAACAAACGCATGTTCATTTCGAACTCGTCCTATCAGTGTGATGAGAAGACATAGATTTCAGGGAGGAAAGAACACACATGCAAAATTTGAAGGGCCTGGTCGATACCTTCAGGCCCATAAGCTGAGTATGCATACAAGAATGGGCGACCGACACCAACTGTTGAGGATCAGCATGAAGAATGACTGAAGTATTATTTCTATCTCATGGATGATCTCTTAACTTACCAGCTGTAGCACCCAATGCAACGGCTTTCATCACGTCAGTCGCACGGCGGACACCACCATCAATGAATAGTTGGAACTTCTCATTAGGAAACGACAGTCCACGCTTCTCTTTGAGTTTGGTGGTAACTTCAACGAGTACTTCAAGACCCGACCGTGCGAAGTCGAGCTGACGTCCACCGTGATTTGACAAGACGACGCCACTAAGCCCGATGTCGTATGCTTCGAGTGCATCCTAGCATAAAAACGTATGTAAGGCTCGATACCAGGAAAGGACACTTAAAGTACCTCCCAACATTGGACACCTTTCAGGATGAGGGGCACTGCAAAATTATGAGACCTAGCAGTTTTTAGACATGTGTTTATACCCCTTACTCTTAGTTATACTCTTAAACCATGCCATATCAGACCAGTTCAATCCAGGGTCGATGAAAGACTATCAGCCAATATGAGCTATACACTACCATAGAGCCTTGAGTATCACTCACGCTGATGGCTCGCGCAGCTCCCTGGGAGCGATCAATCCCCCCTTGGTCCGCCTTACTGACCTCCGAGGGATCTTCAGCTTCAAACTTCTGCCGCATATCCTTCTCTCTGCGGCCGAGCTGTGGTGCATCAACCGTAATGAATAGACCTTTGATACCACGTTGCTCGGCATGTCGTACTATGCGTTTCGTAATTTCGCGATCTTTATTGACATAAAGCTGGAAGAATTGTACTTGGTCAGGCGCTGCAGCATCCATGATTTCATCGAAGGAACATGACGCAAGGGTCGGGATCTGTAACGAGCATGGTAACGGCAGTTCAACAACATGGATGTGCAAGAAATGCAGACCATCTGGATAATGCCATGCTTCGCGGCTGCCCGTGTTAGATTCAGCTCGCCGTCAGGATGACCCAGCTTTCCCAGAGCTGTCGCAGTCTGCAGAATGGAACATCTCAAATATGAAAAACTTAATCGGAAAGAAAGAACGTACGATGTATAACGGCATGCTTGATTTCTGCCCCAGTATTGTCGTTGACCAATTAACTTTAGTTACATCTTTGAGAATCCGTGGACGGAACCATATCCTGGAGTACAGAACTTCGATCAGAACCCCATACGTTGGTTTACGATTAGATATACCTATGAAAGGCAGCATGGTTCTCCCTGTTCGTAATTTCGTCATCAGCTGCTGAGGAGTAATATGCCCATGCTTTCTCTGGCATAGTATATTTCGCAATGGCCTGTAAAATACGTAAGTATATGCTTTGTCCACATGGTGAAGCCAAACCTCAAAGTCATGAAGGTTCAAAATCTCGGAAAGGGGTGGGCGAGCAGCAATGCGTTCTTGACGTGCACGTTCTTCATCAGTAATCTTCACCTCGACCTTCTCCACAGTTGAGATATCAACGCTTCCCAAGCTAACGTGAGTGAGTCATAGTCATAATCATGTCAATGGAAGATACCGACTGTTTCTCAGGTTTGAGGTTGGTCGTAATGGCATCTGGTGGATGAATTGGGTCATACTCTGCACTGCCAGAATAACATAAGAAACAAACAAATGAGGTATGGAGAATGACGTACGTCGCGTCCTTTCCAGCATACTTCAAAATTATCTTGCTTCCACCTGTGGTTATTAATCAGTCGATATACATCGTTGTGCAAGAGAGGTTGTGTTTCACCAGGGTGGTCTGTGCAGGTGCACTCAGTCCAGGGTTGATCATATCAAGTTGCAATGTACTCACCGTCCAGGAAGTCTGTGACATCGTAAACCTTGCCTACAAACAAATGTCCAAGTCAGTCATTCGCTTTTGTTGATCCCGAGGTAGACTAATAGACGGCTGGAACCATGAGAGATATACACCCACCATGTACAATGATCCAGCAGCTCTCGCGGCTGTTGTGCACAGCGACTTCCTTGCCGGAGTACGTCCTGCCTGAGCTTGCCATGGTTGTCGCGTTGTAGGAGAACCTGAACACGACGGTTTTGAAAAAAGGTCACTCACAAGTGTATGCAAGTGTATGGTGGCTAGACTCTTGAGGTCACGAAGAGCCGACGGAGCGCCGTGGCCGACTGGATGCCGGATAGGAGTATTTCTGGAGGCGGCGACCCATTCCGGGAACCTGTGATCGTCACGACTCACAAGCAAGTTTCCACAAATATCGGTTAAGATTCCAGGTGTATTGCATGCATATGTTGCTTGTAGAGAGGTAAAAAAAAAATCTAATGATAACAGCGTAATGATAGTGATGCTGATGCCCGTCCCGTATACAATTGAAACAATCGAAAGCCCGAATTAGAGCGGAATAATAAGGAGATCCCAGTCAAAGTCAAATTGGCCCTAAACGACATCGAATGAACTACCTCCCGCCTTTGTGTCTAAGTCGATAACATCTCGGAGACCCATGACCTCAAAGAAGGCCTTGGGATCCATGCCCTTGGCCGATGAGAAGTCAGTGCCGGTCTTCTTCAAGGATTGCATAGCAGCACGAATGCCATGCACGGCAGCGACGCAGGACACGAGTGAGAAAACTGGAAGCAGGTTCAAACATCCTTTCTCATGCAGGCAGTGTACTAAACTCACTGATGATCTTAGCGCCGAGAGCCTCGGCTTCGTTGGTAGTGAAGGAGGGTGTTAGTCCACCAGAAATAACATTAACGAGGACGGGTTTGGGCTTCAAGGCTTCGACCGTGGAGGTCAAAAGCTCGGCGGTTTTAACGCCCTCAATGAAGCAGACATCGGCACCGGCATCAGCTGCCAATTTCAACCGAATGACGGCTTCTTCCATGCCAAGGACTTGAGCGGAATCAGTACGTCCAATAATGACCTATTAAGATGTATTAGACCAGAAATTAAGAATCATGATGCGCCCCTTACGAAGTTCGAGCCACCAGGGAAAGAGTCACGAGCAATGACGGCCGCTCGGATACGGGTAACGAATTCCTCTCGGGAGACAACCTGCTTGCCCATCAAGTGACCGCAACGTTTGGTTTGCACTTGGTCCTCGATGTGCATGGCAGCAACACCAGCGCGGATGTATTGATAGACTGTGCGAGCAACCATGGCAGTACCACCGAAGCTGAATTGTATAAAGGTGTTAGCTGAGATGTCTGCACATATATACAATGTACTTACCCAGTATCAGCATCAGCAATAACAGGAGTGCTTGGGCTTAAGCTGCACACCATCTGTGCACTTTGGACGAAGTCATTCAGTGTAGCAATGGCAAGGTCGGGCATGCCAAGACGTGAAGCGGTGGTTGCTGCACCACTTTGGTACATACAATCGAAACCAGCTTCAAGTGCGCAACGAGCACTAATACCATCACAAATACCAGGGGCAATCTGGTAGGACAACTAAGAATACATGATCTACAGAGGAGAATGTTCACTTACAACTATACCTGGCCTGGCAAGCATTTGACGAAGACGAGTGGCAGCATCGAAAGAGAGTTCTCCATGAAGGAAGTTCTTCGGGTCGAGGCGGGAGTTATAGTAAACACTAGGTCTAGGTGTCACCTGAGGCACCATGGAGGTACCATTTTCTTCAGGTTCTGCATCGGGGCAGATTTGGACGACTGGCGCTTGGCTAGACTCAGAGCTCTTGAAGAAATCAAGTCCAGGTGCCATTGAGAAGAAAAATTTAGATAAATAGATATGGAGAGTGCGAGTGAGCAACAGTTTGAAAAGCTTTAGAGGGAAGGTTGGGTTTCAATAAGGTAGATGAAAGGCAGCTTGGCAAGGAAGGGAGGGATGACATCAATTCTGAGCAAAGTGTTCGGCTTTATAACCTTCGGGTAGTTACAAAATTTCGAATGTTCTGTGTTCCGCGGCACCAAAACCGTAAACCGGCAGGAAAGGGTAACGTATACGGCGTCAAGGGCTCATACAAGTTGCAGCCACATTCGTTCACTGAGGGGGATTCGATTTGGACATGGACAAATGAAACTATTGCGGAGACAAAGTGGCGAGAGAAGAGGATGAAAGGGGAAACCACAGGACACACCTATCAGATAGATGCGGAGCAAGGAGAAAACGGGAAGAATATGAAAGTCTTGGCTCCGAGACACTCTGCCGGCAGCCAATAGAAGTTCGAAGCGAAATTCTCGTAGGCGGCGCCAACTCAGGGTTGAAATCAAGTTAATAGCCCGAGGTCATTAATCAGACAGACCACCGGCAGCTCTAAACCAGTACATAGGTGCTGAAGCAAAAGCCTAGCCGGAGCATGTGGAACAAAGCTTGGAACCGGCCACCGGCACTGGCACGGACTAGAAGTGATGGTATTTGAGCGGAGATACCAGAGATATCAGATCTTCAATTACTATCGGTTAGTGTCCCGAAGAACAAACTCGACCGCCGCGTGAGCTTGATCATGAAGTCGAACATAGTGATAAAAAAAGAATACCTCAAATGGTTAGGTGTTCTTTTTGAAGTTTAAATGCTTCCTTGAAGACGCATTGCACACCATGTTTGTTTTTGTGACTGCATAGGACCCGAATACCTGCCAGAGCTGGGAACTAAATGTTGTTGTGATCGCCGCATCATACAATTGTTGTTGAGCGTTGACGTTAAGTGCTACATAATCTAGTCTACAGCAGTACTAGGCCTGGACTCACGTTTGTATGGAACTGTTTACTTTTCACCCAAATGGAAAGTCTCAATTCCGAGGGACCTCGTCCAAAAGGGTGAGAAAACAATGAGTGTCCTTAATTTGGACGCAACGCGTTTGTATGTATTTGGTGAGTGTGTCGTATCACCTCTAACCCTAACCACAATAGCCACTGTCACGCTGTGTGAATCGGACAGTACACCAAGCTTCGTCGGGCAACAATGCTTGTTTGTCCCCCTTCGAGCTGATAGTCTTCATTCTTAGGTCTTGTGATATCCCAATGCAGTCGATGTCAGCATGAGGCTCCCAATTGAAGCGTAGCTTCGGCCTCACTGGCAGGGTCAGTATTGCACACAAACTCTGCATGAACTCCCAATCTTGCCTGCAGGTTTTTTGCAGTATCCAGGTAAACTATTCCGCCATTTGATAGACATTAACTTTGTCTCTACAAGGTATGGCATGGTTTATGTTTGACCGGTTGACACGGCCAATCTTACCAATTTCTTTCAATGGTATGTATGACAGACTCGAACGGATCTTATTGTTTTGTGCGGTCGATGCGAAAAAACAACCGTTTGTGCATGATTGTGAGTCGACGAAAGTTGCGCAAGAGTGTAGCAATCGAGACTTAAACGTTCCATGCTTCAAGCAGCTACTCGCAAGGAACAGGGTTAGGTTGGCATCAAGAATGTATGTGATAAATGAAAGGTCCTGTTGGTCGAGAATACAAGGCCTGCCACAACGACGAGCAAATGGATTTCTTGCCCGTCCGAAATCTCGGTGGAGTTCAAGATTTTGTAGACATTTCGCTGACCTGCATCCAGTAAGTTGAGCTATTTTTAGTAACTGTCTGAGTGTGTGACAGGTTACACAGCAAACACATGAGAGTTTTTGGTCCAAATACAGGACTGAACGTGTTTCATATGCAACGCACGGTAATCAATCAATCAGTCACCCATGACGATCATATTATGTAATCACAACACCGAACATATAGGCTTTGACGGCATATTCCGAGGCCAAGGGTTTGCGGCAGTAGGCGCCCGGATCGAATCTGCTACACAATGAATATGTGCATTCCATGGCTTAGCGAACCCCTCAGACCCGCGATACAAAGTCGGCGTTAGGGGGGGTTTATAGATATTCCTTTGAATCGAGATGATGGAATGCAGACACAATCGACTTACATACGGCGGTTCAGCATTAGGTCGTTTCTGGCCGGCTCGTGATATTTGAGAAATGTGTAACGTGTTTCATGATGCTGTCGTACTTTCACCCAAAGTCCGTATGCGTACGCTATTTTCCTTCCACTGTCCGGTCTAACCCCGACTGCAGTGCTCAATCCGATCCACTTGTATGTTCATGATCCCCATTCATAGCGGAAGGCAGTCTGCTCCTAATGGTATGCTCTACGACGTAAATCTTGCATGCGATTTCCGCACATTCCGCTTAGCAGCGCTCAAAAAGTGGATGATAAGACAAGTTCTTGCGAAACTCGAAGATACTACCCCCATTAAAATCGTTCTGATATGTCTCTAATTTCTACTCAGACAGTCGCTGAGCACGCTACTTCCTCAAGTTGTTGGATCATCGTGCACGGTGTGTAGCTCGCGCATTAATTTATTCGGCATCAAGTATTTACCAACAATATATTACACAAGGCAAAGTGTACGATGTTACAGATTTTTTGCCTGGTACGTCACTGGACTATGGCATAAAGCAAATAATCCCGCGTTCTTATCGCTCACCGATGGTTTTCCAGAACATCCTGGTGGCAGCAAGATCATCCTGAAGTATGCCGGTGTGGATGCAACGTAAGGATCATCGTATTCGTACGGGTCTAGCCTAATGAGGAATTTACCGGTTATCAGTGAAGCATATGACCCTATCCACCCTCCGGATGCCATTACGACCCACCTACCCAAGGATAAGCAGTGAGTAACAGCAGAATCTCCGGGAACATATTGGTGACCGAGTCGTGTTATTTGCGTAGCCTTGGCGTTGTCGACCCGAACACTGTGATCAAAGTTGTCAAAGAAGTTACTGCGGAGGAGAAGAATCGCCAAGAATTGATGATGGCTCGGCCTTCTTTGGATGCAATCGTTAATCTGCATGATTTTGAGGTCGGTGCTTGGCGTCAGTAGGGTCCTGTGTGAATTAACCACGTGTCTGAAAGGCAGTCGCAAAAGGCATCCTCCCTCCTAAAGCGTGGGCCTACTACTCTTCAGCGTCTGATGATGAAATCACCATACGCGAGAATCGCGCTGCATACCAAAGGTTCGCCCAGCGTTATCCATAATTGATAATTGAGTTATGGTCTGACGATGTTTTCTAGAATATGGTTCCGTCCTCGTGTTCTTCGTGACGTCTCGGTTGTCGATTGGTCGACAACTATCCTCGGTCGGAGATCCTCGCTTCCAGTGTACATCGTAAGTGCTTGGCATTCCCATAAGTTGTAATTATATTTGATCTTACCCGGTCTGCCAGTCTGCTACAGCACTTGGCAAGCTTGGCCATCCAGATGGAGAACTCAATTTGACCAGAGCGGCCGGCAAGCATGGCGTAATCCAGATGGTAATGATCACATTTTATCAAATTGATGGTGGCCATTGTTGACCAGCGATGCAAAGATCCCAACGCTTGCATCTTGCGCCTTCGATGAGATCATTGATGCTGCGGTCCCCGGTCAGGTCCAGTTCCTGCAGCTCTATGTCAACCGTGACCGGGAGATCACAAGGAAGTACGTCCAACATGCTGAGAAGCGTGGTGTGAAGGGCCTCTTCATAACTGTCGATGCCCCTCAGCTTGGGCGCCGTGAGAAGGATATGCGCATGAAATTCGTTGACGAATCTGGGGTTGCAAAAGTTCAAGAGAATCAGTCAGGAGTCAAGAAGGACGAGGGCGTTGCCCGCGCCATCTCTGTGGGTCCAAGCCAATCTTATGTGACGGATAATATTGAAGATTGTGCATCGATCAGTCCTTCATCGATCCTTCCTTATCGTGGAAGGACATCCCCTGGTTCAAGAGCATCACGAATAGTCAGTACTTCTGGGCCGATTTGAAATAAATTATATCTAACACTTTCTTCTCAGTGCCTATTGTCCTCAAGGGTGTTGCTACACCTGAAGACGCACTCATGGCCTATGACTATGGTCTTGCTGGAATTGTCCTATCTAATCACGGTGGTCGTCAACTCGACACGGCTCGATCCGGTGTCGAGAACCTGATTGAGGTTGTTGCCGCTCTCAAGACCCGTGGCCCTTGGCCTAACCCTAAATTCGAAGTCTTCGTCGACGGTGGCGTTCGGAGAGCTTCTGACGTTCTCAAGGCTATCGCCCTCGGAGCATCTGCTGTCGGTGTTGGCCGGGCATTTATGTATTCCTTCTGTGCCTATGGACAAGACGGCGTTGAGAAGGCCTTCCAAATCTTCCGGGTGAGTCGATCGGGCGATCACAGGATGCATATCTGATAAAGTTACTCCAAAATATAGGATGAGCTGGAAATGAACATGCGCCTTCTTGGCGCCCGCACCATAGATGACCTGACACCTGATATGGTCGATGCAAACGCTCTCCACTCGCACGTTGGTCTCACTCCAGTAGATAACCTGTATAATACTACATGTGAGTTCTTGCCATTCGATCCCGTGATGTTCCTTCTGATCCCGTGTTTCGAAGATCAACCCCTGGCGCTTGCCCAGTTCAAGAACAAGCTGTGAGACTCGCGACATTGCGGTCCCGCATCTGAGTCCTGCACATAGCGTTCATCTCTGCTCTTGATTCCTAGTTGGTTGTATTATTCAGTTATACCTCGCATGATATAAATGATACCTTCACCCAATCATGCATTTCCATATCCCGTACATACTGTATTCTGGCCATCGAAAGGAGGGCCACTCGAGTAGTCAAGTGCTATTTCAACCTGGCTGAATTATTCCATGTAGTTGATACTATCATGATGCGTGCTGACTCGATTGAGGCATGACTAAGTAGTTATGCCTGCGAAATAAACAATAGTGCCAACGTATGACAATGGAACACGATTTGAAAAAAAAACTGAGATCCAGGATATTATTTGAGGACGTACATATTAAGATTAGTGCCGGTCCCCCGACATCAAGTTATACGCACATGGTCGCCTTCCAAATCACCGTGGATCTGACATCACACTCGTAGATGACTAGTCTTAATATGATTGGGATGAACCGGCGCAAGATGCTGGGCGTTCCGAGTCGGTCATTGTTGGGTTGGTCTATTAGAGCTTGGCACATGATAAGAGCTCGTAGGCTAAGCCTAGGACAATTGTACCCGAGGCATGCCAACCTCCTGTAAGGATCTAGGGAACGGATGGTGTCAATAATCGTGGTAATGTGTCGAATTCGATTGGCTATCTGACATTAAGTATATAAGGACGGAACGTTTGATCTTGCAGAGGGGCGGTATTTGTTTTGACGCGGCCACTGAGTGGTCTGCGCAAAGGACGGAAGATAAGCTATCATATTACCTGTCCTACTTGGCAAATAATTCCCAAAAGGCGTCAGGCGAACGGCGTACCTGAACGGTCATAGCAGGAGATGAGGTCCCAAACACCCAGCGGTTGATATGGATGATTTTAATCGCCTATCTCGATTGGATAGAAAAAGTTAGATATGTGTTTGATCAACTCCTATAGGATGGTATGAGTGCACTCACGAAAGCCATAATATATATGGATTTCCAAAAGCGCCATACGGTTCTTCTCTGGGCCATAGAAGACAAAAAAAGAGGAGTTGCTAGAAAGGTGGTTTCTTGGAGTTCCGCTTTGTCCATTGCTCAAAAAGCTTGGTAAATGATTTCATCACCGCCGATGAACGACTATAGTGTACAATGTACAGTAATTCTGTTAGGACAAAGACACCGTTAGAAACAAGTTAGAAAATCGATTATTATGACAGATTGAATATGTACCTAAGTTAGACTAACGGTTGAAGTACTGACGCGCAGGGTGGGTTTGACGCGGCACAATTTGCTTGATGTGGCATGCAAGTTGGCCTTGACGCAACATAGGTAAGTATGGACGTTGACATTAGTGCGGAGGCTGCGAAGATGTTGTGAGAACTTGTCGTGGTATGAGTGGTGCTTAATCCAGCCTAAATGGGGCTTGACATGGTAGCACAGAGGCCCCATCGGACTTGACAAGTTGGGGCCGAGGCTTGACACGGTGAGACAATAATTTACACTGCGTCTGAAAACCAATATTAGATCACTTTAGAGGCAATATAAGATGTACAGGACTATTAATTGATACATTCCCGCGCGCAGGGCCTGTACGCAGATGGACATTCATATATACATTGATCGTTGAGGAGGATTCAAAGCGTTTGGAATTCATTTTAAGTGACATAAGATGATGATCCTAGATTTGTGACAGTGCTGCGTCACGGCCATGACCGCGGAAGCAATTTGCCTAACTCACTGTGTACGTGCACTCCGCTGCTCCCGGTCAGTGTGCGCTTGGCAGTCAGCCGTCTACGCGCCGTGTGCTTATTTCTGTGCCTGGGTTCCACCATTTGCAATACAAGAATCTGCTTAGTGAGACGGGCCCAAATGATTTCCGCGGTTGGGCGGCAAGACCCCTCAGCGGTGATTATATGTTTGCGATTGATATGACCGTGAAATGACCGTGTCACCCGCTGGACAACAAGATAGTCTCTTGATGATGGCTAAACCGGCGAACCGTCAGCACATTTACCCACTAAAGCCGTAGGCGGCCCGAACTCAACTGCCGGTTTCTGGATTGCGTCTTGTGCATGCTGCGGTCGCGGGATTTACTCATTGCCGCTCCGTACGGTGATATATGGTCGCATCGCCCAGCCTTCAAATTTTGGTTCACCGACAGAAACAAGGGGCATTGATGAATACAAAACATGAGAACACGAAAGACGCTGTTCTTGATGTATCGAAGTTTTGGTCCGCGATCAAAGATAGAGGCGAGACGTTGTCAGTAAGAAAACAGTAGGTTATAAAGCAACAGAGCAAGACAATTCGTACAAGTAGAGAGGCGATCACTATATGATCTGATCTGTTGTTCAGCAAGTCGTGACGTCCATGCTGTTGATGTGTACGACCACCTCTTCATGATGGATGTTGTCCCCCCAATTATTCCTGTTTGCCTTTGGCATTATACCGTGGCCCAGCAAGACCCTGAATCATCGCTTAGCGAAGGCACCCAAGGCCATTCACAGACAAATGCTGGCGCCAAGTATCACAGACATCACAGAGCTTGAATTGGGCACAAAATGCGGCCAAGTGCTGCGTCGATCATCTTCAAGGGAATAATAGAGCCGCCAACTGTTACACGGTATAGTGCGTAGTTCGTACACAAGGGGTGTTGCCCGAGCACATTCCACATCAGACCTGAGCATGTGCATAGTTGTCGTGACTACTCCGTAAAAAATGACGGTGCGCTAGAGTAACGGTAAAAATCCTGCTTACTCGAAGCAATGACTTAGATGCACAAATGTCACAACAGCTCCTCGTGGACATTGAAATATCTGGACATGTAATGTTAGCTCTCATCGTACGCAACTGATAAGGATTGCGTACCGCACGACCTGTCCCGTTCCGCGACATGTTCCTGCACCATTATTTTCCCATTTCACAATCCAACGTCCCACAATCTTGCCGGCAGCATTAAATGTTTCCGCTATTGTTTCTTCCTCGCCCGGTGCACCGCCTTTCACCGCCATAAGTGCGTCCTCTTTTGGCGGTGGCAATAGGACGCTTTGCACGAGCTCCCACTTTGCAAATGGTCGCTTCGTCTCTACTAGGAAATCAGCGTCGTATACACGCGTGACGAGCCTTTTCAGCGTAAGCGTAAGCGTGGTCATCTCGATGCCTTCGATGTTGCTATTGTCAGCTGGCGAAAGTCTTCGCAGGTCGACGACATAGGATGCGCCGGCCCACCCGACGAGGGCGGTCGAGACAGAACTTGTAGAAAGTGCGGTTGCTGCTAAGGCGATTCGAGCGGATAGAGGGAGTGATGATTCGACAATGAAGATGAATGGGGTCATAATACATGACAGACCCAAGGATGACAGGGAAAAAAATTTGAGACGACGGAATGTCTGTGTAAGTGGACCATGATAAGCAACCGGCTCAGCTAGGCTGTCTACGGAAGAGGGTGTTTTTGTCGATAACGCAGCATCGTCTGCTGTTAGAGGGGATGTTGAAAGATGTCGACTCCGAGCAGTGAGCTGTGGCCGCTGCCTCTGCGGATTACAGGACGTGGACCAAGACTTTAAAGCTCGTGCAGATCTGCAACAAACCACGGAGCTATTGAATGAAGCAAGCCGATGGGCTCGATAGCTGGCCAACCTGAAAGTAGTGAGCTGGAACATGACAATGGAGGTTCGGTTATCATGTGTTTGTCACTGCAAGTTGGCGTCACCGACGATCGGCGTTTTGCGTTAGCCTCGGCTCTCGATGGACGCCCCAGTATATTATTCCAAGGCTGAATTCATCGAAACTGTAAGCGACGAACCCAGTGGATTCAATAAATCGTTGACACTGATCTAGGACACAGGAAACAAAGTCTCTCGAAGAGCCACCATAGCTGGACCTCAGAACATCATTCTCGGAGGAAAGACTATCATTTCCAGCGGTGCAATCATCCGTGGAGATCTTCGCAGAACAGGTCCTGGTCATGCTGTCGTCATTTCCCTTGGAAGGTACTGCCTCGTTGGCGAGGGTTGCGTGATGAGGTGCGTCTTACTTGGGGGTAGCATATGCGTCTAACTTGGAGGTTCTGCGATACTCCAGGCCACCATACAAGACGTATCGCGGAAATTTCAATTACTACCCAATGAAGATTGGGGACTATGTTCACATTGGTGCCAATACTGTCGTCGAAGCCGCGACGATTGGGAATCATGTTGTCATTGGGAAGAATTGTGTTATTGTGAGTCTTCCTGACCATCAATACATTGTCTTCAAAATTCACTGGGTATGTCCTGCAGGGAAAGTTTACAATCATCAAAGATTGCGCACAGGTCGCAGACAACACCGTCATTCCTCCCAACACCGTTATTCCAGCTCTGGCACTATTTGCTGGCTCGCCAGGCTAGTGATTTTTAATATTGGCTTGTATGTTTCATGATAATGATGCCGAGTGTGTTGTCGTAGGTCGCTTTGTCGAAGATTTACCAGAGTCAACACAAGAGATGGTTGAATCCCAGACAAAACAGTACTACAGTCGTTTCCAGCCTCTAGAGCGATGATTAGGCATCGTGATCGTCTAGCCTTAGCCCACTTACCATCACTTGTACCATCAGATCATCAAACTTATCATGCGCGACCTCTGGGCAGTCATGGTATTTTGCATTGCACCTATCCATCTACCTGATCCACAGTAACATGACATCTCAGTTATGATGATCGTTTCCCCTTTCCCATGGCTCTTGTCGGCACTGCCTCGGGGTCAGGCTCAAATTCCTTTTCACCCTCCAACAGGTTGAAGTAATGTCAGTGTGTACTTATGTCTGATTTAACGCGCGATGTCTCCAAGCACCACAAGACTCATCACTTGTGAGGATGCCGCGGGAATATAGGTGCGAGATCCTCCCGCGGTGTAGCCTGAGGGTGAAGATACAGACGAATCGTTCTGCCAGTATTTGTGGGTCAGAGATTTCAGTACTGCTCCCTATTAAATTGTTACTGCATGAGATCCTCTGAATGCGAGAAGCACACCTGTCTTGCAGGCTCCACACTTTGGTCCGAGTCGACCCGCAGATTCAATAGGACAAACACACCATTTTATAATTGCATGCTTGGAAAAAAGGGAAATTCCTAGTTGTGGTCTATTATCATGTGGGTAGTATTGTCAATTCATGTGCTATAGAACTAGAAGATTTAAACAAATTGTCAATTTAAGGACTTAAGTAAGAGTAGGAACTCACTATATCTACATCATTTACTTGGCTCAGACTGGTTTACCTCTCGTGTTCGAGGTCGCAGTGAGGGGAACAACGACTTGCGTTTCTGCAATGGGGATGCTGATTTGTTGCCACCATCGCTGACGTCGGAGTCGGCATGTTTGTGGTCACGTTCATGGGCGATGGTTAAGAAATTGACGATAACAGCCCACAGGCTGTTGGCGCTCATATGACTGTACTCTTGTAAGACAGCTTGATCCGCAATCCGCGCGAGCCGTCGAGCTTCATCTGTATCTCGCCGTGATACAATGCTACTCGGTGGAGGACGCTCGTCCACATCCAAAGCCCAAGCCCAACTCCAGCTGGCAGCAGCAGCTTCCAGACCTTCTTTGATACCTTTCACAGTATCATGTGCCTTCCCCTTGCCATTTTTGGTCTGCGAACCATGCAAGTCTTGAAGTTGTGCAATATTCTTCAGAACGTCTTTTCTCGAAAGCTCGAGGTTGCGATGGCGTTGCTTTTGGATGGCGTGTCGCTCTTTCGCAAACTTCTTGTCGAATTTACCCTTTCCCTCCATATAGCGTCGCACAGCGAGCTCCGAGAGAACTCCTATGATTTCCGAAGGAGTATGAAATGCGCCCAAGTCTGCCTCTGGTTCTAGTGGTCGAAGTACACCGGAAGTTGACACCCTTTCGCGAATCATGCCTTCCTCCCAGAGGACACCCTGCGAAAGAATCAGGGACATCAGCTGGGTTTTCAATAACGCACATTGTAGAACATACTTGGTCATCGCAATATACCCTACTCTCTCCTGCAAATCGCTGTACGTTATCAGCGGAGTCAGACGTACTACCCTTGATCTCCTTGCCTCCCACATTTACGTTATCCGAAGATCGAGCCCGCAGTGCAGATTCGAAAAGAGTGTTGTCAGATGCAGACTTCGGTACACCAGGTCGAGACAATGGAGGGAGAAGATATTTGGATGAACGCGGCGAAAGACCACCGGAATCAGGATCATTAGACGACGACAAGCTATCTGGTTTTCCCTGGGTGCGATTTAGAAATTCAGGCGTAGACAATGCACGGGAGAGCAGAGAAAACCTGACGGCGGTGCGAGAGGGTAAGGCACTAGTAGTAGGAGAGGCCATCGGACTGGACGAAGATCTGGACAGTGTGTTCATGCCTGTAACGTGCTTTGTGAAAGATGCAATTGCGCGGTAGCAAAATTTTCCTGGGGTAGTAAAAGAGAACAGAACAGGCAAAACATGAGCCGTATCTAGGGCGAAAGACTTATTTTAGGCTGCAATGCAAATGACGTTACTCACCATCATAGACCTGTAGATGAACTGCAGTTGGACTGAAACGGTCTTCTATTCCTTTGAGTGGTGGGTAAAGAGAGCGTACTTCCTTCTTGATTGGATAACGGGAAGGATGTGCAGCTTTGTGAGCTCTTCATAGGAATTTTAGATGGTAAACGGGCCAAAATGTTGACGACTAACGAATAAATGGCTTCGTCTCTCAAAACCTCCTTGTCACTCGCAATGAAGAGCAAAGGCGGCAAGCCGCCCAGGTACGAGAGGGCTGGACTAACGAGTGGGTGTCCGAGCAAGCTATTTTGGACATACATGTGCACCTGCTCTTCTATCACCAATAATTCACCTGAATTGGTTAGAAGACGTATGGCCTGATCTTCTTTCCTGTCGACTGATGGTAGAGCAGCAGTGGCACCCACGTTAACAGGCATTTCACTGCAAGCCGATTTTTCGTCCTCCCCGGTTAGGTTAATCAATGACACACCCCTTGAATCCTGATGTACGCTGACATTTGAGGAAACTTCAGTGTCGTGTTTATCATGCTTCGATTCAAGCCGGACCATCTGACGTATCCGCTTGCGCAGCCCAGAATGGACGGTGCTGGTCATTTCATCCGATGGCGGAGGCCACAAAGGACTAGGTTTTTGGAATGAAAGTCCATATACAGGAATGACATCCTGCGTATTATGGAGTTAGCATACTGTTGCACAATTCCATTGGTAGCCTACCGTAGCGGTGTTGGTGTGGATGCTTGGGAAAGAGTGTGTTAAATCGCACCAAGGAGAAATTAAGATCCCTCCTGCAGGCAATGGGAGTCCAGTGTCACGCAAAATTTGTAACAATGCGAGGGTTAGACCGCCCCCTGCGGAATCTCCTGCAATAACAATATGTGCTGGCTGTACTGGCTGGTGGGACGCATCAGAAGGAGGTTTGATCAAGTAAAGATCTACAAGGGAGGGTCATTTAGAACTTTGCGCTCAGAATTCTGGAACGACGGTACTGACAAGCAGCAAGAAGATCTTGTAAGGCACAGGGAAAGGGATACTGCGGAGCCAGGCGGTAGTTGATAGCTAGCTTCTGTTCAATGACAGTTAATAAGTGGTAGTGAGAGGATGACTGACCAAAAACACGGCCGTTGATCTTCCTTGCATGCCGCTGGAGACTGTATCTGAATAACCCGTGACCAATATTGCTAATCGGGACAAGAAGAAGCCAACCTTTCTTGATCAACACTCCCAAAATAGTAACCCCCTGAGAACTGTCATCGTATGCTTGCAAATTTAAGTAAAGACACAACACACCTCCATGAGCGTATAGTATGCAGCGCATTTCGTCCATTTCTTCCTTGTAAATATTACTCTCATTTGAGCTGGAAGCTGGCAGTCCACTTGGAGTCGGGGTATCACTTTCACTGGTGGGTATGTCCGTATTGGAGTTCGCTCTGTATTTCGCTTTGTTCCGCTTCTTCGCCTTTTGATAGTCCTTGCGAGCCGTGATCCACTCTGCATCGATACTAGATAAATTGAAGTGAGTAAATGATTCCTTATTCACAAGTGCAGATATTATTACCCTTTGACTCCACGCACTTGCCACCATTTTGTGCCACCCACTAGGCGCTTGGCGAGTTCTTCTCCACCAAGCGCTTGGATAACATAGGTGGCAGCCTCGTCGCAGCAGGACAATGGAACTAATAAACGCACAACATGAGAAGAGGGAAGAGACGGAGTCCGATTATTCGAAAATGCTTGAACTTCCTCCACGGTATGACTGGGTCACTGTCAGACACACGTATTCGCGGTCGGATTTGTGCACGCACTATGTCGAGGCCTCGAGGAAACTCTGCATTCCGCCCTGAGCTCGTGGGTACTCGGATGATTGACTCCGAAACGTACCTTCACGATATTGAACGCTTCATGGTAGAGAAGTTCGTCCTGGTGCAGCTGTGTTGCGAAGTTGGACTGTTGTGCATTCTCCTTCTTGATACGATCGAAGTAATGTTTGACCAATGTTTCCAGTACTAGTGGTCCTAGTCGCAATCCCGCATTGCGCGCCAGAGAGTTTGACATCGCCCCAATGGTGGAATGGTGCGTGGAATAGTGCAGCTACTAAACGCCTCAGTACCTTCCACGGGCCCTTGCTAAGTGACGGCTACGTACAGCTCAGAGCCGACAGTTGATCGGAAAGAAGTTCAAAGAACTGTAGACTGGAACGTGTATAGGTGACCTTGTTGGTCATGAAGAGTTTCAAATTGCCGCATCCGATGGAACCGTTGCCTCAGTGTGGTAGCTGACCTAATAAGAATAAGAATAAATTCGGATTAGCGGTTCAGTGCTAGTGTACGCACATTGTACTTTTAACAATGTCTCCACCAACACAAGTAGCTAGTCATCGACATTGGTTATCAACTGGCCCCACAGTGCCTCAAAATTCGTCCGAATCTTGACTCATCTCTTGAGTCCTTATTGTAAGTACCCTGGCAACTCGATATCTAACTTAGGATGAGCCCAACATGGCGAGCCTTTAGGCGAGCTTTGACGTACATTCGTTCTTCTTGTCTGGCATGTACAATAACTTGCATGACATACTTCGTCACCATGGTCATTTTCCCTACTCAACAATCAGCGTTGGCGGGACCTACCTCAGGGCACGACGACTCTCACCTTGTTCGGGAAACATACTTAAGGACTTACCCAGGCAGCATGACAATCATCATCTACTTCCTGCCTGCCATCCATCCCGACTTGAAACCCATCCACCAGTACCCATTTTTATAGTCACCGATACTATTCTCCAATGACTTTTAATCTCGCAAATGTCAATGTACTTGATCTGACAGGAAGTGTCGTGAAGACTGGCAATCATGCAATCGGCAGGGGAAACTTCGCAGACGTGTGGAAGGGACTTCACACCGAGTGGAATGGTAGAGTTACTATCGTACGTGCTGCTCGGTCACTGGCGACGTGTAACACTTAATATATATTAACTCATCGATGTAGGTAGCGGTGAAGATCTTGAGACCAGCACTGTTGTCAGACAGGCGTCTTGCGACGAAAACTATACGAGTATGTAGACCGTTTACTCGTAAGTTATCCTTGTTACTTAGTCTGCCTTTTTCAGAAAATTTTGCGAGAGGCAAAAGTTTGGAGTACACTGAATCATCCCAACGTGGCTCAATTCAAGGGTGTGTGTTATGGACAAGATATAGGAGGGTATGGGTATTATATTCCCTACCTGGTATCAGTGTTTTATGAGAGAAGAACACTGAAAGACAATCTGGAATATATCCAGAACGACCACCAGAGATTGAGACTTGTATGTATCCATTTCATTCATAATCACGCGTATTGAATGATGTACGGACAGCTTCGCAAGTTTTTTTCTGGATTAGCATATTTGCACCGCAACAATGTCATCCATGGAGACCTCAAACCTGTAAGCACACAATTTCTGTCTATGGGAACAACAATTCACATTCCTTGTAGACAAACGTTCTTCTTGACGACTCTTTTAATCCAGTTTTGACGGATTTCGGCCTTTCCCGTGTCCTTGAAGCTTCTGGCTTCACAACGACGAATATAAAAGCGGTTGGCACGTTTCGTTACATGGCGCGCGAGTTGATGAATCCCACGCACCATTCGACAACAGCACCACTACCCACCGTGCAATCAGATGTCTGGTCGGCAGGCATGACGGGTCTAGAGGTGCGTTAGAAAATCATCGTCACCAAAAATTGCAGATACTGAGTGTGTTACTAGATTTTATCTGGCCTTATGCCGTACGCCGATAAGACGGGGGATGCCGAGCTAATCTATTGTATCTGTCAACAAAGGGGAAAACCCAGCAGGCATCTTTACCCTCGAGTACAAAATGGGACATGGTCAATGCTGAAGGCCTGCTGGGCAGATGAGGGGATGCGACCGGCTGTATCCGAATTGATAAGGTATTTGGATAAGCTCTGTCCAGGCTTGCAGTATTAAGCCATACGATGTGAAACTGTCACATATGTAGATACAGAACGTCCTTCCCTGCATAGGTTATATATAACACGGACTTGACGAATAATACTATAGTTTTGGCTTTACATCAGTAGTGGATCCGTCATCTTCTAAGACCGACTTTGCCAATCGACCAACCAAAGGAAACAATTGTGGGTAAATGAAAGCTTTTTCCGAGCTTGCCTGCCGCTGCGCATATCTCGCAGCAATACCTTGCGTGATTATAGCAAGCTTAAAAATAACCAAGTCAAGATATGCTGTCCCGTACCAGGGTATAGTACGTACTCGGAAGAGCATCCAACTACGGACAAAGACCATCTCCTTGATGGGATATGGCTGGCTGGTCAGCCTACAGTACTCGCGCTCAAGGTCTTCCAAGGGTATAGGAACATCGTTTGTAGCATTCTTGAACGACTTGATCATCGTAAATTCAGTGATTACGGAGCCCTTAGGTATATGGCGAGCGTCGATTGCCCATGGTTGGGTAAGGTTCGCGAGGTCAGCGAGCTACGCAGTGAACTCAGGTCAAGATGCAGAAGGCACGGATCGGTGGACGTACTGGACTACCTAGAGTACACAACTCCCAGTCTAGTATGCCAATTACCCGGTTTTCTGTTGGGTGGAATATCATGTTGTCAAGCTTGTAATCTCCGTGGACAATCCGCAGCCCAGTTTTTCTCTCGTCCGGGAGGTGCCTCTGGTACCAACTGATCATTTCTTCAAAATACGGAATATTTCCTGTCGCTTTTTTTGTCTCGATATCTATAGCCTGAGACTGAGTGACCGATACACGTGTAAGGGATTTGATTTGACGGGGGAAGTAATCAGTCGTCGGTCCAAAGTTCTCGAGGCCCAATTGGAATGGGTCGAGAGAAGCCAATGCTGCCAACGACCGGACAGCTGAGAGCCAGCTTGGGGTAATCAGGCTTAGCATCTTAATACAAGAAAGAGATGATAAAGAGTACCATTCTCTTCGATCCTGCTGCGGCAGTTCCAGTATTCTGGTGTCCGTGAATATTCGCCCTTCGAGGTATTCCATGATATAGAAAGGAGTGCCAATAACGCTATTGTCCTCACACAGGACAAAGGGTTGCGGGACAGGGACTATCTGCTCTGGCTTTGTGGTCGGGCTGGTATTGTATCGATGCAATGCACTCAGCATGCGGTATTCACGCTCAATTTGGTGAGCAGTCGAGGACAACAGCTGGCCCGCTGGCTTTTTGCGCAACACAAATCGCTTCGCGCTGAAAAGGCACAATTTAAATGGGACCTGATATCTGACGGAGGACAAGCTTATACCTTGCGTCGGTCAGGAAGTATGTGGGATTTGACTATATAACCCGATGTCACACAAGCCTGTGCACGTTGAATCATGAGCGTACCTGTCCAAACTGTCCTGCCAATTAATCTGCAATCTCTCCTCGATAGATTGTGACCGCACCTTGAACTGCTGCACCTCTACGGGAGCAGCGACAACCGGTGCATGTGATTTCAGATACGTATTGAGCTTTTGGATGTCAACGTTGGCGCGCACGGCACCATATTCGCTTCCGATACTTTTTGGCGCGCTGCCAGACATAATCTCAAAGGTTTCAAGGTGAAAGTTGAACTCAAGGAGGTGCGGCGCTGTTCTACCGCTCCGCACAATGCGTAGAAGGCCGGAATCAGGTGCCGGGAACTTTCACAGTAAGAGAGAGAAACTGTGACCTAGTAAATTGTTTAACTCCCAACTCACCAAAATCACTTGCAAAATCACAATGATGATCGTTTGAATGTTGAAGAACGTCCTATGTATGGATTGCGACAAAATCAAGCCAGTACTTCAAAGTTAGTGCTTTCAAGTTGCTTGCCAGAATCCCGAACGTTCCACGTTTCTCGGACTCTGTAGCTGATGTAAGCGTTACGCGGACACCCTAAAATTTTGAATCACCGTGTCCAATTTGCTAGTCACCTTTTCGACCTCTTCCTCCATGTTCACTGTAGCTCGTTCCTTCCGCAGTGCTGTTGCCCGCACTGGCAACTATGCCGTGCGTAGTTGAATTATTTTACTGTCCGATGCATTGACAACCCATTTCCGATAGGCCCTCCCGCGGTCTTCGATCGCGAGGAACATGAATACCAAAGTTTCCGGTGAGCTTCATATCTCTACAGCCAGACTCAAGTTGCCCATTTTCATTATAGGACCTGTCGTGGGTATTGACTTGGGTACGACGAACTCATGTGTTTCCGTCATGGAGGGGAAGACGGCGCGTGTGATTGAAAATTCCGAGGGTGCCCGGACAACACCTTCTGTTGTTGCATTCACGAAACACGGTGAACGTCTGGTCGGTCTGCCGGCAAAGCGTCAGGCCGTTGTCAACCCTGCCAACACAGTCTTTGCATTCAAGCGGTTGATTGGTCGCCGATACAAAGACAAGGAGGTACAGGAAGACGTAAAGCATTGGTGAGTGTAGTGTTTAACAGAATATGTAAGGTCGCTCATGATAGGTAGGCCTTTCCCTGTCGTGGAAAAATCTGACGGTCGGCCAGCGGTGGAAGTCGAAGTCGGTTCAAAGAAGCAGCAATACGTATGTCTCTTCCTCACCTGGATCCATTGTTGTGTTCTCACATTATCTCCTCTAGTCTCCCGAGGAGCTGTCGTCCATGGTTCTTGTCAAGATGCGCGAGACCTGTGAACAGTTTTTCAACAAGAAAGTCAAGTAAGTCGTTCTTGCATGTAGCACGAATTTTAGCTCATCGTCTCTAGCCACGCCGTCATTACTGTACCCGCCTACTTCAACGACGCACAACGGCAGGCAACGAAGGATGCTGGTCAAATCGCAGGTCTCGAAGTGCTGCGGGTAATCAATGAACCTACCGCTGCTGCTCTTGCCTATGGTTTGGATCGTTCTGATTCGTCAGTTATCGCCGTCTATGACCTCGGAGGCGGTACCTTTGATATCTCAATCTTGGAGATGCAGAAGGGTGTCTTCGAAGTCAAGTCAACTAATGGCGATACTCACCTTGGCGGTGAGGACTTCGACATCATTCTGCTCAACCACATCTTGGGGGAGTTCAAGAAGGAGTCTGGCATCGACCTCAGCCAGGATCGCATAGCCATTCAGCGTATCCGTGAAACTGCTGAGAAGGCCAAGATCGAGCTTTCGTCAACAACGCAGACGGAGATCAATCTCCCATATATCACTGCCGATGCATCTGGTCCCAAGCACATCAACATGAGGCTTGGACGCGTGCAGCTAGAGAATCTCGTGGAACTTCTTATCAAGCGTACCATTGACCCGTGCAAGAAGGCACTTTCTGATGCCGGTGTGAAGGCCAGTGAAATTGACGAGGTCATCCTCGTCGGTGGTATGACTCGTATGCCCAAGGTCTCCGACACGGTCAAGAGCATCTTCGGTCGTGAGCCCAGCAAGGGTGTCAACCCTGATGAGGCTGTTGCCATTGGTGCCTCCATCCAGGGTGGTGTGCTCGCGGGCAACGTTACAGATATCCTACTCCTTGATGTTACGCCCCTGTCGCTCGGTATTGAGACGCTCGGTGGTATCATGACCAAGCTCATCAGTCGTAACACGACCATCCCGACAAAGAAGTCGCAGGTTTTCTCTACTGCTGCTGATGGCCAGACCGCCATTGAGGTCAAGATCTACCAGGGCGAGCGTGAGCTTGTCCGGGACAACAAGCTCCTTGGCAATTTCAACCTCGTTGGTATTCCCCCTGCTCCCAAGGGTGTTCCTCAGATCGAGATCACTTTCGATATTGATGCTGACGGTATTGTCAACGTATCTGCCAAGGACAAGGCCACCAATAAGGATCAATCCATGACCATTGCCTCGTCTTCCGGTCTTAGTGACAAAGATATCGAGCGCATGGTTGCAGATGCCGAGCAGTTCGCCGAATCCGATAAGGCTCGTCGTGATCTCATCGAGGAAAGTAATAAGGGCGAGTCCGTCTGCTCTGACACCGAGAAAGGTACGAATTATTTCCTTATCCCTGCATTGTGCTAACATGCATGCCTATAGCCATGAACGAGTTCAAGGACCAGCTTGACGCTGCCGAAAAGGAGAAGGTGACGAAGCTTGTTACTGAGCTCCGCGAGCTTGCTGCCAAGGGCCAGGCTGGCGACGGCGCTGTTACCGCTGAGCAGATCCGGGAGAAGATCAATGAGACCCAACAAGCTTCGCTTGGCCTCTTCCAGAAGGTGTACGAGAAGCGGAATGCTGAGAACGCCTCTTCAGAAAGCAGCTCGGAGACCAAGGAGGAGAAAAAGGATTAAGCACCTTCGTTCGTCTCTCCACCTTAACTCTCGTCCTTACGCAGCTCCCATCATCTTTGCTGCATCTTGGTTTCTCCCATCGCATTGCTGTTTCGTCATAACACATTCGTCCACTCTGCACTCACGCCCGCACGCATTTTTTCTAGATTATATAAGAAAAGTACCGCTCAGACATACTTTAGTACTTACATGATTTCAATTTGTACTCGACCGCTGCATAGTCTCTGTAGTCGTCGGGGCACATCTGCTTTTTATTATCTGATAACGCCCTCCCCCCTCAGTTTTGTATGTATATGCATAGGATTTTTGCACTGCATCGCAATTATTTCAGTGGCTCTAATAAGATTGAATTGCCTAAGAGTATTTGTGCTTTGAAAACATGCCGCATTGTAAAGCGTATAGCTAGCACTCTTGATGTGTTTTATGCATAAAATGAGCTAGCTGATGCGGCAATTGTGCCGAAAGGTCGGACTCGATGGATATTCGAATGTTATCGAGCCACTATGTGGCAAGCAAGCTCATGCGGTTTAAAGGCAAAAGGTTTCAGGCATATTGATACTTTTCACGCAGAAGTCGATAATTGTCTTACGACAGATGGCAACAAAGCTTTGATCAAACAGACTCGTAGTACTAGCTTGCGGGCCTAAGCCGGAAGCAAAGTGTCATCGAACAATTTGCTTCCGCTTCAACGTTCCTGCCATATTTAGACTACTATCTTATTGTCATGAGTCACGAAGTATGAGTCCAGGGAAGTTGCTCTTTGCGCCACGTCCATGTATCACCATAGCAAAGATCGTGACAATAGGTGCAGTTCAAAACTGACTTTGGCCAACTGCATCTGGCGCCGGAGTCCAGTGCAGGAAGCATGGCTTTCTTGAACGATGTGACTAAGGCCTTTTGTCTGCCTCGATCTCTTCCCAGCACCAACTTCTCCGAATAAATATGAGGCAGAGGGTAATCTGATCAATGTCTTGCTTTACGACCCCACAGCTGACTGGAGCAGCTGCCGCTTATTTTGACAGTACGACTCGTCAGGACGGTATGACAAGCACCCGCCCACCCCTCGCACCATTGGACCCTTTCACGCTGAGACCACAAGTCTCATTGAAGCATCACCACTCGCCGCCAACCGTACCATTATACTCAGCCGCCGAATGCCTCTTCAGTCCCGACTCACCCGACTCACCTCTGGCCATCCGATCTCGGCGCGTCCCCGCACTCATGCACCGTACGCCCCTCGCACACCACCGCACGCTGCCGCTTCAAGGACCAACACAATGCCGGAGTGCTGAACAGGACGACATTGACGAGATTATGCGCTTCCTGAAGCGTGTCTCGCGGTGCATGACGCATGTGTACCAGGTGATCCTGTCGGTTGCAACATTGATATTGTATGCAACGATTGCCACCGTTCAATGGTTTGCTGTCGTCGCTTTTGTGATTGAGGTGATGATGATGAGTTCTCCTGTGAGTCTGCTTTCAAATTCTGGTAGATTATTTTTAACATATCCGTCAGTCCGTGCGGGGTGACCATGGGGGTGGTTTCATAGGCCCGATAGTCGAGCAGCTCACAACATCGACTGCGACTAGCTACGTGGAGATTACTCCTTCACTACATCCCCTCGCTAGCGAGGCGGCGGCTCTGAACTTCTTATCTGAGCAAATAGACCAGGCACATAATGTGTTAACGTTGGTCGAGGGACTAGGTGACGACGCGTTTTTTGCGTATCATCATGCCAAGTACGTAGCAATCTCACTACCTTGAGCTTGAGATGTTGAAGCTCAACCGCGGCCAGTGTGCAACGTTTTCTGAGCAGATCCAGAGACGACCCTCCACCTGGGGGGAGTAAAACAGAAGTCGATCCAACTGTCAACTTCAGGGGTCTTGACTCTACTCTCTTCCAAACCCTGTCTCCGCACGGTTTCATTGGGAGAACGGTTAGCCGAATTGCTTTTCCTGACATCATGGCGCTCATTTGTATCAGATCTCCCATGCGCTAGACGAGGTGACATATCACTCTAAGCGCAGTCAAACGGCATTTCTTATAAGAAGAAGTGCCATCCGGGAATCACGTCTAGACAGCGTGTACCTACTGGCATCTTCTAATCTACTTCTTGAATACTCGTCCATTTTGTCAAAAATGGAGAGCATTATACTCGACGTGGGAGCTCTCCATCACCATCTATCACGCAACCTTCCAGAAGTTCTGCAAAGCCGCCAAGCAGCTACTTCAAGACGCTCAATATGGGGCATTTTTGCCAGTCGAAGACTAAATTCCAGAGCTGTTGAAGAAGAAAGCCTAGAAGCCTTTGTTGCGGGCTTGGAGACTGTCCTTGTCAACCTGCGACAGCTCAAAGCTTACCTGGAATGGATCACAAACCAATTGGTGAGTCCTACTCACCTCTGCCGGGGCCTCCTCGCTCATGTGCACGACAGAGTCAACGAACTCTCTTATCAAGCGTCTCGACAGCGTTATCATCTAGTAACCGTTCCTGTTCATCTGCGCTTATGGATCTGTTGGATCGCGCAAGCAGAGCTTCAAAGAAATCGAGGAGTCGCTGCTGCCGTTGTCCGGACTCTGGAAAGGACGATTCGCCAACGGCTCCGGCAAGGGTGGAATTTAATATCCCTGGCAGTCGCACACTGCCAACAGTGAGCTGATTCATTAGGCAACATTAAGACGTTCAACCTTACATTATAATTATGTTAATTATGTGACAGTATGATATTATTCGATTATTGAAGGTGGTTTGGCTATTGTATGTTATGATTGAATACTGAAATACCTTGCTTGCAAGTTTTCTCTGAGGGTACAATCGGTTCGTTTTTCGATGTCGACTCTCAGGAAGGCTGTTGACAGACGTAGATCGAAGAGAATGAGTGGGGGGATGGAGAGTAGTGCAACCTGATGATGGCCTACTTTTCTCCTTCCACAAGTCCAGGGTATCCAACTGCGTTTCCGGCCAGTTTCGATACGCCGGCCTTTACAATTGGAAATTTGGAACTCCTCTGAGACGGCTATACGAGAAACATGATGCATCATGCCTGACAGTCCCCGGACGCCCATTTTCACGTCGCGTCGCGGCGGCCCGCCACCACTAGTGGTGAAGCTTAAGCTTTGCCGCCCCTTCCGCTGGCCGCGCTCGATGGTGACACGCTCAGTCTCGCGGGGTGCGATCAACATCATGAAGGCCCAGATCTAGCACAGCGGCTTCCGCTACTGTCGTTGTCCCGATATCCGCTCACTTCAATGGCAGTTGTCGAGGGCAACATGTTTCGTCACGAGTGGCCCTTTTGCGCGCTTGCAATCTCAGTATTACTGGGTATGAAAAAAACTCCGAAGCGTGTCCTCGGCGATAGGATTATCATGAACTGAAAGTAAGTAAGGCAACAAAATCGCGTCTGCAAATCTTGTTGTTTCGCAGTCGGTTTTGCATGTCAACACTGAACATTTCTGTATCTGCATTAATGTATTTTGCCTCGATTTGCATTCTATCCTTTGGGTGTATTTACGACCACATTTATTTTATCGTTTCCGCACTGAAGCTAGGAGTGTTGGAAGCAGAGCTGTCACGGTGGCACCTGTGCTAAACCAGTGATCAGTTTACATTGCATCCGATGCACACAGACATCGGAACGCCGTCGACAAGATGTTTCAAAATCGCCTCTCGACTCCCAACACCACCGACATCTAGTCAAATGCTGCTGCCTACTCCGAGCACCACAAGGCTCAGAACTTTTGAAGATCATATAGATGCCGTACACGCCGTAGTAGTTTTTCCCGATAGACGACGAATGGTGACGTCCTCACTCGACAAGGCGCTTCGTCTGTGGGACTTGAGGACAGGCGCTATGTTGAAGAAGATGGAGGGGCACCGCGACTGGGTGCACGCAGTGGCGGTATCACGAAACGGGCAAATGATAGTAAGCAGTGATAGTTGTGGAGAGGTCATCGCCTGGCACGGAGAATCTGGAGAAAGTCTCATCAAAGCTATCAAAGCTCACCCCAAAAGTTGGACCCAGGGTTTAGACCTTTCTCCTGATGGAACAATGCTAGCCACTGGTTCGCATGATAGAACGGCAAAAATTTGGAGCACAACATCATGGCAGATGCAAGGAAATCCAATCTCATGTAGTGGGGAAGTCCGCAGCCTTCGGTATTCGCCCTCTGGTGATCATGTTGCGATCGCAACATTTGGCGATATCGAAATATATGATTCAGTCACTAGGGAATGTGTAGCAAACTTCAAGGGTCACACTGCAGAGAATGGCTCACCCTTGTGGACACCCGATGGCACACGACTTCTCTCAGGAGGTGATTACCATGATCCGACCATACGGGAGTGGGATACATCGACCTGGAAACAGATCGGTGATCCTTGGACGGGCCACACTCACAACATCAATAACATTGCCATTAACCCTGCTGGCACACTCATCGCTTCTGCATCTACTGACAAGCAGGTCCACCTCTGGCGCCTCTCAGATCGACGATCCATCGCCACATTCCAGCACTCCGCCTGGCTGGCATGTGTCACTTTTTCCTTGGACGGCAAGTATATCCTCAGTGGAGGTGGTGACAACATGATCTCAGAGTGGGAAGTACCGAAGGACGCTAATTCAAAGGCAAATTTCCATCTTTGACTTGTGAAATATGGTCCGAACGTGCTGTATCCAGATTCAACTCACTATGAATTCGACAGCACGCCATGCGTGCATAACTGGGAACTTGTCATTAGCTAAGGAACTACTCACGCAAGAGATCGAGACTGATGCGAACGATTATGCCTCCTATGCTAACCGCTCATTTGTCATGGCGCGAAAACATGACTGGGACCACGCGCTTGATGACGCAATCAAGGCAAGTATGACAGCAATCTATCATTTTATTTCTAACGATTCTAAATTTCATCGTGACATAGTCCATCAGCATTCAGCGCTCCTTGACAGGCTATATCTCCAAGGGTATCGCCCTCTGCGGAAAAGGGCTGGTTCAGGACGCAAGAATAGCATTTGGTCTTGCATTCATGTTCACGAATGAAGACTCAACAACCATTCATTTACTTCTCTTGATCGAGGTAAGTCAAATTTATCTTGCATACTTCCTGTTTCATCACGTATTTCAGGCCATCGTATTGTTCAACACAGATTTACATGAGGAAGCAATGCTACTTGTGAAAGAGCTAGCTGTCGATTGTCCGAATGCCGATACTGTCGCGTGTCGTGTCGTGGAAGTGAGTATCATGCGATAGGCTGAGGCATCAACACTGATCGCATATTAGGCGTATCTAGGTGTTCAATCTGGGATCAGTGCTTTTAATGGCGCCCATTATGATGAAGCTGCTGGGCACTTCACTGCCGCTGTCAAATCCTGCACTTTCGCATCATCGTGGCCTATTCATGCTATATACGAGGACTTCGTGATGGTATGTTGATATAATGGAATCGAAATGCTTCACATTGCCAACTTCGTCCTTCATCCAGCTTTTCGGGTGGGACCTCAAGTCCTTGTGGTTGACTGCACACCAGAAGCGGTGCCAGGCTTTCCTTTCGGCAAATAAGCTTGAAGAAGCCCTCGAATCATACCGGTTCATGATGAATACCATTCATCAAAGTACGAAGGCCAGCTGCCTCAATTGGTGCACTGGCAAGTTTTTCGTAATATTACTCTGTGCTATTGTCCTCACTCCCAATTTTTATTCAGTGTTCGAGCAAGAATGTGGCGCCCTCTATTTTTCCAATGGAGATACTGCCCTCGCTGCAAGTGATTACGAAATTACTGACTTATCCTCTGTGGCAGTCAACTTTGATTCTGCAAGCTACGCGCTCTTCGCAAATCATAGTAAGGTAATGTTGGGGAAAATGCTATGGGACGAAGCGCTTTTTGATGCGCAAAAGGTGCGATAACGTCTACATATGATATCGTATCAAATACTCACCTTGGCAATACATAGGTCATCGATCTCAACCCTGAGTCTCATGTTGGATACCAGTTAAAGCACGCAGCGCTCCGCGGTGCACGATGCTATGATAAAGCCATTGAGGCTTTCAATATAATGTTGTCCAAGTTGGAAGATGCTCCCGAAGCGCAGTTCCGGGGTGAGCCTCCAAATATTCATGGGTTAACTGTAACATGCTTAACTCGGCATATAGAGTTGCGTCAGCAATATGTCTCTCCATCTGATGTAGAAGACGCTATTCGAAGAGCCATTTGGATCGAACTTGAAAATGCCCCGCTGCGTCTACTTAACACCCACACGGGTCTCTTGTGCGGTCGAGGGGCACAGATTAATGCCTTCAAGATGAGCACAGAGTACCAGGAACTTTTGTCATTCACAACGAAGCATGCGGACCTACGAGTGGAGCGCATAACGGAAGTGGTGGCGATATATTTCCGCCGTGTCCTGCTGTCACACAGGTGGGACGACACGGAGTTGCTGTTTCATGACATCCAAGACAAAGTCGTGTATGAGATGAATGCACTTGGCGGCCTCCCGAAATTGCAGTTTTTCTGCAAAACTGCTCGCCATGCCGGTTATCTCTGGGCATGGATGGATACATGCTGCATTGATAAGAACAACAATGCTGAGCTCCAAGAATCCATCAACTCCATGTTCGCCTGGTACCGCCACTCAGCCCTTACCATCGTCTACCTGGGCGATGTCTCTCCTTCATCCAACGCTGGTGCACTGGCGAGGAGTGCCTGGAACAAGCGAGGGTGGACCTTTCAAGAGTTCGTCGCTCCCAAAATCGTTGTCTTCTACCGGAACGATTGGTCATTATATCTCGACGATGACTCTCCCAACCACAAAGAGTCCCCTGCAATCATAGAGGAGTTAGAGCGTGCAACAGCCATAGATGCACGAGCCCTCATATCCTTCCGTCCAGGGATGAGGGGCGTTCGAGAAAAATTGCAATGGGCGTCGACGCGCATCACCACGTTGCAGGAAGACATTGCATACTCATTGTTTGGCATTCTCGGTGTCCACCTACCTGTAATTTACGGAGAGAAGAAGCAGAACGCACTCGGACGGCTTCTCCAAGAGATCGTAGCTCGGTCTGGCGATATCACTGCCCTCGACTGGGTCGGACAATCATCCGAGTTTAACAGCTGTCTTCCAGCCGACATTACCTCATACACGGCTCCACCATGCGCCCTACCATCCTTATCCGAAGATCAGATTCAGATGATGGTCTCTTCGCTGCGAAATGCCGTGTCTGTGGAGTTGGCTTCAAACCTTTACACCCTGCTTGACAATACAAGCGCCCCTCGCTTCGCGAACTGCAGACTACATCTGCCTTGCATCGCATTCCGTGTCACAGAAGTCAGACGGAGGCTTGGTCCAGCCCAAGAGACTAATTTCACGTATGGAGTCAAGGCAGACGGGCTTCATGACTTGCTGATCAACACGGAAGAGACGATGATTCAGTTCTCGCGAGCAAGGCCTACTTGGCAGACAGTCTTACTCGTTCGCCCGTGGAATCGATACCTCCTCGAGCTTCCTGTCTTTGCAGGACTGTCTGACTTCGGAGACGATACGGAGAGCGAGGATGGTTATTGGTCCGCGCCCGGGTCGCCGATAGACGAGTCGCGCCGTGGTTCCCCGGTAGAAGAGGAGCTGGTCGATCTGGAATCTCACTCATAAGCGTTGCGGTTGATTGCCCGCCTTGGTCAGCCTTTCAGCGCTTTGTTGCTAGCGCAGCAGCGCGGTGGAGAATACATGAGGATCGCTTCGGATCATGATATCATTGCACAAGTCAAAGACATGGCTTCTGTCGACAACATGATGGACGTCAGAACCCTAGAAATATTGTAGTTGTATGTATTTTTTCAAGAGGGTCAAAATTATAAAATCTGTCTGTGGACATTCACTTTTTGCATATGTTGTACCATGTTGGTACTGTAGCAAAGTCTCCTCTGGTCTTCGTCATCTCTCCCTTTGACTTCTATTGCAATACAAGGCAGATACAGTCTGCAGTTCGAGAAATTTACAAGCGAACCCCCTGTCAGATTCCCACTACGGCAGCAGTACGGCCAATGATCTATATTGACTTTGATTGTGCAAAAATGCATGATCAATATTGAAATATCGTATCGTATCGATATCAGGCTAGAGGCCGTTGTGGAGCCGACCAGTGAAAGTACAATATTAAAGCAATCATTGGCTAGTTCCAGCTAGTGCCATCGAAAGTTTGATCACCCGATCATCATGGATGCCCGCACTGCAGTGCAGGATGACGGTACGAGTTGCGCATTTCCCTACTACCTGACATGGCCGACGGTCCGACGGGAAGCCTCTCCTTGCAATACGCCGGTCAGGTCATTTCGAATATTCACTTACATAAAAATTTTGGGACTTGGGGGCTATTATTAGAGCCGCTTGACAGAAACCAGAAGCCTTTACTCAAACTCCCAGATCCCAGATTACTAACATGCAAGACAAGATCTTTCCTTGTGCCTGCGACCATGTCTATCTCGGAAGAGAGCCCTTTGTTGGATGCGCTGCACGTCCCTGACGCGTCTGACGACTGGGACGTGTACAACCGATTCAGCAAAGCTCAGAAAAAGTTCATTGTTTTTGTAGTGTCCTTTGCAGGGCTGCTTCCTAGTGCGCATAAGGCAGATAAATTGATTCAGCAGAGCTGATTTTGATTCTCTAGCGCTCGTGACTGGGACCTTTGTCCCTTCCATTCCTCAGATAGCTCATGACCTCGATTCAAACGGAGCTGTTGTGAGGTATGTTTTCCAAATCCTGCAGCATGAACTAGATGATGACCTTAAATTGGTCTGTCCTCAGCTTGGCTGTGAGCTTGTCAGTCTTTGCGAATGCTGTTGGAGGTTTGGTATGGGCAGCATATTCGTCATTTTGTAGGTTTTCTACAGTTATTGTGCTTGAACCTAAACCTGATTTTCGCCTGAAGATGGTCGCCGTCCGATGTACTTATGGGGTATGCCTATCCTATGCATAGGAAGCTTTGGTGTTGCAGCATCGATGTCTCTCAAAAGCCTACTGTTCTGGCGGTTCGTTCAGGCATTTGGATGCGCTGGCGGAGTATCGGTAGGTGCGGCCGTTATTGGTGATATCTACAGGGCAGAGCAGCGAGGTACAGCCTTGGGTATCTTTTTTGGGGTGCGTGTGTTTTCTTATAATGCTTGATCAAAATATCGGCGACTTATCATTTCTTGTGAAGGCTTCTCTTCTAGGTGTCGCACTTTCACCTATCATAGGAGGCACTGCAGCACACTACTGGTCCTGGCGCAACCTGCACTTCTTGCTTGGAGTATGGGGCATCATCGAGATGTTTCTGATCTATCTATCCTTTCCGGAGACAAGTCATCCGCAGTCGGGAGAGATTCGTAAACTGGCGGCACTGCCAAATCATCTGCAGTCGGGCGAAACTCGTAAACTGACATTACCGTTCAACTTTGTGTTGATTAATCCTTTCAACAGTCTATGGCTGCTCCGCAGTCCTAATATTATGGCCGTCGTTCGTTTTTGCTTTTATTCTGACTGTACACTGCCTGAAGTCGTGTTCTCAGACATTAGCAAACGCATCAGCGATGGTTACGGACTATGGTATGCTGAGAATACCGATGTCATCTTCCAAACCTATTTACCTATGCACTAGTTTTATTGGTCCCAATTGCCTACACGATCGTGAGTTTGTCATACTATTCAATCATGTGATCAGCTAACATCTGCTTTCAGGGTGCTCGATACCACATCTCTAACGAAGCACTGATCGGTGCATGCTTCCTCCCCAGTGGACTTGGAAACTTCAGTACGTGCACATTCTGTTGTTCGAGTGTCTTAATATTCAATGTAATGTGCGCCCAAGTTGCATCACCGATCGCTGGGCGGTTGTCCGACACTATGATTGCCAAATGGAAGGTAAAGCGCAAAGGCGTTTGGGTCCCCGAAGATCGACTACGTGCCGTATTAGTAGGCGGACTTCTAGTCCCTCTATCTGTTGGTCTTTCGGGACTTGTTACCGCGTACATCGCTGGACCGTTGGGCTTGGTATTGAATTTGCTTTGTTTGTTTCTAAATGGCATTGGGGTGAGTCGCACACTGGCACATATTTTTGTGGATTGCAAACCTTGTGTTTTATACAGGTAGACTTCGTTCTTACTCCGATCGGCTCGTACAACGTCGACGTATTACAATCACGCAGCGCAGAGGTAATTGCTGCCGTTACGTGAGTCACGCCCAAAGAGTCACGCCCAAAGCCAGTGGTCAGCTCCATACTAACTAATACCGCAGAGCTTTCCGCGCGATCATTCTTGCACCAGTGACTGCAGCCGTACTTCCATCGATTGAAATGCTAGGCGTGGCAGGAACAAATGGCATAGCTACGGTGATTGCGCTTGTTGGATATGGGTGAGTGCTATTGTAGAATACTTGCAGTACCGCATCTCATACTGGTGTATAGGCTTATCGTTCTCACGATTCGTTATGGAGATCGCATGAGAGCTTGGGTGGATGTTGGATATACACCCCTGTGAATCAAAATCAACTAGACTTGAATGGTTGCCATTTTCTTTTCCTCGTATTCAATCTGAAAATGGGAAATGCGTGTATTTGCCACCATATAAAGGCCGGGCTTTAATCTTGCTCCACAAGTATTAATGTTGTGTATTATGATCATTTAGAAAATGCATCAAGGGTATACTGATTGTGCATCATTAGCGGTATCCTTCGGAAAGCAGCGAGCCAGGGCAACAATCAAGAAAGCTTGCTGTCGGACAATATGCTGCCTGTATGATGAGAATGAGCGCATTTCGATAATAAATGATTGAGATAGATATACCTTCAGAAAGCACAACTTAAAGGGTTGGATTTATCAGTAGTCGCAAGATGCTTGAACACCATGACATTCCTTTTCTTTGAGAGGTTCGTCTGATGAAGGGCTATCGCCGAGTTTACATCATTTTAGTGAATCACAAAGCTTAGGCAATGCATGTTTAACGCCGGTCGTACAACTTGCGAAGGTTGGCTTCACTTGATCAGATGAGATTGTGATGCGTTAAGAAATTGGGAGTGATGAACAAGAGTCACTTACAGTCAATATATTAATAAACAGTGAGCAAGCTTGATGGAATTAACACCTACAGCGTAGGGCATGAAAGTGAATTACTTTTCATGGACAGACTACCACATGAAAAAGAGGTTTAGGCGCAATGACTGGGCCTCTATAGTCAAGATGAACCTCCGAGGATCTACACGCCACAAAAATATTGTCAGTAGGTTTCGAACCAACTCCAAGAGAAACAGATTTTGAGTCTGTGGTAGTAGCCACTTGGCTAAGACCAGTTAGACGGATCTCTGAGGAAACCATCCATGAATCAATGTCAGGGTGTGTTCCGATAGGAAAAACTTCATTCTGCAGGTTCCGAACCTGCGCAGTCCAAGAGAAACAGATTTTGATTCTGCTGCGGTAACCACTTGGCTCCAGTGAGATGAATATCCGACGAAGTTATCCATGAGTGAATTTCGAGCGTGTTCGGATAGGGAGGTTTGACGAATTTTGATTCTGTTGACCAGATAAGATGGACCTCCAAGGGGGCCATCCACGAGTGAATCTTTAAGGCATGTTCCGATAGCCTTGTCATCGACAGGTTTCCAACCTGCGCTGGCAGTCCAAGAGACAGATTTAGATTCTGTCGTGGTAACCACCTTGTCCAGGACGAAGTTGAGATGAACTACTAAGGAAACCATCCATGGGCAAATCTTCCGGGTCAAGACCTGTTCTGATGAGGAAAAAAAACCTGTTGATTGGCAAGTTTCGAACCTGCACAGTCCAAGAGAAACAGATTTCGATTCTGTTGTGATAACCACTGAGCTAAGACCAGTTGGATGAACCTCCGATGAAACCATCCATGAGTGAATGTCAAGGTGTGTTCCGAAAGAAAAATCAAACTTGTCGTCGCATGCTTCGAACATGCGCAGTCCAAGAGAAACAGATTTCGATTCTGTTATGGTATTCACTTTTGCCAGTACGCTTTGCAAGTTGAGATGAACCTCCGAAGAACTGTCCATGAGCCTATGAATGTCAAGGTGTGATAAGACATTCATCAGCAGCGCACCACCCCAAAATTTCTAATCTGTTCTGGTGCCACTTGGAGGCTATGACTACTTAAGATAGACCTTGAAGGATCCATCCATGAGTGGATGTTCAAGGCGTGATAAAAGGAAAAAGATCGGCTGAGCAGGTTTTGAACCTGCAACAGATTTCTGTACAGCGACAGTCCCGTCACACTTGCCATTTGGCTTAGCCAAACTGGTCAAGATAGACGTTCGTAGTAGGAGTCGAAGAACATCATGTATTAAGACAGTGGAATCGAACAGTGTTAGCAGTCATTTTGCCATCGCAAAATAAAATCAAAAGACTGCATATTTGATGGACACCTGCAGTGGCAGGTTGAATAAGGGTTGGCACCGGCGCCGCTACGTAATTCTCGACAATATATAACCCGACTTTACGCCCCAGTGATCGTGGGTAGATCGTGCCAGTAACGTAGCTATGAAATTGATAGACCTCTCCGCCACTTCATCATGATCTATCTAACATATCTAAGCTTCGTAGCCTTAGCGTTTCGAGACTGTCATGCATAATGCTTCCTACAGTCTCTATCACTACATACCACACGACTTTTTCCTATTAAGGTAAAGGCCTGCCAGCTCTGAGAGCTTTTGCAACTTCGCTTTGAGCTTCGTCGCGAAGATACCGATCATATATAACCTGAAGCTTATCTTCATCCTACATAAAAAACCAAGACTTGAGGAAGAGCAACAACTTCGAGCTCAATACACTCACGCTCGTGGTTTTGATGATGCTCTCGCGCGTGGCCAAGCGCTCCGCATACTCACTCCAACCGTTGCCTACTTGCGTTCCGTCATACCCCCGGTGCTCAGCAAGAATATACTCTCGAGCTACCCATGGCGCATTAGCGACATCGACCAAACCGAACTCTTTTCCAGTAAAGTACGGGCCCTTGACCTGCTGAGCGAGCTTCCTCTGCGCATCGTAGAGTTCCTGGCGTGCAGCGTCTTGCTGCTCTGTGCTCTGTGCCTGGAGAAGACGACTGCCAAGCTGGAATGATCGTCTTCGACGTGTGGTCGATCCACAGGCGCACATGTGCGCGCTCGAATGGATCAACGGGGAGGAGGCGAGGCTCATGGTTGGGGTAAGCCTCCTCAAGATACTCGCACAGGACGAGCGACTCATATAGAGCCCTACCCTGATACTCAATTGCAGGGACGAGACCCTTGGGATTGATATCTGCACTCGTGTGATGAGCGCGTGACGTTAGGCATAGATATCGATAACGTACCAAGGAAATGCTTCTCCTTTTTGTATGGGTTGACTTCCTTGTATTGGTATGGAATGCCCTTTTCCTCTAAGGAAACCCAGACACGCTGGTTGAAAGGACAGAACTAGACTGAGACGCACATTTGCATGTGAGCGCTCAACAGGAATGATGGAGCGGAGAAACTCACCCATCCAGAGTAGAACACCAAATCCTGCTTCGCTTGGTGTTCTGCTACCGTTTTAGCGGCGTTTCCTGTTGCAATAGGATGGATATTCTCGTCTGGGATAGCCATGTCAGTGCCACTAAATGAGGGAAACTGCTCAGACTCGTCTGAGTCAGGGGGGTATAAGTACTCTGTGAGCTATGATGTCAGCTGATGAGTCTTCTCACGACAGTACAGCCACCGTTGCCTCTTATATTTGCTCGAGTGCGAAATGTTCAAACTAATAGTGGCTCTCGGCATCATCATGGTAGTACCAGTATTGTACTCGCGCCATCTTGCTGAGAAATTGCAACCGCACCATCACCCGCGCTCTCTACCCTTGCAGTGTTCCAGTCAGCACGCACATCAACCACCTTTACCGCTTCTCCTTCCACGTCAACTTCTGTGCTCGGCATGCCAACACCTTGTGAAGGAAGAACAGTGCGTCGTACATCCATAACCTTGATACGGGGAATCTTGACATGACCACATTCGATCGGGATCAAATTCCACGAGAGCTTCTCCTCAGAACCCGGTAAAAGGATCGGAAGGCGACCGTTCCGCAAGCCAGCCACGACAAATGCGTCAGAGGGATCGAGATCAAGCGTAACAGTGACATTGGCGGAGCGGGAGGAGTGCCGATTACGGACTGTTAAGTGTATGGGCGTCGGCACATGGAGCCTTGCAAAGCTAGGGACGTCGAGAAGGGCGATTAACTCGTCCTGCAGAATCATGAGCGTCGGAAGTGCAAACCGCGTGGTCGACTGTCTTCCAAAACCTCCGTCAGGAAGTATCCTGTCGTGTATATTTAAGCACCATCGTCGATATGTCGGTATTACACAAAATTACCTTCGCCAGACAACTTCATAGTCGCCAGGACCAGTGATTTTCTCTTCGCTCAAAACCTGCTCCTCCCGTGGACCGAGTGATATCCTACTCACGTTGCAGAACTCATCGCCAGGGAGGTATTCTGACACCATCATATAGCCAAATCATATGGCAAGAAAAGAAACTCACCATCTGGAAACATATCATCGCTGCTTTCATCTGACGAGCAGTCGAGCACCTTTGCAAGCGGATTATCCTTGTATAAGGGATTAATTGCCAAAGTAATGTTGCCAAATTCATTCCACCTACCTGGCGATGCAGCTTCAAGCTCTCAACCACCAAGCCACAAGGGGCTGAACACTCTATCCTTGACGTGACCACAGCCACCCCACCGTGGGAGTCATCCCAAAAGTCGTCTTCAATTGTAGACAGATCCGCCAAAGCAGGCATTGCGTTCTTGCTTCTCCTGTACGCCACGTCATACGTGACCGTCAAAGCTCCGGATGTCGGAATAATAATAGTTTGTAACTTCTCGCAGGAATCGATAGCCGCGTGCTCGCTCAAGGAACTCGAGCTGCGAGGTTCTGCATTGTCGTCGCCTTTACTCATGGAGCCGGGCTCGACTGAAGTGGATTGAACAGATATGTCTAACATGCGATCACCAGGAGCACCGCTTCCCACGAGGTAAAGAGTTTTGGTGGCCGACACGCCCGGGGCGATGGTGCCGAGTCGAATGCCTTTGATCAATCCGGATGAACGCTGGTCGTCGAAGGTGATGTACTGAGCTTTTTTAAAAGATAAATAAGTATTGCAGGTCAGTGATAAAATGAACTATCAAACCTGCTTGATCCACTTCCGTCGGCTGCAACAAGACGTCAACAACAACATCCAGATGCCGCTCATCAACATTTGTGATATCGATGACGATGGGATATTCTTCATCGAGCAGTGCCGGTGCTTGATGAGACAGTGAGACAGCGAGCTCGTGAGGACGATGTCGAACACTGGATGAGATCAGTTCATGACATCCATTGTGCTTATCGGGAGCGACTTACATAACACTAGAATAGTCGTTTCTCCTAAGCTGAAGAAACCGGATGGGCTGGAGTGAAGTCAACCAGCGCGGCACGAGTGTAGATATCTCATGAGCGACACATGGCTCATGTGGCATTTCGATGGTCCAGCCGTTTTGTGCAAGTACCACAGTGATGCTCACGACCTGTAGATGGACGTATAAACTGTTTGTCACACCTTGCTAAGATAACACCTACGGTAAGCAGTCCAGGAGCTTCAGAGGATATACTTCCGGAGACCATAAGTCGTTCGCCTGGACCCCACCGAAGATCAGCGCAAATTTCCTCCGGTTCTTCATCTTCATCTTCTGGCACTACCTGTCCAATTTTCACCAGCCGGACAACCCTATCTGCCACTTGGCTATCCGTGGGGGGCGAATGTCGGAGTACTACAGGGTAATAACCATCGGAGAACGTGACAGTCACAGTGTCTATCGGAAGAGCGGAGAGGTCCATATTCGTTGGTGTAGCAAGGGACAGTTGAAATCCAGCCGCTTCACCGACCCGTACTTCGGGAGTCCAAAAGACCAGCATGGTGTCCACTCCATACCAATCAGTAAAATGACATGAGAACATGCCTCCATCAACTTACATAACGGATCAGATTCTTTGAGGTTAATAACGAGTGGCTTCCCTGTTGATACAGGAACCGAACTCTGCACAAACCGGTTCAATTTTAATCGCCTCGAGGGCAGGGTGCCTCACCTTGAGTATCGCCAATAGGTCCTCCTGTAGAGTTCTCGACTCATCAACATCTTGTGCTGAGCGACATCATCACACCGTGCGACCACCTTCAAAACATTATACGTTACTTACCATACCCAATCATCTCCACGAGGAGCGTTGCCATAAGTTCCACGTCGCCAAGCTTCTGAGCACAGGCATACCACGCTGACAAAAGCGGTCTGAGTATGTGTTTCCATTTCTCCCTTCGGTACGTCTTTGCTATCCGTTCGAAGAACCTACACATCACCATCTAGTTTGTTTCTCGTACGATAAAGATGAAGATGCATACCGTATTGCGACGTCAAACTTCTCAGACTTGTAGTATGTATGCGCGATGCGGTAAGCTATCCAGAGTGTCAAGCGTCCTTGACTCGTGGTGGAGCTATGCTTCTTGAAGAGTTCGTAGGATTTGGTGTAGAGCTGAGCCGAAAAAAATGACATCATCGTTCAACCCCATCACAAGTCAAACAGAGCACAGACCTCAAGAATCAATGTCAGATGGTCAACTTTCTTCTCGTTTACGTATCCTGGGGCGGCACTCGTCCCTTGCGAGATACCCTTCTTAGGGTGAGATATGATTGAGGGATCATGAATCGAGACACCAAACATACCTCGTTGGCCAAGAACCTCTCCCTGCGTGCTTCCGTGCATCGGGCGGCCATATAATAGTAATGCCCTGGATGCTGCAAGGCATGACTAGGATTCAACCCGAACGCTCGAACGGCGTCTAGCTCCACGGGTGTGCCTGACGATGTCACACTAGCCGTAAGCGAAGAAGGTGAATTTGTGGGGAACGTCAGCGAAGAGTTTGATCCTTGTTCTAGAAGCTCCGCGAGGACGCGATGTCTGGAAGACACAATGAGAAATTCGTTGAATGTGTTTGGACATGATGACCGTACTGTCTCGCCATCCAACTCCAATACTCAAATGTCTCCTCCCCTATGCCCCATCCCCGCGAAAAATCAGCGAACCGGCGCATATGGGAATTATGATGCGAAAGTGCAAGCGAGTGCTCGTGATTGTACAGGTATAATTTGGTTATCTATCGGTCGAGTGGTAAGAGTAATCATACAAGGCTCATACATTCGCACCTTCACATTCATGGCGTCCGCAAGGACTTTGGCCTCTGCCCAGCGCTTGGTTCGAGGGGGCAGGATGGCAGTCGATCCGAACATAATCATGAGCGTTGCGTACGCATCCTGATAGTGTCTGAGAAACTTAGTTTTCCAATCTCTTTAGCAGCGAAAACGTGACCGACTTGAGCGCCACCTCATCTTCACCCCTGAACTCTGCGAAACATGCCATCTTGTATTCATACCGCACGGTCCATCCTTCGGGACGCAGTGGGCGGGTGCTCGCAGCGCCCATGGAAACAAGAGGTGGGGGGTTGTACGATGAGACAGATTGAGAGTGCCGATTGCGCTTACGCCTGACACGCTTGGAGTGAGAGATATAGTATTCGAGTGCAGGTTCGTATAGGGCGTCTTGTAAACTAGGAAATCATGTAGCACAGTCGTAGAAAAGAATTGGGGTGCCCTTACCTTCGTGCAAAATCATTCAATTCAGATGTACTAACTGGACTGAGGACGAACAAGGCTGCACGGGAGTCAAGCCCGCTCTGTCTTCTGATGAAGGTGAGACGGCTATCCAATGACGGATCATCTATTATACAGTTAGGAACTCATGTAACTATAACAAATGGACGATATACCGAGCATTCTCCTAGTTGCAAGTAGCACGACAGTCAATTTGATGCCGCGTTCATTGGTCGTCTTCTTTCGGGATGCAACCTCGGCGCTGAGATCCTCATCTCTTCTTCGTTCCTCCTCTGTTTTATCGCGTTCATGTTCTGGGTCTGGTGGGTCCAACGGAGATCGAGCATGTACCGCGGGTGCCTCAAACAATCTGAGAAATAGAACAAAGACGCTCGGTACTAGCGCAGTGTGTTTCCGTATCCATATGGGCGCAATGAGGCCATCGGGATACAAGGGTGACGAAGGTGTCAAGGGCGAAAGCGGTGAATGGGCGGATGCATATGCAGGGTCCTCTATTGGAACGAGCTTGCGAGGAGGGAATCGGACGTCTTTCCCCACAATGATCATCTGAAACGCTCTTGTGCGCTCTGGTGCCCATATCGCAACTTTGCGCTGTGACCGGAGGGCATCTCGGAGGCGCGCAACGAGGCTCGCGAAAGGATCATGGGTCTTGGTAGGTGCAGGCGGGGGGGATTGGGTTCGAACTAGCGTTTGTGGAGCAATTGAAGTGGAGGTAGACGATTCAGGTGGTGGGTCAAGGCCTGCAACAAACATTACTGGAGCGAGCTGGACCAAGAGCTCAGCTGGGTAGGAATTCATTCTGGCAATTCCTGATGATGAACTTCACTGAACCGATACTGAGATAGCAGTTTAACAGTTTCCAAACTAGAAAACAATCAAGTATTATCGAACTGCCCACCGTAGACTCACTCGAGTGCCTCCAAAGTACCGGAAGACTTACTTATATATACCACGTCCGCGAAGTAAGATCTATAGTAGTCGTGGGAACTATTGAGTTTCTTCTAGTAGTAGTACCCGCAGTGCCGTAGACTTTGTACCTTTTCTACATGTTGTGCGCCGATACACCACTCGATGGCCTAAGGGCCAACCTTTTCTATCACTGCCAGGGTATGAAATGGTAACTCTGGAGTCAAAGCGCCGTACCGTCAGGCAGCATCACTGAGCTCGATGCGAATGCGACGAGTATAAGAAGAGTGCTGGTTCATTGATCGAACTTTATTCCAACCACTAACAAACTAAAACGCACTTATTTGACCAACTGCATTAGAATCTACTAAGATGGCTAAAGACTGTACTTGCATCAGGCATGCAGCTGCGCAACGAAGTAGTCGTCTGGAGGATCTGATAGATTCATCAGAAGATGCCGCCGAGTATTCAGCTCCTTTTACTATGTGAGCAAATAGTTCTGTATCAGCGCCCGCATAGTGTTGCACTCCTATAGTAAACCAATAGTTCTTGAGGTCGGCCTCTTCGCGACGTTGTCCGACATTGTCTCCTGCAATACAAGGACAATACAAGAAATCTCGACGCACGTGACTTTTACGCGTGCACGCCGAGCGCATACCTGCTATTTTCGGATGAAGGTAACAACTTCTCTTGATGAACGTTTTCGTATAAGAAGCGCCTGGCCGAGTCGTGATTTTACCATTCCCTCTCGGTCCCTCCTATCTCCTGGCTTATTGACTAGGCCTCCATCTAGATCTCGTTCACTCTTTAAGTATTATTTCTCGCCACTCTTCAAATACAACTTTCAACCCCATCGCATATACCTCAATCCATCTTATACCCATCAACATGTCCTCAGTGACCCTCCGCATTCTATCCCTCTGGGTTATTCTATTTTCAATATCTGCAATGGGTAAGCATATCCTCCCCAGCTCGGTACTTTACAGAGCTTGACTTTGCCGATAGTTGCAGCGTCACCCGCACCAATAGATCCCGGGCTTGCATCGGTCATCACGAGCAATATGAATCTGAATTGCGGTCAGAGCTGTCAGACCGCTAAGGGTACAAAACAACTGGTAACGTTCACTCTTGAACGTGACGCGTGCGTCTTCTAATGCGTGTACCTGATAGAATACGAATTTTGCCTTGACATCTGCATCGAGTCCAAATTCATTCGTGCTTGGAGCTATACTGCTAGCTTGCGGCGTTTTGGTAGGGTCATGAGAGTATATTGTTACGAAGCAACTTCCAGGTCGGACCTTGACATTGTACTCGGTACAATTGATGTAGCAGTAAACATCAGGCAGTATGTAATTGCACGGACAAGAGACATTGACGGGGTTCCACTAATGCTATTTATTATGCATCATGCACGAGAACCCATATCGAAATATTGGTTTTCAAATTTAATTCGGCACACTGAATCAGTACTACGGCAAAACCATGCACGAGCAAAGTTGTTTCAGTCTACGACTGAACGACAGATGTAAGAGAAAAGGACTGCGTAGTAGACTGGCAAGTATAAAAGTGCTCAGTATCAGTCTTCGATCAAAGGAACGAGTAAAGTTAGTCGCAAGGGAAGGGGAATCAAAGAATGTCGTCGGGACGGATAACGGAAAGAAAGCGTGGAGGAGTAATTGTATTATAGTTCAGTTGACACATCTATATGCTCCCGGAAAGCCATTGAAATCATGTCCGCTCCAGCATCAGGGTTGTCCATGACCTTGGCGTGATATTGTCGAACACTAAGGATGAGGCGTGGTCCTAGCACAAACATCTGCATGACCGAAAGAATTTGACGAACACCATCATAAATCTGAGTTCCCACAGAAAGTGAGTTCTATAAAAGTAAATAAGTCGCAGTCGCATGCAAGTATTAATGATACATGGGCGTACCGCCAAGAGCTGCGGAGACAAAAAACCGAGATCGAAGCAAGAAACAACAGCAAAGCTAGCACGTACGGAACTTTAGTGGGGGAAGTTGAACATATTAAATTAGGAGTTCACCTTGCAAAGTAGACAACGTGAGTTTGTATCAACACTGTGAAATAGTTCCCAATTGTCCATCTCCTCGATGGTCGTTGCAGTTCACGGAAGTATTTTATAGTAATCCAGGTTGCAAGACACAGCGCGAGGACTTCCCATACAGTGGATAGTATCCATGTCATGGAAAGTAGAATTAGAGCGTCTGCGTCCTTGTCATAATTAGTACACTGATAGGTGCCGGAGAGGATGAGCTCTCCTGATATCCATCTGATCAGTATAATGCGCTCGAGCCCTTCGACCATAATTTAAAACTTACTCGCTTTGGTATGCCTGTTTACCATTACAGTCATCACTCCACATGCAATCGTAACAGCTGTGAAGATTACAACGAGAAAGACAAGCATGTTTCTGGATCGCTGATACATGGCATATAACCGAGTTATCATGATCGCTTGCATAATGTATCAGCCAAGTCAATATCACTGGGGTGTTGTAGCTGAGTGACTCACCACCTAACATGGCATTTACGACCACACCCATGCAATTTAGTACGAAGTACATAACATTGCCTGGAAATCCAAGTTGGTGGTGAGTGTCGGAGGATCAGATACTCCAAACAATCTCACATCTGTTGCGGTCATTTTATATTAAATTAGCAAGCTGGTCGAGAACCGCACTCACTCCTGTATGGGAGTAAATTAGGCGACAATGACAGGCATTAATGTAGGATACTCACTAGTTTTGTCATTGAGACTGTCGGAAGAGCTTCTGCATGCCTTCAATCAGCAGAAACACGCGCAGTGTGGGTGAGGGGACATACGCAGCATGTTGATGCTGATTGTGGAAAATGATTAAGTAGTAGCACAGTGCACATTGCCAACCTTGAAGACATACATAATGTATAGTATTCCGAAGTAGCGCACCTGGAATATTTTGAATTCAGCACAACTTGTCATCTTCGCTTATAACATAAGTTACGCACGCCGATATATAGAACTGTCATGAGAGACCAACGACGATTCTGTCCAGAATTGAGGGTATCATCCTGTTGAAGTCTTCTGATATGGTACGGTGCTCACCCAGACCAGTTCGAGCTATACATAATGTCATCCTTAGTGAGATGGCTACTCTGGTAATGGCATCAGCATACCTCTTGCCCAAATGTCAGCGCTAGAAACATCATAAGGATATCAATCGTTCTTAAATACAATCTCGCTCACCCCAATCGTAAATCACTGCAGCAGAGGAGGCAACTGCGTCAAGAGTAGATTGAGGCATCGCTGACAATATTTGCCTGACTCCCCACGAACCTATAAAATAGCTGAAATTACGATTGAAATTGATCATCGGCCACCAATAAGGAGAATTGAAGATTTTGGTCATGTTTGAAGGATGGCGCGAGTGAGTGAGAAACTTGGTGGACGTATAATGATGGAGTTCGAGCTAGATATACCACCATCCAGCGCTTTTATAGCCGAAAAAGGCGCCATGGAGATGAACGTTCACCCCTGCCTTGATTAACACAAATTAGTATGCGGTGTGAAACCAAGGAGAAGGGGAGGTCACTCTAAGGCTCTCGGTGTCGATCGAACAAAATAAGATGGTGATGCTGGTTGCGAATTCACAAAGTAGTGTCGTGCGCGCGGAATTTTGAACACTGCTGTTCGTGATTTCGGGAAATATTTTCCAGTGCACTTTTGAGATGTCGTTGTATCAGTTTAAAAATCCATCAGTGAGATCATGTAGCCACCGATCTAACACGGACCTAGGGACAATGTGACCACGTTTCATTGATTCTCTGAGACCTGATTGATGATCAACTCCCTCTCTTGTTGGCCCGGACCTGGGGAGCGTCCAGAGCCTCATAACAAGGTCACGTTCTGTCGGTACGTGGATATCAGAAATGTCAGAAATAGATATAGGTACGATTGCAGCCTTACTGCTACTAACCACCTCCAAGCCAACCCCTCATGGTCACCTCCCTCCAATGTACCCTTCTCCTCAATACCTGTCGCTTCGTGCGTACTTCCTCGCTCCAGCCTCGATCATTGGGCTATAACACCATCGATACAAAATATGTGATAGAGATCGTGCAACTCTGATGCAAAAACCGATGCAAACCATTAAATTCCATCATACCGTCGAGTCACTGCCAGAGCGGCATCGATTCACACAGCTAGCCAGATTAATTGATGATCCGTATGTGTCTCGTGTCTCGTGTCTCGTGTCTCGTGTCTCGTGTCTCGTGAATATATAGCATAGCCCTGTTGGCTCAAAATAGAGATGAGACCGTCATAGGGAGAAGAAACGACTCGAATATGCCTGTGTCTGAGCAGGAGGCCCAAATCGATCTGCCCTGGTCCATACATATGACAAACGTAAAAAGGAAAAGCACTTGCTGCCAGATCTCCATCGTACTTAATATCAGGGACAGTGTCACAGCACGAAAAGGCGGCACAGTAGTTTGACAGTTCCATCTCCTACACGGAGGGTGTCAGCAGCACATGCTGTCTGCATCTATAATCGAATCAGAGATATATGCGATTATGTAGTCGACGAAGAAATTTTTAGAGCCCTATGATCGCTACCAGCATCGCATGAGTGATTTAGGCGCTACCAGTGACCAGTGGCCGCGCGTTTGATAGTGGGTATGGAAGTATTAGGGCCGGGGGCAAAGAAATAAATTCACACGAGTGAATCTCTCGAAATTTGTGACACTCACTTGATCACCACCGAGTATTTATGCAGTACCACCACCTGTGACCTCTGGTCCCTCCTCCGAGTCTGGCTCGAGGCATGCCGAAAGTATCGTTTCGTGGAACATTATTTTTATGCTGCAGCAGCGACGGCATATTCCATATCGGTAGCGCATTTTGAATCGTTACCTCCGAGAACCATTAGCGGTCGTGCCACTTCACGGAAAATGTTCCCCTAAAGAAAGAGCTTTTCAAGTATGACGAGGCGTACAAGAGATTGTCACTGAGGCTATCGTTGCAAGTATTGCGGATGACGTCTACAACTTCGTACAAACTAATTCGTAGGTGATATGCCGAGGAAACATCGGGCCGAAAGATAGTACTCAAGACACCACTCAAGTAGTCTGAGGAGCACGATAACACAGCCGCAGTATCTTCAAGTCTACTGTAAAGAAAGTCGAGGAAGATAAAGTCCCAGAAGCAGCCGTGAAAGCGACAGCCGTTGTTCGACATGACGGTGCAGGGTTCGCCGCCGCCTAGTTGGACATTATCGTTCGACTTGATCCGCAGAGCGGCTTGAGAGGCAGCCCTCGTTTGGAGGTCCATCGACTGTGTTCCACAACCGCCCCCACTCGGCCAGTGTTTTCTTCTCCAGATGCTATCCTGCCACGTGATGACACCGACCCTGCAATTGTGTTCAACAACACTGTTAATGTCATTGTTTATACTCCACTTCGAGCCCAAGCCCGACTACGACCACCCTGCACCTCCAAAGCGTGCCCCGATGGCCGTTACGGAACCCACTCTATATCTCCTGTCTTGTGTTGTAGTATCAGTTATGTCTGAATCTGCCGTATCCGAGCTCATGCTCGACCAGCTTACACCACGAGTTGATACCATGGGTTATTTTCCTCCAAAAATACTGTCCGAAACAGCGAGGGACGTTCTTGAGGCTGTCAGAGGTGGCCTTGCTTGCGAGTGGCCCGTATCAAGAAGATTAAGGAAGATAAGAAGCTGCAGCTAGGAGATGGAGTTCGACGGATATGTGCGGAAGTATACTATGTTCTGGAGCTGGAGCTCGAGGCGCAGGGTAAAAGATGAGAGGGCTTTAGGATATGAATGCGCTATGTACTTTAACGTGAGCTTGCAATTGAATCCATTGCTATGACTTATAACGAGAACTCACTTGGAATTCTCTAGCAGACTATATATTGAGGGAAGAGAGTCGTTTCATCTTGATTGAATTCAAGTGACTGATACATAAGCAAGCGAACATTGCTAGTTGACGCGTATTGTTAGCATGCGTCTTGCATCTTCTCTTCATCACTGTCGACTGTTTCGGTACAGCTAGGGCAAGTGTCCGGCATGACCAATGCGCCGATTTCTAGCCCACTGACATGGGTCGCAGGGAACACGACTGCTGTGACTAACTTCAACAGGGGCATCCTCATAATCAACAGTTGACAAGGGTAAACGGTAGGCAGACTGGCTGACGCGGTCGGTAGAAATCAAAAGTCCATAGCCAGTTCGGATAGCATCTCGCAATCATGCTCATCACGAGAATGAACGCGTTGCAGACTCACTTCTGGATAATTTTTGGAAGGTGGGGGCCACTTAAAGTCGATGGTAACCCCCTTGTTATCCAACACACCTTAAACTATGACAGGGAGACAAATGGGTATGAAAACAACGACACCAACTGGAGCCAAAAGGTGCGTAGTCTTGCTGATATATCTGTGCAGTTCGTATTTCAAAGTGATTCCATGATTGGGACGAAGGCACAGCGCCCAAGTCACAATCTGTGACTATCTGCGTGCCCATCACCCGTTCCCTCGGTTTATTTCGCCCGGAAAAAGGCAGGGTTGCTGGAAAGATCCAGTGGGACCAGTATCCACGGGCACCTTGCCATTATAAATCTTTCTGCCCTTCTCTGAACTCGCCATCGATAGTGAGTGAGTGGCTCTCTTTCTTGCTCCCCTCCTCTGCTGATGTGGTCTTCGCAAGTGGTCTCCACCGGAATGAAGCCCGCTCCCACTGGCAGTGCGTCCAGGATGCAACGTAACGAATCAGCTGCCGATGATGGCCATCGCACCATACCGCGACCGATGCCGGCAGATTTTCGTAAGCTAGTCTCTGGCTCCCAAGAAAATATCATCCGCGCAATGGATATAAGTCAACCAGCATTCGAAGAATTTAAAGTAAAATTTTAATTTCGTATTATTGTCCATCGCTGATCCTTGATAACAGAAGATCCTTCGCGACCAGGCCGTAATGATGCTGGACTGCGAAAGATTCCTCCACGAACAGATGCCCGATATTTGGGCTATCTATCTGGACTGGGTAAGCCGTTGATTTGACTAGCGAGTTGGATATATCATCTAACACACCCAGGCTCGCGAGGAACTGGCATCCTTTCTTGCCAGGTACACTGATGCATGGCCCGTCGAGCTCTACATGGAGCATTATTTATCAAAGAAAACGTATGCCAAGCGTCACGCCTTCAGAGCCAAGATGTCGAAGTTAAGGCCCGCCCTCAAAACCGCTCGCGTTAAGAGTTCTACCTCAGAGGTAGAGTACCTGTGCTCGTGCTGTTAATGAATAGCGCCGCTCACGCTTTTGCGCGATAGCGTGGTGTGAGCTTGCCACCCGCTCCCGGTGGTCCACCCCCACCTTACGAAGACCACGATTTCGTACAACCCGAAGCGGCGGGTGGTGATGATCTCACTGTCGAGAACTTTCTAAAGACGGTCAACCCTGACCTTAGCCACCTTTTCTCCGCGTTTGAGGAACTAGGGATCAGCAGCGAGGCGGATCTCGTTGTTGTGAGGTCATGGGTTCCTGCCGTGAGAAAAGATTTTTTCGAGAGAGAACTAATGGGGAGGATGAGCGCCCTCCAGATCCAGGCTCTGAATGTCAAGCTTGGGGAGATGAATTAGGTTACATGAACAGCCATCTCAAAGTCGTGATTTTTTGGATTTTGAGTATTTTACTTGTATGATATTCTTCCATTCAATTCGAGTTCTATTTGTATTTTGTGTTACTCGATTTTCTCAATGGGAAGCATTCCCTCCCTTCCGATGTTGGGAATCGAAAGATTCTTGTAGTCTCGGAAAAGTGTGTTGGTCATGGCGAGTAGTGTTACTGCACAAGTCGCTACCCACCGGGTGCCGACCTCAACTTTTCATCGATGCTGTGAGTCCCGACAGGGCATATGTTTATACAGATGTTATTTAAGAATGCTGCTGTGATCAATAATTGCTAACATATGTAAGGACGGAACGTTTGATCCCGCGGAGGCAATTTGCGTGACTCCCTGTGCGTGCTCCACCTGAGCTCCACATGGACCCCGATTCGCTTAAGCGCCGTGCACTCGGTAGTCTCCTATTTGTATGCGTTGTATATAGAATATTGGCGGAACTGTCATTGCGATCGTCGACATTGTATTCGTAACTTGTCGGACATGGAAACACATGGCAGAATTGTCCATTTTAGACCAAGACCTTCTCCGCACTGTCCTTTTCAGATATCCCTGATCTGGGCACCTTGAGTTTGGGACTAATCGATAAATCAGGATCATGGCGTCACACAGAAATTCCTGCAAACCTACTGTTGACTCACACCACAGTGACAACGTCGTTGTGCTGACAGCATGATAACCGCTATCCAAGTCAAAAGCACCGCCGCTAGTACCATCCACAAGCCATTGCCAAAGCTTACAGCAAAGTCGGCTCCAGGGAAAAGGGAGTCGATGTTGTCTTTAATACCAACAACCAGGGTAACATTCGCAACCAAAACAACAGTCGAAACAACTGCTGTGATTATGGCAATCACGAGTGCGATTGCTGTGATTAGGTGAGAGCGAAGCAAGAGAGACAACACAAAGGCGACGGTCGAGAGTGCTGCACTGACGAGATGCAGCACAAGTATAGTCAGGAGGGTCGTCTCTGCAATATTTGCGAGCTTAGATGAGAGCCCAACGAGAGACAAGATGCTTGTAGGAACGGTGTATCCCAACTGTGGGCCATAGCATGCTTCTTGTGCTTTGACGCCATTGAGAATACTGAAACGTGACGGATGAGGAAACACCGGCAAAATTTGGTCAAAGCAGATACTCTACCTCAATGCACAGACACCCCATACTCCAAATTGCAGTTCTGTAATTGCATTCGAGACGGGATCAACAGAATTTACTGCTGATACTTTGATAATTATGATTGACTTGATAATTGGCAAAGATAGACCGACCAAGAGGAAGAGGAATGCGGTGAGAATCAATGTGAAGCAGGCCAGACGGACCGTGTGCTCTTGTAGTAGCCGTGGGAGCCTTTGAGACTTGGCTAGATGGCCACGCAACCGCTGTAAGACGCCCTCCATGCCTGGTGTTACCGGCAACTGGGTTGAGAAGGATGGATGAAACGCATTGTTATACAGTGCTTTGGGGCTGCAGGCGAGACAGCCTGGAAATATAGATAACTTTGCTATATCATACTCACAAGGTCTCACATGCTGCGGGAGTTCGTGAGAGTCCAATTTCAAGGCCCAGCGCCCTGAAAATACAGGAGAACCATCATTGGTGACGAATAGAGGATTACACCTGATAAAGTGAGTTGCTGCAGAGTACGGCAGCTGAAGCGTAAACTTGAAGTACAGCAGCAGTGAAGTTGCCGGGCTGAACCCAGCGTGTGGTGACCGCTGATCATTCGCACATACTACGTGTGAGTGTCAAGGCACCGCACAATCAGGAACGTCAGGCAGTCTTGACATGCGACATAGTCAGGGCATCAGTAATTGCGGGTGAGTGCTTACTCGCCAACCAATTGGTTTGGACTAGAAAATTGGCGGTGAGGGTCCTTTAGAACCCCGCTCGGTCACGGCAACACTCCCCCCTGGTGGCGAGACATCGTCCCAGTTCTCTGCAGCAGACTGCCAGCAGTGCAGCACGCTCGCACCGCTCAAAAAGCTTTGATAACTCAACTCGGAAGCCACAATATTAATATCGATCGTTCTACCGACGCTGCCAACTCCAGAATTTCCGTCCGCGTCTCGCCCCGTGCTCAACTCTTCGACTCCGCTTTCTTAAATAAGCCTGTGCTGGATCTTCATGCCTGTACTAGAGCACCACACGGTATATACTTGTATTCAATGGCACACAATAATTATCATTTGCTTGCGAGAGAAAAAAGGTATGGGAAGCTGGGGAAGGTTTATGGTCGATTTTGTAAAACTTTCGACAAATGCAGTTTACCTGTAAGCACGCTGGGCTTACCAGATTTCCCATAATCTACATAAATACTGTTCACGATACTGAAACACAAGCTTTCAGTACCACTGCCTTTGAGCGTAACAGATAAGCGGACGACAGTCTTGACTCAGTTACATTACCCTGCCAGAACGGTACTTAAATCACTGGGTGACTTTCTGCAGCATTTAGAATCGTAATAGATTTTGATTCAAACCTTTAAGTCAGTATATCGTCCTGCACCTCCTCGCAATCTAGAAATGCTTTCTAAACCGCAGACTAATCGTATCTAGACTCCAATGTACAGACTGTTGAGGCCGAGGTGTCAAAAGTCAGAAGGCATATTACTAAGCAAAGGTTACAACATAGTCACGGAGTTTGAAAGGTTCGTTTGGGTATTTTTGAACACCATTTTCTGAATCTAGTAATCATCACTATTCGTAAAGTGTTATAGACTACTGTAGAGCTACGACACTAGGTTCGTCACAGGTCACAGCCCTTGACGAATCGAATCTATTTGGTGTGACCGTCACATGAATTTTGGCGGGACGAAGCTAATTTGTGACATTCGGAAAAAAACATAGGAAAAACATAGGTTGTGCACTAATGGGACCAAAAATCGTTATACATCGAATTTGTGATGCGTCTACGCTTTCCACGCCCACAATCAACCTTCGGAACACTGTTCGAGCCACCTTCCACATCTTCAGCAATAATGTCACCCACATCATAGACTTCGGAGTGGTTTGCACACTTCTGAACATCGCGTAAATATTGCAAGAGTCTCCAAGTCCACTTGTTACCATCATTAGCACTATGCGAGGCGAATCCTGAAGCAAGTTGTCACAATCACGAAGCAGCGGCATGTCATATGGTTGCAAGCGGCGAAGCATCCGCGGGCGAATCTATTTGGGTGTGGTCACAGGTCACATGGACATTCGAACCAGTGACACTGAGTATGACATAATCACACGCTGCACGTGACGAACCTAGTGTCGTAGCTCTACAGTACCAACTAGAATGTCGTTCCTTAATTCTTCTAGAATATCCATGATCACAACTCGTTCAAACAGGCTAGAGGTCTCCGTGAGTGCTTGTGTGATGAATTTCTCCCTCCCCGTAGATGTCATTCGGAAGAAATGTTGCAAGTGTTGGTCAGTGGACAGGCCGGCTTCCATGATTATCGCATGGAAGCGGTGCAAACCTGGCATTGAAGCCAGGAGGGTTGACAACAGAACTAGACATGACGCTGTGCCCGAGGAACCGCCGCCTTGAACCGTGTTCACCTGATCATCCTTAGGTGGGGTAGCCCGATTATCAGAGCAAACAAAGTCATGCTATAACATGTATGTTAGACGACCTTGAGCATAATTGTCAGTAGAATAGGGAAGAACCTGTACATCCTCAGGCTGCCAGTGAGTAGCCTGATTATTAGAGCAAACGGTGAATGACATTTGATGCGGACGGTCATGCTATAACGTGCGTGTTAGGCGGACTCGGAGTATAATTGTCAGTGGAATAGGAAACCTGTACATCTTCAGGCTGAGTAGCTAGATTGATAGAGCGAACGTTTGATTGTCTCTGACAAGGATGGTCATGCTGGGGGATGTATTAGATTGGCTCGAAGCATAATTGAGTAGGGGAGAAGTTAAAACCTGTGTAATTTGAAGCTCGGAGTCCAGTTGCTGGTTGTAAATCAGAACAATCTGGTAGTTGATTCATGTTGTTTGGAATTACCTGAAAGTTTTTCATGATTCTCGGGCGATGGTATATTATGCGAAGGAACACTTCAACTACCCAAGCATCTTGGTACCATATCAGGTGCGACAGCTTCATGTCGAGTAGGACCTACAAGATATGTTTCAGCCTCAGGCACACTATGTAGTTGCACTCTGCCACAATATTCATTACCTCTCTCTTAAAAAATTCTATCTGTGATTGAGACTGCTCCAGATACGGTATCGAAAAATCGATATGACGAAGAGCTAAGTCTCTAATTATTCTCTTTGAGGAACAATCAGCTTGTAATGCGTAGCTTCAGGTTTTAATGGACGCTTACTTGTGTCTTGCAGCATATTTGGGAGTTCATTTTCAACGCTGCTTGGAGATAGCGTGCAGGAAGCCGGGGGTTGGACAGGTGGTCTATGGAGGCCTGCGAAGGCCGCCTCATGAATACGGGTCCTTGAAGTTGGGGGAAGGCTGCTAACACATAGGTACAATTAATTGTAGTTCGATAAATGGCAGTAGATAGAACTCACAATCTTCGGAGTCGCGAGTGGTGTGACGAGCCATATATGAACTTGGGTAGTGGGTCGGCCTACAGTACTGAGGTGCTATTTGCCCAGCAATTTATAGTCGTGTGTATGCTCTTTATCTGCGTTGATCAGTTATAGAATCCATCATTTGAGGAGGCCCAAACAAATCAAATACCAGGGTTTTCTCCCCAAAGAGTCATCTTAGTCGTCGTCGTCAACTGATTATCAGACACGTCGTCAAGGCTCGTGGCTAACATGATGTACAGCGATTCATGCGCGTGTCCGGAACCGAACGACGCGTCTTTACTTCTGACTCGCTATGAAAAACACACCTTGGACACTGATCTCCGCGGCTGTCATCTCGACTCAGAGCATATCCGACTTGTCCTAGGCAGCGAGTGCTGCTTCAAGAAGCGAGGAACAACATCCCTATGCACTATGACTTTCGAAGCCTTCCGACGCGTCACGATTATGCACAAAGCGTGCTCTCGCTGGAATGTATGTCATTTGATAAATGTGAGTGTCTTTAAGAAGAGAATGGCGTACCCCAGGTTTTGTTTCTGTCTGAGGAAAACGTGGCAGAAGCGTGTTAAACCATGGCGTCGAACTCGAAGTGTAAACGACTCATTTGTTGCTTCTCGGGAGGTTAGTACTAATATCAGTAAGTATATACCGCCCACCAACCGCTTACCCTAAATTTTATCAGAGATATCCTAATAATCTAGCAGCTCCGATCAGTCATCGATACAACAAGATGGGAGTCCAAAACGAACAATATGAACCAAAATATTCTACAGCAAGTCAATATTGTACACGAGGTATTGATGAAGCATGTCAGAACAATAATAAGGAGTGGTATAGCCCACGGCACGAATGGAACTTGTGCTGAGGGTAGGTTTTACGGCCTGTGAAATTCAACATCAAGTGCCTAAAATGTGGCTGATGTATCGGCGTAGCTGTGGGGTAGGGGTCCAAGAAACATTAATGCAAACATCAGAAGCATGGGATACACGTTGCATCAGATCATACAACATCTCTAGTGTCATCTCGCACCAAATTGCTCGCCTCACCTGTAAGCCGTCGAGTCCCGTAAACGCCACCGCCGAAGAGGTCCCCACCACCAGAATGATGTCCATCCAAATCCAAGGTCCGTCTCTGGCGCCGGTGGAGCACGTTGCGAGGGCGGAAGTTCAGGTTGGTGGCCACGCCGCCGAAAGGACTGGTCTTGTGACAGTAATTCTGGTTCTGCGATTTTGCCTGGATTATCTCCGTCGTCGTCCACTTCAATCCTGATCTGTAGCTCCTGTCCTTCCCTTCGATCCCGCTCTACGCCCCGTAGTCCATAGCTACCCAGTCCCCATCCGACGACCTGGGAACCAGGTTCCCGCATCGAATTCCGGGTCTCTTCACGGCCGAACACTTGGTGTATGCGCTCTACGCGCTCGACAGCTTGTATTCTCGCCGCAGTAAGGTGCGCATGGCGCAAGCGTGCGTACCATCTGTTTACAAATTGTAGAGGAAGCACGCCCCCGGACGACCTATTTGTCATCGAACCTGTAGTCGATAGGACATTGCTAGAAGCGAGAGCATTCAGCGATTCAGAATTGTCAAGTCCTTCGTGCCCCTCGCCGGAATCCCGGCTATCAAGGTGGTCGCGCTTCGTTGTGAATGCACCGGTGACACCCTTCCACATAGTCTTGGCCTTCTCTCGTTGCTCCTTCCTCTTCTGTGCTTTCACTTTCCTCTTTCTTTCACGTTTCTCCTCCTTCATCAGTAACTCTTCTACCTCGCCGACGCCCATCCCGGAACCAACCCACCACCACCATCCAAGGAAACTTTGCCACATGACCACACTCCACATAAGTTTTGGCATCCATCCATACTGGTCTTGACTCGGTATGTAGATGAAATTGAGCGTAGTCGATATGAGAGCGAGAACGATTGCGCCAGCACCGAAGGCTGCTGTCCCGCCATCGGTGCGCCATGCCGCCTCCCGGTTAACAAAAAAGCCCCAGATTATTAGTGCAGAAGTGAACAGCAACGACAAAGCTGCATTGCACACGTTCCGGGTGTCCTCCGCGAGTGGCACCGAGCTCAACCCGTAGAAGATCGGGAGCAGTTGCATGACAGCAGATATGATAGCCAATGGACCTGATTACAAGCAGGAAGCAAACACAACGCTGAGATCAGTATTGCGGGAATCGTGCGGGATACAGAACATGAAGCGCCAATGACTCATGCCCACATAGGAAGAATGTCGCAGAGTTCCAATACTAAGGAATGGCATAATGTCCGAGATCACGGAACATGATAACATCCAATACACAGGATGCATTTGGAACAGAAACGCAGGGGCTTGACACGCGTACTCACCAAGCAGGCCAAAAATGAGTCTTGCCTCCAGGTTTGAGGGAAACAGTAAGGTCAGAAAATGAATGTGGGTAATCTAAATAACAACATCGGTACAATCAGGGGGGCTACGTTCACTTGCACTGACCTGTATAACCATAGATGTAGTCGCATTCATTACGGTCCACGTAGCACTCTCGGCAAGTGACCATCGGTGTGCATATACCACAGTAGGATCAGTGGTATTCCCGGTTATATTGCTGCCAAATCTTGGCATATCCACAGCCAGGTAGCTCAACATGTATGGCCAATGCTGGCTCTCCTCTATATTGGAGGAGAACACGACATAGATAGTAGCGGTGATAGAGGCGAGCAAAGTCACCACCCCCGTGAGCTGCAGCATATAATTGACACGAGCTAGGGGCCAATGATACTGAGCGGTAAAAAGCAGGTGAAGAAGCAGAACGACGACGAGTGTGAGGACTACGCCTGTCAGGAGGATCTGAACTGGTAACGACTCGACGAAGGCGGGTCTAAACTGTAGAATAGGGTCACTGTCATAACCACTGCTGTCGTTTTGGGCCATTGCAGAACAGAGCTGAAAGATAACGGTGAAGAAGATGGCAAGCCATTCGTGCCGTGTATGCGGCATCATGAACAAGTTCCAAGAGACAACGTGATCTAGTGTCACGCATGTCACACACTTGGCTTGCTTGGCTCTACTTGGCTTCCACTCATTGGTGCTAGTGCCTCATGGGAATAACGATAAGACCCCTTCAATCGGAGCGCTCTGCTTGGGCAGATGGCAATATGTTACTTGGCTGCCGTGTACCGGAAATGCTGATCGGCAAGTGCAATCTTTCGTATACAGCGAAAGCTTGAAACGCCTTGGCAGTGGAGCAATAGTGGAGTCTAGATCAGAATCAGGACAACTTCCTCCGCGCAAACGCCTGGGACGAAATAGATCAAGATTCAATACTCACACTATAGGAGGGATTTCTTTGGCGATCACGGTCTGTCTGGAACTCGGTTTTGCCACCTAAGGCTGGCATAGATAATCAAAAGTTGTATGCATCGCTCCTACTTTCGAAAGTTCCACATCCGACGGCGCAATGTTTCTTACTTATGTGGAACACTGGAATTACGCTTTTACGGCAGGTGTGTTGCCTACATGGCCGCATGAATCATCAGAAGACAGCTGATATGTTATTCCGAGCCTAGAGCTTATGTCTTCTTTCGTTCGCGTCAGCAGTGACTCATGGTTTAGCAAGTTCGCAGCGTAGCGCTACAGCCCCCCGAGTGATACTGCAAATTCCAGACTAGTCGTCCGCTGAGATTTGTTACAATCACTCTAAATGTACGGTGAGCACCGACGTTTCTAGTGTTTCTCCGCGTAGAAAACTGAATTCATTGACCCAGAAATCAGGAGGATCTTTAGCCTTTGATAATCCAAGCTACTCGTGCAGTAACAGCGCTTAAGCCTTACGCCCCTTCTTGACGCATGACAGCCTTTGACAGGAGAAATCTTACAAGAAGGGAGGGACTGGTAAGAGACATAACATTGCCTGGGCAACCGACGCTACGTAAGGTTGTCCTTTACCACCAATCCCATTATACCCGTGGGCTTTAATCGTTCTACCCACAGATATTCGATCGAGAAGCTCTTATCCTCTACCACGCCTCAAATCCCACACCGTCTGTGGACAACTGAACACATACCTGCTACTCTAGTCCTTACTCCGAGCAGACTGGAGAAACTCGTTCGAAAAGCTTTGGACGAGGTTCTTGTCGAATACAGAGATTCGTATATTAAGGTGTCACACCTCTAAAAAGCAGGACGATCTCGTATTAGCACGCAGGGGAGCCTTTAAAATATCAAACGTTTGTTCGAACTCGTCACTGACGGCCCTCCCACATCCGCCCAAATCTATATCAAAAACATACTTAACGATAGCATCAGGTTGACATCCAAGTGGCACATGAAACGAAGCACATGTTTTCCAAGTGAACTGGCTGCGATTCATGTATGATCTAAATAAATACCTCTGTGCATAAAGGTTTTGGTCTAAGGAGGGGGTAATGCGGATCTTAACGATGCAGACGTCACAGAATCCAGATTCGTGGATGGTGCGATTGGTAGGGGTGCATCTCCAGCAGCCGCATTCAGTTGCGCAGCCATCAGCGTCCGGAACCTCGAGTCCTTTGAGTTCACAAGCTGCCTATACGTCCCCGACTCTGTTATCCGGCCATCTGGGTGCATAACCACCCCGTTAGTTTAATCTTGGATGTAAAAAAAGAGGCAGAACCCATCACCTTCAAGCACGACGATCCGCTCTGCGCGGGCAATAGTTGACAAGCGATGTGCAACGATCAGACACGTCGTGTGTCGTGCTCGCAAGATCTTGTCGATAGCGTCATTGACCTGAAGAGGTCCCGTCAGAACAAGGCCAGCAGGGCGTAAAGTATCTTACCCTATGTTCGGACGCAGCATCAAGCGAACTGGTCGCTTCGTCGAGTGCCAAGATCTTGGGCTTTTTCAGCAGCGCACGGGCAATCGCTAGGCGCTGCCTTTGTCCGCCACTCAAGCTTAGACGGCCAACTGAATAAAATAATCGTCAAACAATTCACATTAAGCGGGAAGAAAGTGGCACAAACTTTCGGTGTCGAACCCTTTCGGCATTCCAAAGATGAACTCGCAATTTGCCTCGCGTGCAGCAGCCTCGATCTCCTCGCGCGTAGCATCCTTGTTTCCGAAGGCAATGTTTGATGCAATGGTTCCTGTGAAGAGGACGGGGTCCTGGGCGGCTGTTGTCACAAGAGAAAATGTAAATGCAGAGTTAAGCACTTGCCTGGGGAACAATGCCGATCATGCTGCGCCATGACGAAGGATTGAATTCTCGGATATCTTATCCGACCACGTTAACACCCCATAAGAGACGAGGTAGGCACTACCCACCTTGACCATCGAAGGTCACTTTCCCGCGCACAGGATCGTAGTACCGCAGAAGCAAAGATTGTACAGACGACTTGCCGCCACCGCTCTTCCCCCTGCATACGACAGGGTCAGCGGCACCGACAACTGCTAGCCCGTACGACTTACACGATTGCCACGCTCTCTCCAACACCAATCTCGAGATTGAAATCATCGAGGATTTGCACACCTTTGCGACTGGGGTACTCGAACCCGATGTTCTGGAATCTCACCGTGCCATAGCGCGAAGCGTCAACTTCAATGCCTCCATGGGGCGGAATCGCTGGCGTGCGGTCGAGTAGCTCAAATATGCGTGTGCCCGCACCAATCCCACGCATAATGGACGACTAATCTCGCTCAGTTTAATGGAGACCGTCAGAATATCGAAAACCTACGAAAAATGAACTGTGCAGAGCAGTGTTGCAGTGGACATATCATAAGTAGAAGAGAACTCACGTCAACATTTGAAGACCCGAGCCAACATATACAGTGTATAGCAAGAGACTTGTCAGGTCTCCGACAGTGATCGCACCCTGCGAAACCAGTGTTCCCCCTACACAAATATATTTAGAGATTTTCACCAAGATACAAGGAAGCCGTGAACGGTCCACACACCGTATCCAAGTAGCCCAAGGATAGTCACATTTCCGCTCCAACCAGTGCTTCCGAAGAAGATTCCTGATGCGATCGCCTCCTTCCGAGCTAGCGCAAGGACGCGTGTCACCCGGTCATGGAACTTTCCCTCCTCTTGGTCGCGCGCATTGAATGCTTGAATTGTCCGTAGAGCTGAGAGCGACTCTTGTGCAACCTGAAGTATAATAGAAGACATGTGCGAAACAAGGGAAAGATGAGCTAAACTGACCTTGGTCATTTCGCCCATCGCTTCTTGCGTCTGGTTGGAAAGCTTCTTCAGGTAGCGGCCATAGAATACCTGCGAGCCCTCAGATTCTGCTGCAATAAAATGAAATTCTGCTCACAGCACCGAGAGAGACTGGTGGAACAATTCCCAACATCATCACAGTCAGCGTGGGGGACAAGTAGAACATGGCACCAACTGAAGAGGATACGCCCATTCATGAGCAACAATAGCACGTCTGTATATACGACACTTACGGCCAACAGATGACATCACAATAGCTCGAAGTCCATCTGAAAGATTTTGTGTAACACTGCGTGTAACAATTTCAATAGATCTTTCTCGGATACAGCACTGCGAAACCCTACCTCTCCCCGACAATACTTGAATCCGCAGTCAGTCTGCTCAAAACGTCACCCTCTCCCCTCTCCACAAACTCGACTTCTTGCTTTAAAGCTGCAGCATACGCCCGCTCCCTCAACCGCGCAACAATTCGCTGGCCCGACATTCGCATGAGGAACGACCTCGCTGCATTGCACGTTGCTCCCGTCGTAAACAAAATCAGAAGAGCCGCCGAGGCTTGCCCAATTGACAAACCGAATGGTATTTCCTGCGCACGCAATGAGTCAACCACGTCGCTCCTTCACTGTCAATTCACTCACAGGGTTTGCAGAAGAGAAAAAGTCTATCAATTTTCCGATCGTAAACGGAACACTCATCGCGACTGAAGAGGACACCAGTAACAGTCCCACTGCTAGCAGCAAAGGCTTTTTCTCCTGCTTAGCCAGTGCAACGATTTTCCGGAACGAGGAACTACTTCCAGGTGCAGGCTGCAAGGCGGATGGCAGGAACCTCGTAAGCCCGGAGATCTTCTTGACAGGTGTCTCTGTTGCATAGAAACGCGAGGTCTGAATAGAAAAGGGATACGTCCGTCTTCTAGAGAGTATGTGTTGAGTCTGTGACGAAAGCGCTAAGGGCCGGACATTACTATGGCAAGACGCCAGCACCCTGCCAGTGATACTTGGGACTCGAACTCGGAAATTGGACACGTAGATGCCCAGTAGCATATTCTATCACAAGTTAAGCATCAAAGCCGCGTGTTTCGACACTCCACTGTTTTCTGTCCAACCGAAGAATGTGATTTAAATCCAAGTCTTGGTCTTGCTCAGTGTGACTTGCGCACTATTTGTGCCTTGTTTGGTTCGACACTATGAACTGACTATGACATATTGTAGTCCTGAAGCTTAAGCCTGACCCTTATATCATATACATGTAGGAATCCACCAGACGCTCGACACGGCCTCCGGTGCGCCAAACTGCAGTCGCACGAAGGACGTAGCCAAGGATCCTCGAGACCCTGCGTGATGTAACGGGAATGCGCCTTGTCCTCTGTCGAGTGACTCGAGTGCGGTTGTTGACTTCTGAGAATCATCGAGTAGATATGAGGGATGGCGTGGGCAGACATGCGAGATTTAAGTGAGTTACAAATATAGATCCGGTTCAGTATGTTTTAGATGACTCTGCTCAATTGTAGCTTGCCTTTGTGAGACGAGCAGTTTGATGTGCTAGGCCCGTGGGATGGGTTGCAACGGACTCTGGAATAATTCAGGATGATAAATTATGATATGTCACTATGTGCATTGTACAAGCAGACGTAATTCGTGATTCATCGTGATTTTTTCTGCTGATATATAAATTTGTTTCAGTTCTATCTCGCCAGTGGTAGCAGCTCCATCCGGTTGACTATGCGACGGACAGGCGGCTGACCGCCAATTTCCTCTACAATTAGGTCTTTACCTCCTTGGATGGCATGATTCAGGTGAGTCTTCGCTGTCATCACAATGCGGCTCGCATGAGTTGACCTGATAGGGCAAAGCAGACACATTACAGTGACCTTGCTCACCATCCTCCTTTGATCATTAAGTAGATGCGACATTTTGCTCCGGAACTATTGTCCACCTCACCCTGCTTGGCAGCGTATTATTCATCCATTCCTCCTGCAAGTAATCTGTTCCGCATCTACTGATAGGCTGGCTATTGAATTGCTACTAGTACCGGCGGTGAATGGCGGCTCCGATATATGCCGCTTGTCGTCCAGAGTCGTGGTGACGGGTCACTATGTAGTAAGTATGATGCGCACGGTGCGCACGATCGCTTTGGCATCTTGCGTTCAGGAGCTCGGGGATCTACATCCGCTGTGGTGCCATCGTCAGGGATGTGGAAACTTCAGTAGAGACCCGGGCAACCTCCACACATGCTGAGCCTTAATTTCCAGACCTCCGAGGCTCCGGCACAACCTACAGAAAGCACTTGGACTTGTGTGCTATGCTCCTACTTCCTGAGCTCGGGGCTACATGTGGGGTGACCCGATTTCGGCTACTTGCAATGATTTGGACTTTCAACCACATAATACTGATACTTTTCGCGCCACTGGCGTCAACTGTCTTGCGTAGCGGACACCAATGACACGACAAGTACTTGGTGTGTTTAATATACTACATAACACAAGGTAAAACTACCAGTCGTATTCGCTGAGCCTCACGAATCAGGTCTAACTGGCTCTGTTAAGAATATGATGAGGCTTCGGCTTAACTTTTACAAAACTTTCAATGGGCCAAACCACGGCTAGTGACTCACCTACTTGCAGGGTGATGAACCCATCTCCAAACCTGCTGAACAGAGTTTTTCCTTTCTTAGCACGGCTATAAGTTCGCACAGATTTTTGCGCGTCACGCCAGCTGGCTAGGTTTCACGTGCGTGAATTACCCTTACTACCGACCCCCATCTGCCACGGATCATGACCTCCAGGGGTTCACTGAGACTGGATGCTGAGCATGCATTGATGGGCCATTCAAAAGCTGACGCACTTTTTCGCTGTAATTTCCGCGTGTGATAGATCATCCAAATTGCTATTTTTCTCATCGCATACCCTCGTATGCCCTCGAGCAACCACAGGGCTTCACAAGGAACCTAAACTGCGATGACCGGCGCATGGCATGGAAGGTTATTGATGCAAGTCTTCAAATTTGCGCTGCAAAGGATTTAGCCTCAAATTAATTTTGATTTCAACGCCGGGGGAGCTATAAGAAGTTGTCACTACAATCGTAATTTCCATCAACCTCTCGAGTTCGCTAGCCATGTTGTGTATCCTCGCTGTATCTCTTCTTGCTCTGTCCGCCGTAAGCACGAGCACGCCCACCACCCACTCCACATTTCCCGTCGTAGGAGCTTGGTATACCGGTTGGCATGCTACTGAGGGGTTCCCGCTGTCTTCAGTCAGCTGGGGGAAGTACAATACACTGTACTACTCATTTGTGTAAGTTTCCTGTGTTGGCTTAAATGCATATCACTTGAGTGGGATGACTGACGCGATAACGTCTCTTAGAACACCCACTTCAAGCGTCGACAGTTTGAGCCTGGACGGTTCTAATGGCGATCTACTTCCTCAGTTCGTTTCAGATGCCCATTCAAACGTGAGCGAAGGAAGTTTATCGCCTTCACAATTGATGTCTAAGGCACGTGCAGGGTGTCGCAGCCCATGTTGCTGTTGGAGGCTGGCTTGGGAGTGTTTGGTTCTCTTCTAGCATTGCTACATCTGAAAACCGGACGGCATTCGTCAAGACCGTGGCAAAATTTGCTCATCAGTACAACGTTGATGGCATCCAGTTCGAGTAGGTTGATACCTGTGACTTCAAACTCATGCGCTAACCCCAGCCGTCCTTGATTTCCGACAGCTGGGAGTATCCCGGCAGGCAGGGTGCTGGTTGCAATACCATTAACGTCAATGACACATCCAATTTCCTCAATTTCCTCCAAGAGCTACGCCGAAACCCAGTGGGAGCAAATCTGACACTCTCGGCGGCGGTATCCCTCGCACCCTTCACAGGCGCTAGCGGAAATCCTTCTGCTGATGTCTCCGGTTTTGCGCAGGTTTTCGATTACATCACCTTGATGAACTATGACGTTTGGGGTTCTTGGTCTGAGCATGTGGGACCAAACGCACCGTTGAACGACACCTGCGCCTCATCCACGAACCAAAAGGGCTCTGCTGTTTCTGCAATCAAGGCTTGGACTGCCGCAGGCATGCCGGTCAACAAGATCGTGCTTGGAGTTGCTTCCTACGGCCACTCGTTCAGCGTATCTCCCTCTGCCGCCTTCGAGTCTGGCACGAAGACGCTAGCTGCATACCCCGCTTTCAACGCCTCGAAGCAGCCCTTGGGTGACGTGTGGGATGACACTAGTAGCGTTGATGTTTGCGGCGTGAGCCATGGCCCAGGTGGCACTTTCAGATTTTGGGGCCTCATGGACGACGGCTTTCTTACCAAAGAAGGCACGCCTGCCGATGGCATTTACTATAGATATGACGAATGCAGTCAGACTGTAAGATTTCCATCTTTGATCACGTACTGTAGCAGCAGTGCTGATTTCACTGCTTTACAGCCGTATGTATATAATGAGACTTCGCAAGTTATGATCTCCTTCGACAATACTCAGTCTCTCGCTGCCAAGGGCAAGTTTATTCAGGAAACTGGGCTGCGCGGTTTCACGATGTGGGAGGCTGCTGGTGATTACGACGATATGCTCCTAGATTCTATTAGCAATGCTATGGAGTGTTAATACACTGCTGATACCATCCTTATGCACTGTTCCAGTCGCTACTACAATGAACCACGTGAACCGCATATTACTCGTTGTCTTTCATAAAATCTTCCTACTCTAGGTTACTTTCCGACTGGGGCATCCCCTACATACCAATAGGATTTTTCATTCTGTCCAGTGCTGCATGAGAAATCCTGGAATTACAATTCAAATGGAGGCATCCTGAACAGAGCTCGTCATCCTTAGATATTAAGTTCTACATGCTGTTCGTGACGTTTAAAATCACTGCTTCCTTGGCTTCGATGTCACGTACGGTGACACTTCTGCGCCTGAAGCAGATCATCTAGTAGCCTATTGAATTAACACGACAATTATATCTATTGGTCCCAACTCTCCATGCTCCGAGCATCGCAGTCCTTCCGTCTAATTATCTCTGGATGGATTCCAATAAATGGCTCATTCATTTGTGAATTGACCAAACATCTCAGTACTAGAGGAAAGGCATCGTGTAACAAGCCACAAATGATACATAGGTATGACTCGTGAACCAGTTCCAACACAAATAAGTACAGTGATCAACTGCCAGCCAACAAATCCTTGCAAACTTGAATTGTAGTGGAAGGAAGTTCGAGTCGTGGTTGGCGTTATGCGCAGAAAAGTCGCCAACCATGCTATCTCATCATGTCCAACAATTTAGTAAGTGCGCTTCCAGTCTTGCGAGGTTGCGGAGAAGGGAGTTCCCTCACGAATATGTCAGTACCCACGAAAGACGTTTCCCCGTGTCTCGCCCACTTTCGGACCATACTCAACAAGCGCTTTTCCAGCCATCGCATCACCATGCTTTCTTTTTGCCAGACACCATCCGTCCAGATAGCAAGGGGGCCGCCAATCCTCGCACGAGCGGGTGCATTACTCGAAGATGAGGCGAAGTCAGAGCGCATTCTGTTTGCCATGATCACGTCCGTAAATATACGGTCTCCGACTACAACCAGTTCATCATCAGAGATTGGAAGGCGAAGAGACGAAAAGTAGGCGCGTGTGGAAGCAATGCAGGAATAACCAGGTTTAAGAGTGTCGTGTCGGAGAACCGGGGCAGAGAGATGATATGACACCGATTCTGCCTGTGTATGTTCAACTTCTGACTGTGTTTGACGAATGCTGGTCATACCTGGATTCCTCCGGCGTCGAACTTGGTGCCAGCGGAATTGCTGACGATGATTACGTTTCCTTCCCCGAATGCCTCACGACATTCTCTCCACGCATCCTGTAAAATAGGTTCTCAACACCTGACTTCGATTTATGACCTTTTAAACTGACCTCGAGCTGTGGCACAAGGGTATCTTTATACGGAATCGTCTGCTGTGTGTTCAGGAAATATTAAAGAGACGCCAAATAACTTGTGACTAACCAAGCAATTGTCTTTATCAAAGATTGCTCCTCTGTAGCCTGCATTTCGAAGCGCTAAAAAATCAATTTGGCGAATATCTATCTGTGGTTTAGCGTTAGTTGTAGTTATGAATGCAGAACACCAGGGCGACCTTTTACTGTTACATGGGGAATGACAAGTCGAGGATTCTTGAGCAGGTGAAACAGAACGAGAATGCCAGGGACGTTCAAGGGCATTGATAGAAAAGATGAAAAGACAGTTTCGCTTTTTATATAAAAGCTATGCAACATTTCCTGACACCCGGCAAACACCGTGGACTGACCTTGCACAAGTTAACGTTCATCTCTAGTACTATACGCACTAGCATCTGTCAACTCCAGCAGCATACTAAGAAACATGGATGATGACTTTGATTTTGACCGCGCAGCCTCTGCCTTTCCTGATCTTGACTTGGACGGGCAGGGTGACGTGCCCTTGCCACCAGCCCCCGCGGCCAGTAGTGGCTTCTCATTTGATGATTTCGGGACTCCACTGGGGCAGACCGAAGTGAAGGTCACAGGCGATGATGAGATTGAGAAGTTTGAGGATCAGTTTCCAGAGCTGAATATTGGGCAGGTGAGTAGTGTTCATGGGTAACTGCACTGTATTAAGGTGCCTGTTTGCTGCGTAGTCTGTATCTTCTCCCGCACATGCCCTACCAACCTTTGGTGCTCCTCCTCCGTTTGCTCCTCGCCCACAGCCGTCAGCATTTTCGTCTACGCCCATCCTCAACCAGCAACTCGATGAAGATGAGCCTGAAGTTATCAGGTACATCACCAATTGTTATATACAAGTTCACCGCTGACAGTTGTCTACCGAAGGAAATGGCGCGAGAGCCAGCTAGAAGAAATCCAGGCTCGCGATGAAGCCAGTAAGGCTAAACGCCAACAAACTATTGGGAAGGCCGAACATGCTATTGACCAATTCTACGAGGAATATGCAGCAAAGAAGGAGCGAACTATTCGTGAAAACAAGTCAGTTAAACTTTGGCCAACTAGACGAGTTCCACTGATGAATTTTTCATAGGGACGAAGAAGGAGATTTCCTGGAGTCACTATCTTCATCTCTTACAAAAGGGACGACTTGGGAGCGTATTTGCGAGATTGTGGAGCTGCAAAATTCCCAGAGCAAAACAATCGCAAGGGCTGGACCTGGTACTACTGACCTTTCGCGATTCAAAGAGGTACTGTTGCGCTTGAAGCGCGAGGGAACTGCTGCTCCCGGCGCAGCTGGTTATTAGACATTACGTGTTTTACATGTATATACCTCTTGTTTTAATTTTCTGGACTTCTCTTTCCTCCTGAGAAGCACAGACAAAATAGTAAGCAGTAAAAGCTATGTAATATCCTCAGAGCCTGAGTGAAATATTAGAATAGAGGTGTGCCTCCACCCAAGTAATACACTCCTCAATGAGCTTCTCCTTCACACCGTCTGGTTCATTGTGAAGTTCATGATAGCCACCCTGTTGAAACATAAGCCTACAGTTCGCAGCAGTGACATCGCAACTGCTTACTTGGTAAATGGATATTTTCTTATCCTTTGCTGGTACCCGTTGATGAAATAGCTCAGAAGCTTTGGGAGAGGTTACCTGCGGCACATCAGAGCTTCCTCAGAAAAGGTGTTGTAAGGGACGCGAACCTTATCATCCGAACCATGTATGAAGAAGACCTGACGGCATTCGTGAATGGTGCAGAAAGGGGGACTCGACTGAAACAACTTACGGGGAGGTTTGTGGGCCAACGAGCGTAATCGGTGTGCAAGAGGTGCTCGCCCTAAGAACTAGAGGTGAACCGTCAAACAGGAAGACTGATTGATTAATTACCCCGTCTAACATGTCGCTTACTCCGCGAAGCGACCCAACTTGCTTAACCATAGGATCTTTCGCATATTCCTCGCCGACAGTCTTGTCATGCGACAAATTCTACGACGATACAGTTAGCCGTCCATATCAACAAGGAGAAAAAGTTGTGAGTACCTGACCCTTGACATCCGACGGAATAGTGAGCGAAGGCGCTAGTAAGCTAGCCTTTCCACCTATCCATCTTGCCGCTTTAGCGGCTGGCTTCGTTTGAAGGATGAGGGGGCTAGTGGAAATCACGCCCGCCAGATCTGTTACTGTTCCCTTTGCAGGGGGACTACTTGCCCTGGTACAGAATGCAAGTACCAGTGCCCCACCCTAGGATTTACGTGTCATATTGAGTTCGATGTTCAAGATATTTAATTCATACCATTGAATGCCCATACAGAAACACGGGAATGGAACCGAACTCGCTCTTCGCGTGGTTTATAGCCCACTCAATGTCTTGAAATTGTTCCTTCCAACTGGTCTTCGCATACGAACTATCCTTGCTCTTCTTTTCCGTGTCCAAAGCCGTCCTGCCGAAGCCGCGCTGGTCATACGCAAAGACGGCTATGTCGCGCGCGGACCAAGTAGGAAATACATGCTCGTACCGAGCAATGTGCTCGATGAAACCGTGCACGAAAATTACAACAGCTTTTGCGGTGGAAGCTGGGCGGTACGTGCGAGTATAGAATTGCGTGCGCTGTGGACCAACCAGCCACGACTCCGAGAAAGCTGTCATGATCTGCAAGAATGATGCGGCTCAAGCTGGACCCAACTTTTCACACAATAATTAATGCCAAATTAGGAGTCCACCAAACAGTCGTAACTCAGTGCGGGCTGGCGGCAACTCCTTGCTTGTATGTCTCATCATGCACGTGCTACGAGTAAGCACTGTTTTTTATCATCTTGCATTCAGAATGGTCGCGGAAGTCTGCTGACCTCCGCCTCGTTGACGCGCCGGCAGCCTCGGTATTTTGCCTCACGAGGCCTAGTCACATTGCAATTTCCATTACTCAGGATTCCCATCGTCGTGTGTTCCGACTCGGCTACCAAGGAGTTGAATATTGCTACGTTCTGGCTGCGACGAGGTGGACTCAAATTTTGCTAAGTCGAATGCAGCAGAGCGTTGAACCCATATTCGCACGCCGGAGGTAGGTATCCTTAGATCACACGCTCAAAGACTAGTGCAGACTCGAGTGTATGCGCAATTTTTCCGAACACGACACTCCTTGGAGTCCATGCAACCGCATTCCTGAAATTGTCACGCGTCAAACGAAGGAAACACCAAACACATACTTGCGCCGGCCGGGCCGCAGAGACACCTGTTTGACCGCTCTTGCCGTTATGCGGATAATATAAAAGCCACGTCCTTCCAAGTTACCTTCAACACAATGCAGATCCCGTTCTTGATAGCATTAGTAGGTGTGCTCTTCTCTGTAGGGCGAGCTTCCCCAAACACAGGCGGTGTGTCATGTACCGTCACAGCGAGTGGCGGAGATGATGGACCAGCATTCGTGGATGCTGTTCAACGTTGTGACTCAGTGACAATCCCTCGTGAAACCACTCTTTCGATAGCAACAAGGATGAATATGACCGGCTTGAAGAACAAGAACATTGTATGTGACTGTTCTGTTATATCGTGCTAACAATCTCACATAGCGGGTTACAGGATCTGTTGGGAACCGTAAAATTCACAAACAATATGTCATATTGGATCAACGTATGTGTTGGAAATCGCAATGCGCCATCCGTTAATCTCTCGCCTTAGAACGGTTTTCCATTTGAATTCCAGGACCAAATTGCCTTTTGGATCGTAGGTGGGCAGAACATCCTTATCAACGGTGGTGGAACAATAGATGGTTCAGGTCAGGTATGCTAATTAATGTATAGGGCACATGTGCTGCTAATCTCACAACATGCAGGTCTGGTATGACGCATTGTGAGCAGGACTTACAGTGGTCTGGATATAACGTTTAGTTGACTCTGCACCCAGCGCTACTAACAGTACTCTCTTGCGCCCAATCCTGCTCACGGTTTACCAAGCCACTGATTTTGCCGTTAAAAATATTACGATGATCAACAGCCCTGAGTGGTTTAACTTCGTGAGCATTTCAGAGTTTACTCGATGTTTGACTTGACCAGCTTACCCCTTGCGGCAGGTCAATGAAGGGGAAAATGTTGTCTATGACGGCATTAACATCAGTGCCGTCTCCACATCAAATAATCTTGCGAAGAATACTGATGGCTGGGATATATATCGCAGTGATAGCGTCTCTATCATTAATTCGAACATCAACAATGGCGATGATTGTGTTTCATTAAAACCAAGTACCATCCGTTCTCGCCAGGGCTTCATGGTTCGTTCATGCAGTTTTTGTCCTAGATTCCACAAATATTATTGCATCGGACTTATACTGCAATGGTTCCCAGTCCGTAGAAGCTTTCTTTAGGCGTGGTACGCACCTGCTCACATTCTGTTGACAGTGGTATTTCCGTGGGCTCCCTCGGGCAGTATGCCGGGGTATATGACATTGTTGAAAACTTCACTTCGACGTACGTTTGAACATGGACTTTGATGATAGCCAGGAGCGCTGATCGAGAGCTCTCAGCAATGTCCAAATGTATAATGCTGAAAATGGTGCGCGCATTAAAGCCTATGCTGGTCCGGGGGTCGGCAGTGGCATTGTGAAGAATATCAGTTATGGTTTCTTCACCGAGGGGAATGTCGACAACCCCTTGATTGTCGATCAGGTTCACGCTCATCTTCTCACAACCTGCATGAGACTAATCAATTGCTGTGCAGTGTTACATGACCAACGCAACAGAATGTGCTGCATACCCTTCCAACGTCTATATTCAGGACGTTGCATTTTACAAGTGCGCGGAAGTGTTTCTGTCCTTTGGTTGGAACTTACATGACTGTAATCTAAGTTTCAATGGCACTTCGTCTGGAGCAACGAAGTCCGTGGTTGCTTCGCTGGCATGCTCACCGGATGGCCGCTGCAACGACATCAGTGTTAACAATATTTTCCTTGAGTACGTTCTTTTTTTCTGCTTTTTCAGGTCAAGAAAATGATCGATCTGCAAAGACCACCCCCACAAGATGGTAATGCGACCTACTCTTGCCAGAACGTGAATATCACTGGAAACGCTGCTTACCTGTTCGGTGACTGTGCGACTACCTAAATGTAATCGAGTACATACGTAGTCAGTGTCGTGGTTTGTGAGTTTGTGTCGTAGTCATACATGCTGCAGTCTTCTCAAACCTATTGTTTGAGCCTGCTGGATTGACCCAGAACTTTGTTTACATCAAGTTGCATAAGGTTACATAAATTCTCTTTTCAAGTTGGGTCACCGACTGGCAGCTCTGCACCGATGTCTCTTTCCTCCAGAATGAAATACCTTAAAGCTTTGGTCCGCTGCAACCGATCTACTTTCACTACACATCACTCAAGGCGGTTTTCCCTGTTCCCTGGCCGTGCCCAAGGAACTCATGTACCAAGAGGTCAACCATTTTATGAACTGAAGAAGCCCAGTATCTTAATCAAGTTCACCTGGACACTTCTCATAGCTGATGCGGTCTGCACGTAAGTTTTTCTGTTCTAATACGCGCTGATTTGACTTCAATGGTGTGCAGACTAGCAATGTGTGAGCTTTCCTGGAACTATTTTACGCGTCCTGTGGAACCAACAGAGTCCGTAATATCCGATGACTCCAATACTATTGGCAATAGGCCACAGTATGAACTCCGTCCGACATACCAACGTGCTGGTCTGGTCTTTATGCATCTCGCGTTTGGAGGTTGGGTGGCATTTATGGTTGGCATGAAAAGTGGTATGAATGTGAAGAGGATCTGGCTGACTCCACCACGTCCACGAGGGGGTCCGACCATGACGACGCGGAAAGCAATTGCGCGTCCAAAGGTCGCGACTTTTGAAGGCTTCGGCAGTTTTGGTCTACGGGGCGATGTACTGGACGTGAAAAATTGCCGCTTATCCACTGCAGAACCCGCAAACGACCTGACATTGATTGTTACCACACCGGGGGATAGAGAACAGCAACTTTCGATCGCGACGAAAGGCGTTTACATTGACGGCAAGCCTGTTTCACGCGATGAAGTTTGCACTTCGCTCTCGCAAGTATTTGGACATAAATCCGAACCCGCGTCCTGGATAAGTGGACCCATTCTCAGAGATACACAGGTACGCATATCCCGTCAGCTGATAATCTCATACTTATCTCATTTAAAATAGAAATCGTAATCAAACTCAGGCAAGATAGAATCTTGCGAACCTGCTGTTAGCCAGTCGCAGCCGACACCTTACAACCCACATTCCCTCGACCAGGTTGAGGTCCTGGTATGCGATACAGTTACTTAAGCTCATTTGTGTATGTCCTTCTAAGAGGTGTGTAACGCAATTAAGCAAACTACTTATGACTGCCACGACACGTTACTAGTTAAGCTTGAGGTTCACGTTCACAGCACCAGGGCTACCTTAGTCTGGTCGTATTGGCTACATATATGAACAACGCACTATTCAAGACCCATAGCGGTGAACTCGTACATCGCACTCTTGAACACAAGATACTATCTGCAGACATTATCCCATATTGAAGAAGAAGTTCCAGTTCGACTTGTTCAGGTTGCCATTGTTGGTAGATGGAGACCAATGCTTTGACCACGCTGTCGATCGCGATGACATGGAGGTAGAATCTTTTGAGTATTTCTCCAGGATTGATTTGTCTGTCCGTCCGCATCTGGTCTCAGGATAGAGCCCTACAAATTTTCCTAGCAGATGATCACGCTCGCTCTAGCCTACAATATTTATTATTAGCAAACCACTTGCCGGCTTCAATGCCCGCATTTGAATATTGTAAGCCTCGCGCTTGACCGGGACCACCCAGTACTTGTAATTTAAGCCTTACTTATTAGGCAATCCGTGATGGTTGGTCACGCCATGCAACGGTAGGTCACGGAAACCACTTGGAAAAAGTATGCGAATTTATAGTGGTGCCGCACTCACCGTAGGGGGGATAGTAAACTCATGCTTTCCGACTCCGATACCGAGGACATCCAAACCCTCACTATCAACGAACACTATGCAAAAGCCTTTGAATACAAAAAAGAGCGCGAGGAGCTTGCGAAATGTACGTCCGAACTACATTCTTGTCTGACGTGACAGGATCCAACTAAAATATGACCACCAGTAACAGAAAAATACGGATCTGACTTCGAAGAGGGTGTGGACGAGGAGACAGACTCCGAGGACGCAGAGTCTGAAGATGAGGACGGGGAGGAACTGACGCCTGCAATGGATGCAGCCATCCTGAGGACGCTAGCAAGGATCAAGAAGAAGGATCCGGCCATCTACAATGCAGAGAATACTATCTTTGAAGGTGCGGTAAACTGCGTCTGTGCTGATCTACGCCAGTTCTGATGCCTGTTAGAGGAGCAGGAGCGCACCACCGTTCGTGCTCCCCAGATGCGAGAACGAACAACCAAGAATAAAGTGAGTATTCGGATTCGAATACGACCTTAAACTCAGTCCTCTCACCCATAGTCAAAACCTCTTACTTTCCGACAAGCAACTATCGCATCCGCTCTCGAAGCCAACACCTCCCGTTCGCCAACTCCAGAACTACACATACCCACATACACCGAGGAGCAGCATCAGCTGCGTAATGCAACCCGTGCCGCATTCCATGCTGCTGCTGCCGAGAGCGATGACGACGGATTGCTCGTCCCGCGAGAGAAAACCAGGACGAGCTTGAGGATGAAGAACGGGAATACAAAGAATACTTGAAGCATGCGGTCGGCCTAGACCTCGAGAGTCTCATAGAGGTCGAGAACGGTGAACAAGGCGCCAATGACAAACAGAAGAGCAAGACGAAGAAAAGGGGCGATGAGGCGAAGGGCATGTCCAAACAAGAAGCCGATCAGGAGTTCCTCGTGAGGTCAGTCGTGTTTCTGCATGAGTCGAGTCACTGCTAAATTTCCTCAGCTATATCCTCAATCGTGGATGGATCGACAAAACAGCAAAACGACCACCCACATACAAGGACATCGTGGGCAAACAGTGTGCACCTGAACACGGCATAGAAGATGACGACGAATTCGAGGAGATCGCCGACACTTTCGAGACTTCCTACAACTTCCGTTTCGAGGAACCGTAAGACCGTTGCATTCTCCACTTCATCCTACTTTATGCCTTTCTCCTACCAGGGACGCGGCTACTATCAAGTCCTTTCCACGAAATATCGCCTCCACAGTACGCCGAGTTGACACAACCCGCAAAGAGGGCCGTGAGCGAAAGAAACGGCGCCAGGAAGAAGAGCTCGAAAAAAAGCATGAGGAGGTGAAAAGGTTGAAATCTCTTAAAATGAAGGAAGTCCGCCGGAAACTCGAGCGCATCGGGCGTGAAGGTGGTGTCAATGCTGAAGGTTCGTTATTCTTGTTACCTCGTTGTTATTTTGACGCTAAAACTATGTAGCCTTCAACGAGTTCGATCTCGATGCGGACTGGGATCCCGAAGCACATGATGTGCAAATGGCGGGACTCTACTACGATGGCGACGACTCTGATATTGACGCTGATCAGAGAAGCCTGTCTGGGACGACAACCTCGACATCGACGATATCATACCGCCTTCCCAGCCCGCCCAGTCTTCGTCGTCTTCGAAAAAGAAAAAGAAGAAACAGAAAAAGAAAAAGAAAGACAACGACAACGACGAAGGTGTGGATATCGATTCTATGGATGCAGATGTCGTGCGCGAGTTCGACGAAGAAGATTGGGACGGCACTGAGGAGATGAGGAAGCGTAAGGTTGATGAGTACATGGATGAAGTCTACGGGCTCGAGTTTAACGACATGGTGGGTTTCATTGTGTCATCTCTCTAGAAATCCGCACTCATACCTGTTGTCGCAGGTCGCAGGAATGCCTACACGTTTCAAATATACTACCACTACACCGCAGACGTTCGCGCTCACCCCTACCGAGATCCTCATGGCCACGGACAAGGATCTTAATCAATACGTGAGCGTAAAGCGCTATGCACCGTATCGCGCGGAGAAGTGGGACCATAACCGTGGAGAGCGCCTCCAGGAATTCAGGGAGAAAATGAAGCAACGAGTAGGGGCTATTGGGACAAGTCACAGAAGCGAGGATCCGACACCGAAAAAACGGCTGGGGAAGAAGGAGCGACATAAACTGAAAGCAGCAGCAGCGTAGTATTCGGGGGGGCATTACCTATTGGCATACCTAAGGGAGTTACTATTGAAAAGTCGTCAACCACTTGCCGGCTTGCCCGCATCATGATTAGAGTCGTATCAAACCCTGTCTACCGTACTATAAGCTGACCGTTTCGAGCATGCGTGGACTGTCGTGAACAGAAACTGCTTGAGATCCTTCAGCAAATCAGATACAACGTATTTGTCTCCATGAGGTACATAGAGCATCGTGCATGCCAAAGATAACGGTGCGGCATCTGCCGCGGTGCACTTATTTCTCTGCCATCATGTCCGGTACCCAGTATATCCCTCACATACTATACTCGACCGCTCTGACCTCAATTTCCATGCATTTGCTGTGGCAGCGAAAAACGGCTGACGAAGACCGAGCGAGATTCAAAGCTCAAACTTCCATTCTGCAAGACCTCATTGAGCAACTTCGTTCGGGCAAGTCAATATCCGACGAAGAAATAACGAAATCGTGTAACCTTGCGCGTATACACGGAGAGGGGAAACAGCCGCTCGACAAGGAAAGAACTAACATTGGATGGATGGATGTGTTATGGGGCCGAAAAACGCCTGCAGACCTTGGTGTTAGTGATGAATGGGAACGAAAGGATCTAGAGCAAAGTGAGTCGCTTCTACTGTTACACTACATCCAGCTGACTGGTCCGCCAAGTACGGAAGGAAATCGAGGCAGAGCGTTAAAATACAAATTTCGAACCCCTTATTTGGTGAGCATCGTTCAAGCGTCTTCTACCTGTACACACAATATATACCGGACCAATAAATCTACAGAGTACATGTGCGCCTACACGAACTTCTCCCCTTCACCCGTATGGACAAAATCTCGTAGGATTGTTTTCTACTGCGAGCGCATATTCTGATACCTGAACGAATGATCGTATTGTGAATCAACGAGAGAAGCCCAGTGTCAAAAAAATGTCACGCAGCGTACCCTAGGAGGGGGGTGCCCTTCCATTTGCGTGCTGACCATTCTATGCAGACTCAGAAAACGTAGAGTTTGAACGTACGACAGCCACTTACCGTGTTGGAGGTGCCATTTGTGTTGGCATTCTTCTTCTTCTTCGCTGGAGCGGGATTCTGCAATGTCGGAACCGAGCTTCCCGTGGTGTCATTGACCCCACCTACGGAACCTCCATCAGCAGCAGTCCCTGGTAGCTCAGTCGTTGAGGCGCTGGTCACGTTGGGGAGGCCGAAAATTTCGCATATGAATCTTTTGACATCTCCATCCCCGGCGCTCGCACTCGTTGGAGAACGGCATCCATCCTCTGCTGCTTTCTGCAACGCCCTTTCCCTCACCATGGTGAGCTTGAGAATCGTTTCGATGTCAAGCTTTGCAGCCTCCGAAAGAGGAGGGAGCGTGGGGCTCTTTGCCAATGTCGAGTATGATGGTATCAGAAGCTGGGCATCGATCCTGAAGTCGGAATAGATCTTGATCTTGTCGATAGGTTGTAGGTCGAGTTTCTCGAGCTGGCGGACGACCAGCTTCCGCACCCTGCCGAAGCCCCACCGTGTTGCGAGTCTTAAGATCACCAGCCACTTCTCAAGCGGCTGGTTCTCGTATTCGAAGTCTCTAGATGGCCACAGATTTCAGTAACGACGTCGACGAACATTGGGTGAGTGCGCTACAACTCACTCATCGTAGAACACTCACAGGAAGTGGGCAAAATCTTCGGGTTTAACATCCAACGTATAAGGCTTGGTGTGAGCAACATTATCGGAAAATATCTCTCTGAAAGAGCTTGGCTCGCGCTCGAAGAAATAACGATGTACTTTGAAAAGCACGTTTTGCGCCTGGATGAAGAGAAAATTAAATCATTCATCAGTGCTTCATACCCAAGGGCCTCTCACTAAAAACTCAGTGTCCCCCGTGGGAATGAAATACTGAGGATGATGGATAATTTGTGAAAATCCGGTGTCTGACATGTTGAGTAGAAATCGATGATCGTGTGGTGAACAGTGCTCGTATGCCGTTTGATTCAATTGTCTTTATACTGATCTGCTTTTCAAGCGCTGGCAATGCTTCGAACATCAATGCATCACTGCCAGGCCGCCATCAGACTTCAGGTTACTTGATATACTCCCGTCCCGCAGTCCTAGCGACTGCCGACGTAATGATATTGTGTGGCCTCGCCTACAGGAATGACAAAGTATGGTATGTACAATAAGAGTACAAGGGATGCTCGCACGGATCTCTGTCGCCGGAGAAGCCTCGGTTTCAGATCGCCCGAAGTTTAGTAATGAGAGCCCACGAGGCAACAAGTTAAGTTCTGACCACACCGTCGTGCGATCAAGGACCGATTATTCAACTGGCCTGCCACCGAGGTGAATGGCCACATACAATTGTCTCGCGTGGATCATTCGCTGATCAAGAAGTTTTTGCTACAAATACAGATAGATTGACTCAAGGAATGGTAGACAATGGAAACGACAGAATTTGAGAGTCAGTCTTTTTAAAATGGAAACGGAGGAAATTGCCAAGCGCCAACATTCTGCTCTCTAACTTGTGGAACTTAATCTTACTTCTTGCCCCTGGCTGCGCCTCCCGCACGTCCGTTACGCTTCCCTCCGCGACTGCCTTAGATGAAATTGGTTTGTGAGATGTACATCGTGCTGATATCACCACCATGCTCACCTCGCCCACCGCCGCGTGTACTTTCATTATCGGACTGCACACCAGAGGGGTCAATGTCCTTGGTTTGAGTTTCATCCTTCTCAGCATCATTTTCGTGGTCTTTAGTTTCATTCTCATCGTGGCTCTTAACATCAATGGGTGTTGATACAACAGGATCTGCGATAGGGGTGACAACGGTGGTGGAACTATGAGAACCAGCTTTTCCCTCCTTTGTTCCCTCCTGCAATACCAAGAATGAGCCATAGTCAGAAAAAGATAAGTACAGGACTCGCCACTGATGAAGGCTCACCCGTTCCATTTGCTTTGAAGGAGCCAGCCTGGAATGGATCGGTGGAGGGAGATGCAGTGGAAGAGGTGTTCGTCTGCTCAGTCACTTTGGTTTTCTCCGGCGGCGCGGGCTTGCTCTCAGGTACCGAGGTAGCTGGCTTCGGTTGCGACGAAGAAACAGGTGTATTTGTCGAAGAAGCCGAAGAAGTGAATAGCGATTCCCTGGCAGTGCTGAACGAGTGTGTGGTGTCGACGGAGGAACGAACAGTCGGGTCGGGAATTGATGAACCGTTGGTACGGACTGAGGAACCACCACTGGCCTTGGTTGTCGTCGACCCGTTGACTTTCGTGCTGCCTGTGATGCTCGAACCATTGGTGTAGGTAGATGAACTACTGGTCTGCGGAATCGGCGATGTTGGTCGCGACGTTATTCCGAAAACCTCCTTGACCATGGATTCCATATCACTGTCTTCGAAATCATCATATGCAGGCGAGCGAATACCGCTCTCGGCAGCCCGCTGGCGAGCCCGCTCACGAGCGTCTGCGACACGGAGAACGGTCTCCATCCCAAGCTTTATGCCCTCACTAAATGACAAAGGTTTATCCCTCTTGCAGACCGCGATGTACGCTGGGATGAGGAAGAGCTTGTTGATACTGTACTCGTGATAGATTGCGATCTTGTCGACGGGTTCTATTGGAATTTTCTCGAGTTCACGTACGGTGAGCTCCTTGACATTGCAGAAACTCCACCGGTTGGCGAGGTGTAGGATACTCAGCCAAGTCTCGAGAGGAGCCTCATAGAGCGAGTATTTTCTATTCACGACTGTCAGTATGTCTGGTTTAAGCAAATTAAATTAAGTAGGCATACGGGTTGTAGAAGACCCAGAGGAAACGTGCAAAGTCTTCGCTCTTGACGTCGTCCAAGGTATAGGCATTGTTGTCTGATGAGCCGCGTTCTTCGCCTTCAGATGACTGGAACTTCTGGCGGAAGAACAGCGATTCGCGTTCGAAGAAGTGACTGTGTATCCGATAGAGATGATTCTCGACCTGCGAAAATCGAAGTTGCATCCATCAATCCAAGGCGTTGAGTATCATAACGATTGTTAGACACTCACCAGTACGGTCATATCACCACCGCGTATATAATAGTCCTTGTGATGGATGACACGAGCCAATCCGTGCTCTGATGAGTTGACCATGATTGACTTTACCTGAGAGGTGAGAGAGGGAGGTGGAAGGTGAAAGGGCTTGGGTTCCAGAGGAAATTTTTGAAGGAAGTCAAGATATACGTTTCTTAAATCCAGGTCCAGTGTTAATGATCAGATCAACTACACGTGTTCTGCGCGTGTCGTCCATTGTTCCCTCGTCCTTTTATTCCTACCCAATTGCTTAGCCCTGAAGATTGATTGCGTAAATATCATCGTTGTCCATTGTTCGTGTTGTCCAAATATTGATGTTTTGGAGTCGCTTGTGCTATCGTACCACGATGATGTTGACCAAACACCGTTGAGTTACGTGCGATATCGGGAAGCAGCGCGCTGCAGGTGAGTTGGATGACATCCCAGGGACCCGATGACTTTTTGAACTGAAATTTTCAAAAGAGTATGCTCCGCGGGAGACTCCGTCAATTTTCATATCAAATCAACACAGGATTCATGATACACGCAACTCGCGGATCAATATTCGATCTATTCTCAGCGCTCAGTTTCGGGGTTCCTGCCAGCTAGACAGCAAATTTGCCTCAAGGCAAGCTGTGATGACTCGAATACACCACAAGGATGACACAGGAACTGCAAATATTCCTGGGCTTTTTCGTACGTGAAGTGTTACATGGGCGTACTTGGTTCATACGACCCACCCTTTAGGCAACACGAGGTCAATGCATAATAGATAAGGCCGCAGGCGTACGTCAAGGATCATCCACCATGGATCTTGAGCTCCATGATGCTCTGCATTCATTGCGTTTTGGGCAGCCGCAGCTGCTCGCTTGTTATCGCGGTGGATCAGTGAGTCATAAAGCAGGAGACTATGTTGCGTAACTGATTCTAGGCTGCTATTGAGTGTAAATACGCGGAGTATCTGTGTGGACGCAACGGGCCGAAATTTAGAGTGAGCATTGCTTGTTAAAACATGCGGCAGAAGGAGCAGACAAGCACCAGGCTGATCTGAGGTCACGGAGGACCAATCCAAAGACCCACAATCGAATAGATTTTCCCGATACTCAGTTAGGGATGACTATGGTATCAGTACTAGTCTGCTTCTCGAATGATTGCTCGAAAGTGGTAAAAGTATCCTTCCCGAGGATGGCGAATACTACGCGATCAAACGAATGCCGGTATCGCGCACCTTTCACTGTCAATAACTCTGCCCAGATCTTTGCCACAACTTTGACATCGTTTTGGAATACCCCCGTTCCAAAACTGCCCAATACGATGTTCTTAGCACCCTGCTGTTCAAATAAGAACAAAATGCGTGCCATCCTTTCTTTCATGACAGATTCGATGGGCTTCTCGATCTCCGCAAGCTCTGACTCATCCCGATCTTCTTCCTCACATCGCCAGCATTTACAGCTGCGCTTGTTAGAACATCGACTTCAAAAGGCGACGTCCAATTTCCTGCATCATCCTTCAAGATCACGACAGAAGGTGTATAGACCATTGCGTGATGGTAAAACCCTCTATTTCTATCACGGGTATGTAGTCGGTAGAAGCGTTGCGCGCTGTCCGTCATTAGGGAGGGATAAAGCGTAGATGACCGGGCTATAGACTCCTCTTGAGCTTGTGCCCCATTCAAGAAACCGCCTCCAGGTCGTGTAGCAGACGCAAAGTTTAAGATTGCTATCCGGCCGAAGCTCGTAGAACGAGATGAAAGGGTATTGAACAACAATCTAGCACCATCAAGTGTCGAAATCTCGAGGATAGATACCTCCGATTTCGTAGCTGCGAGATTGCGTGGTGGGTCACTGGTGGACCAAGTGGATAGCAAAGAATCTGGAGCATAGTAACGAGTATTGTGGTTAGAGAAGTTGACTTTGGCAGCGAGATCATAGGAAACGTTGGCGATGGTGACCGTGCCATTCTCGATCGCGTCCATCGTGCTCTGCGCGATTTCTTGAAGTCGATTACGCCGACCTCCGCCAGTGCGAAGACCGGTCTTTTGGAATGCAGGCTTTGTTTGAACGCTCATCGCAGTTACTTAGAAAGTGTATGACGGCCTCCTATTCAATCCTTTTTTCATCTTTGCCTTCCATTTTAGGGGCGACCGGCCGATGACCGGTGTGTTCAATAAATAATTTTAATTGTCCCCCATGACAGCTGCTGAGGATGACTTTGGCGTCAGTCCGACTCTCGGGTCTAACGATGCTCTCGACTTTTCACATGAGGTACAAGATTGTCTATATGCATCTAGGTCCGACTCATAAACGCCGTTGTAATTTGACCACTACCATCACTCTCACGTTTCTGATTCCAACGTCGGCTCGCGACCCAGGACGCCGCACCTCAGACAACGTACGAAACAAAATCTCAACATGCTGTCATCCCTTGAACCCCTGGAGGAGGTAAGCACATTCACTTCTATATTCAAGTAGTAAGGCCACAGTTAAGCTAAATTCGTGCAGAGATTCAGACAGGTAGAAGAAGAAAGCGAGAGGAGGGCCATGCAAGAGCAAGAACTGTCAGCAAATGAGCTAGTTGACCCCGATTTTGTCAGCTCAAGCAGGCGGGGACACCAACGGAAGAAGAGTGCTGTGTCTGTTTCACGATTCGGCCAGGTGCGGGTTATTCACCTACTACGTGGAGTATAACTCACCCTCAATAGCCTTCAGACAGCAATGGCGCAAGTAGTTCCACCTCACCCACACCTTCACTGCTTGCTGCTGTTGCCCACAAGTCGACATTCTATCATTCATTAGCAAACGTAAGTGGCCTTTTGTTTGTACCTGCTATCAGGAGCATTTCCTGATCGGAATATTCAGCCCAGAAGCATGGATTCCTTCATTTCCGAAGGCTCAGAAGACGAATCTCACCATTTAGAAGACGACCAGCAGGTGACACAAGTCGAACAAATACATGGTCGTCAACCTTTTCAAAAGACAGTTGATGCCATACTACCCCGACGTATGTCTCGGTCGCACTCATCAAATGTACTCTCGCCGAACACGCACCTGGTCATTGACGTTTCTATCGAAAAGGCAACAGTGGATGCTGCATATGCGCGCTCTGAGGATATTCACACCACCACCATTCACGCAACCAACGCAGGAGAGCTACGCCCTAGAACGTCCCGGAGTATTAACGCACTTGGCGCCAAGCCACTGCCAACTGGGCTAATAGAACGGGCGAAATCTTTCGCTCGTAAATTCGGACGGAAAAGAAATCCCGAATCTGGATGAGATGAAGTGGATGTTGTGCGCCCAGCTCCTGAGCGCTCGAGCTGTCAAGGAGACTCGGGAATGTAATGGACCTAGTTTGATGATCCGAGCAGTTGCTATGCTTTGTCAAGGACTAATGATAACCTTGACTTGTTCATTACAAAAACTTGCATCAGATTTTCTTTCACGTACACGTACATCCATGCATGATATGGTTTCATGAACGGACTGAGCCAATCATCGTTGAGTCGCCTATGCTCCGCTGACAATTACATCGGTTCTTCACTGCCGTGATTTACGTGCTTCGAGATCGATTCGCTTCCAATTCTGAATCTATAATCAGATGGAATCATGCGTCACCGGGGTACGCAGGAGCATTGCGGAAACAATTCCCTGCGCTCATAAAAGCAAACCAATATGATAGACGCCAAGGATCCTTGCACTCGCAATCACCTTTCTATTATTCTGGGATCGGCGCCAAATGAGCTGTATCCGTACCTCAAGTCCATCAACTATGCACGTATCACCCCACAGACGTATTGTGGACAAATGCACCCCACGCGACAAGTACGCGAGGACACACGTACATCTAAAGAATTCATTCCTCTCCAGCTCTGATGATTTGAGTGTAAAGACTGTGAGTCTCCTGAAACTCCTCCAGTCGCACTGTATTGATTAGATCTTCCAGCCAAGCCCACCTTGGGTCCACGCGTATAATTCACGACAACGATCGCAGTCTTCCGCAGATACACAAGGCTGGAAGCATCTGCCAACTCCCATCCGACCAACCTTCCGCCCGCGTGATTACGCATCACCGCCCAGTGCGGATGATGTCTCCACTGAGACGCACACGAACACTTTCAAAGTCCTACACCGCTCGTTGCATAACCTTGATTTTGATCCATCTTGCCTTGATCGTCTCGATGAACAGCTTCTCCTTTCGCCTACTGAGTCATTCGTCGATGTATGTTACTCTGAAGCTGTTCACGACGCCAGTATTCCTGTTCCTATGCTCCAACCCATCCAACCTCGCATACGTAAAGATACGAGATTATATGACCGTACAGCTGCCACTGATGAAGACCCTTTCCACGATTGGGATGAAAATTACTCCGTCAAATTCAAAAAGTCTCGCAAAAAACCAGTTAGCTCTTTCCTACTTGTCATGTGACTTCTACTAAATGTTCCGCACAGTTGCCTCCACCTCCGCTCCCACAGCTGCCTGAAGCATCACTTCCCAGAACGAGTCACCAGGACTCGATGCTCGCTCTTCTGGAGTCACATATCCTGTATCACAATCCCAACGAATCTGTTCACTTTTTCCCAGTTTCTACGCAACGCTGCAGCGGGGAATCGCGAAAATCTTCTCTGGATGCTCCCTCTATCACCTCCACGGGGTCGAATGGCAGATTCAGACGCATTTCTGATGCTCTGACCGGCCGTTCTCGAAAACCCACTGCTTGAAACCCCGCCGGCTTCATTGAATGCAAAGCCATCATTTCAGCTTTTTCGATCACTCGACAAAATCGGCATGCCGTACCACCTCCATTCCTTGACTGTTATATCTACTTTAGCCTAATCGCATGCAGCAGGAACTCCATTTGCGACCTTCATACCCTCCGATGTTATCCTAATTTGTGCTTCATTTGTTTGTTTTATAGGTGTATTCTGGATTTCTTACCATCTCATGACAACCGACTGTTCAAAATTACTACACAGTCGCCTCTTCTTATCTTGGTCGCTAGTTACGATGGATCAGTGACGTACCATTCAGCATGGATAGCGCCTCGAATGAAATAATGATCCTTAAACATGACGTATGGCGGCGATTCTCGAGTATCTTACCCAAGTCTTACCTCATGGTTAGTCGTTTGGTCGGCCACCCGGTGTTATGGTGGAAGTTTGACTATGCGACTTTCAAATACGGACTCGCTTCGGTTTTACACGGGCGAATAGTTAATTGTTTTTGGGAGGGCGTAAAACGATGCCTATTCCGCCCAATATCTGATGGCTAACAGTTGAAGTAACGGCATATGGGAGTGGAAGTCGAAGGACATGAATCAGTGATATTCGGACGAAATGGACATATCATTCGAAGTACTAGTGATTGGCTACGAGAGCATCGAGAATACCCATAAATACCCTGATCCCTCGGGAAGAGGAACGCGGAGAGTAAACTTTACTTCTCGTGCAGTTGGTCTCCAACGGAACATTTGAATATGAACAACGAACTTCAATCATGATAGGACAGACCTCGTGAGCCGTTGTGGGGGATACAGACATTAAAATACCATGCCAACTTGAATTCTAGGCTGGTCTGGCTGGCTTCGTGCCCCTTCGTGCTCGGAAATACCAGCTAAATACACGCCTATCAACATCCTGTGGGAGCCTGTGGGCGAGAAGTTGATGACAGAACAGGCTACCAACGCTTTGGTGCTTCTTGGTTGCTATGAGTTCCTATGCAAATGGTTTGCTTGGGAAATTTACCAGCTCGAGGCCGATCATCATCGACGTATGATCCGAAGTGGATGATCTAGACCACTGGACCTACCCGCCAGCCATCCTTTTTTACTTTGTCATGAAAGCTGCAGGAATGGCGCAGTCGAGTTGCTCGGCTTGCTCCTTCGAGAAAATGGCCAGGGCACAAGGAAAACCGAGTGGAAATATTGTGGCTGGTGATGAGCATTGTACATCGCAAGCGCTCACTTACCACCACCACCACCACCACTACAGTGCTACCCTGTTCTTGCAGTCGACAGCAGCAATAATCCACGGTTGATGGTGGTATACCGCAATGGGTGAGTGCGCTTGGAGCGAGTTGCTTGCAAGTTACAAAATTTCTATAGATAGTAACTTAGGCCCGGGCTCAAATTTCAAGTGGGGTTACATAGGCGCCTGCCCGTCTGCCCAACCAGTTGGACTGGCCGCATATTGCAAGAACGCCAGCAACCTCTTAACAACATGTCTACTACAGTGAACATACCTTTCGATCTTCTTCAACCTGTTCTCATACATTTACCTGATCGGAGGCATCTGAGTGCAGCTGCACTAGTCAGCCGGGCGTTCAATCGCGCAGTGACTCCGCTTTTGTACAGGAGGCTCGATTCACGAGTGAAGCGAAATGTGCGATTACTCTTCATCTCGCGAGTAAGTATCTAAAACTATATTCACTACAATCAGATCCTTCACCATCCCTCTGCAACCCTTCTCAAACGACCAGAATTGGCACAGTATGTCTGGCATGTGACGGAGACAGGCAAGTGGCGAGGTTCCAGACTTGTAATTGGCTTGATCGCCCCCACTACACAGGCGCAGTGCAGAACTTGCGACAAGTTATTCCTCAGATCACAGAGGATATTGTTGCAGCGCTTAGACTTTGTACAAATCTCACATCTGCAACTTGGGTGGACGACACGACGACTCCAGAGGCGAATTTTCTACCCATACTGGATGTCTTGATGACGTTACCCTTGCAGGAGCTTACCATACGCACCCAGTATGATCCAGGAGAACGAGTTTGGGCCCGGCTCAATACTATTCAGGGCATTCGTCGCCTATCAGTCTGGTCTTTGGAGTGGGGCCCCCCGCGGGTGCTTCAAGGATGGGCTGATTTGCTGAGCTCCTCTTTAACGCACCTTGAACTTGGCGTAAGGGAGCTTTTGATTTCCCTCCCTCTGTTTCCTTATTCCGTTCACAGCGTTGTGCAGGTGTTCCCGCAACTATCCTCGTCTCCGTCTTCATGAAACTTCCTCTTTTACAAGAACTCTGTCTCAAGGGTGCTCCAAGCGCCGCCATCCCGGCTATAATTGCTTGTCTGCCCAATCTGATAGCCCTTGACACGGAATATCTAGGCTCTGGAAATTACCGCACGCCGCTCACACCATTACCCCGTTTGCAACGCCTAACAGTACAAGCAGGATCAGTGGATATCGATGGACCACAGAAACTATGGACATGGATGAGGATATTGCTTCCGCACCAACAAACTCTAAAGTCATTCACGCTAAACGCATTTGCAGTGCACGGCCAAATAACCATTCCGCGCCCATTCATCGTGAATCTTACTGACAGACATGGAAAGTCCCTTCAAGATTTTGCTGTGGGCGTTGCGCAGTTGACGTTAGAAACCGTATCCTATATGTGCTCAACATGCCCCCAGCTTATGACACTTGAATGCTCTGTGGCGAGTCCAGACGTAGTATGTGATTCTCGTTAGTATCGGGAAGACAAATCTCTGGTTTAATTGCTGATGTGTTTAGGATTCAATCGCAAAAGCAATCGAGGCGGGACACAACCTTCGGACTCTCACGCTTCATGTCTCTTGGATCCCTGATGGCAGCGTTGATTTACCTCCGCGGTTTGAAAAGCACTTAGGACCCCGAGCCATGTATGCAGATTTTTCCCATCTTTCCAGTGAGGGGATAGCGACTCGTTTCACCGAGGGGCACGCTCGCGCCTTGATGCTCCAGACACGCCTTCGTAGCATTGGCATAGGGGATCAGTCCTACACGGTGAGTTTATTCTGTTCTTCTTGCGCGCCTTTGGTATTTGGACTTTGACTTGGTTGTTGAAAGTAGTCGACATTCTCATCTGTCTTCTTTAGGGTCGGTGGGTTCATCAGGAATGTTCCGCCGAGGTCACGCAGGATGTCGGGAAAGAAGAAAACGTTGTGCTAGAGGTCGTTGGGGATCCATTCGTCTAGTTTTCTGGTCACCTGTCACTGTATTTCAGATTACTTCCGTGGCCTGTGTACCACATCACTGAGCGTGCATTGGTGAACTGAGTGCATGTGAAGAAAGCTTCAGACCATACTAAGCATACGATTTCTGGAAGGAAATAAGACCCATATCTGTCATTGGATGGGAGATGCACAATTTTGACGAATCCACACATCTCTACTCAGAATAGAGGAATGACTGGTTTGTGGAGTGAATACAAGAGGCAAAGTTGCGAGGATATAAAATACGAGACACGGTTGAATCCACAACCAAATCCAGTACTCCCACACTTCATGATAGTCAATTCTTCCTGGTCGTCCCACTCCCCATGTACATACATGCGATCATCCCATGGGGCCTCGTGGGTTTATGGTATCCAGGGCCTCGAGAACGTCACAGACAACCTAGTATAGGTAGTGAGCAGCGACGTACCGCAGGCAAGACATGAGGTACGGTTTCAAACAAAACTTGGTGTTGACTGTGAACAATCCAGTACGAGTGGGGAAGCAGGTAACATCAGCACGAAAGTAGTATCTCATTCGTCGTCCAGCAGCTCTGAGTCCAGCAACGGTAGTTCGAAGCGTCGACGCCAGAATCCTCGAACTAACAGTCTAAATTTGTCGGGTCCCACTCCATCCAGGAAGCCAAGGAACGGAAGGTTGCGGATGCAGCAACCTTGTAAGGTGCATACAACAGGTAGAGATAGGGGTCCGACATCAAGGCATCGGCGGGAAATGTATCATGCGAAGCCCCAAAACCAAATCTTGCTTGTTGAAGACGCTATTGGCAGCTTTATGGTCGTAAATGCTCGAGCCTGGTGCTGCACTGCTGCTATGTAGATAGACGCGTCGCTCAAACATCTGACACGTCCCAGGAGAGTATACCTGTGTAAATGGTTGCTGTGACTTGCCGTCCGTCCATAATCCATAATCTGTCATGGGGGGAGAGTGCATGTTACTGGTGAATATTTGTGAGCGTGATGGCGTATATGTACGCCTCCATCCGTAGGTTCAGGGATAACAGGCGTGACGGGAAATTTTGGAGGCATGTACATCGCGTTTTGACTTGGAGAAAAGTCCACGTCCAACAAAATGGGAGCATTGCCAGATGGCGAGTCGACATCAGTCGTATCAAAATTGCGGGCGTGCGGTGGGGGTGGGGCTGGAGTTGTGAGCTCTCTCTTCAGGGTCACTGAAGCAGCCGGCGGTACCAACGAAAGCTTGTACGTTTTGTTCGGTAGCGGCTGTCCCGGTTTCTTCGCCTTTGATTTGCGAGCCCAGAACCAGCCGTCGACGCGCACTGGACTTATGTTCCATGAGGTGGCCCATGCATGTCGCGACGCACGCATTGGAATGCGGGAGTCAGATGTCCAGATTGCCCAAAGCTCTTCTAGGTTAGGTTGGATGGAGTTAGCTCGAGGATGGAGGCTTTCTGAATCATACATACATACATACATACATACATACATACATACCAGGAAGGGAGAGTACAATCTGTTGTAGTTGTGGCCTGCACCGTTGAGAATGGACACGCACCGACGCTGGCGGGATGGTATGAACGTCGAGAATAACGGCGTAATAAAACTCCGACGGGCATCTGCGCCACTGCCACTACCCGGGTAGGCTACGGTGCTCCCAAACGGTGAGAGCGCAACTGCTAGTCACTGGAACCTCCTAGTTCTTGTCCTCCACATGAGCCATAGAGTCAAGTGTGCGCCGAATCCTTATATTTATATCCACGCTCGCAAAGTCATGGTCAGGCGGTGTCATCAAGATTCACACAACTTGTAGCGCTCCCGGTCTGCAAGTCAAGTCTTCCACATATTGTTTCAATGACTGTCTTCTTTATCATTAACAATCTTTTAAATTACATTGTGTTCTGATTCCTCCGCATGCAATGTTATAATGTTATTTTACTTTCTTCCGAACGAGTGACTGCGCAGTTGCGGGCATCATCTCAAGATGCGGTCAGTGCCACCGTTCTTCGCTTTCTCGGTCCTGACGTGTCTTGTCGCTGTCACTAAAACCCTGTCCACAGCCCTGATACTATTTCTGCCTTTCCAGTCACTGCTGACTCCGTCTTGCTCCTCTATGATAAGTTCTTTCTTCTGTTTTTCTCCCCTTTTGACTATAATCATGCCTTGCACAACTCTTGTCGCAGTGCACTCTCATACTAGTGCACCCTCACATGCCGCTACCTTGCATGTAGGTCTCTCCCTTATTTATTTCTCTTATTTTACTAATATAATGATATTCGTTTTCAGTATATAATGTTCCTTCACCTTCATTCTGTCGCTACGCATTCAATTTTGTAGCAACCTTGCTGTTATTTTTGATGAGTTGCTATCTGGAAATGCGACCTCGCTATCTATAATCAGGCCTTCGTAGAAGCTATGAAAGAGCCTTGCCCATGCAGTTCTGTTGCTTGGGCTGTGATATGTTCGAATTCTGGATTGTTTATCCGTCGATTCTGGTGCTCCATTAGATTCTTCTAACATCATTCGCCGTGAAGTTCTGCCACCAATGCGCAACTAATCTGCCAATCAATAAAACTTCAAGTTTTGCCCACAATAATATTTTCAGGATATAAAAGTAGGCCCTGTCCTTCTTAGTAGTTCAGAGTCACCCTTGCCACAAAGCTTGTATCACTTCACATAAATCATGCATCTATCCTTCCTCCTCCTCGTCACTGCTTTGGCAGCATGTATGTCTGTTACTGCATGCAGTCCCCTTTTCGTGTCCTGCATAAAGGCCAGTGATTGCTGTAGTGGCCTTCGTTGTAATTTGAAGTCGGTGAGTACGAGTTGTCTACTTTGGATCCAGGATTCAACCCGTTGCTCATCCCTTGCACCTTGCAATGTTATTAGCTTGCCACCGGTGATAAATACTGCAGTAATTAGACTGCTTACCGAAGGGCTGGCAGCCTGTCCATGAGCACATCTGGACAGTGAGTCGTGTTTCTGCTTTCGCATTGGCGCTGTGGCTGATGGCACAACATGTAGTTTGTTGCTGACTTGGTCGATGTGGTTGTTCCAATGGAGACGCCTTTGAATTAATTTGAACACTCAATATTGACCAACTTGAAACAACGTCAGGAGTAATTTCAATGTCCAGATTTGTGCCGCGTCATTCAGAGCTTGAGTGTTCATTGCCAAAGTCTGCATTATGTACATAGCGGCTGTGGCAGTCGAGGCGAGAATTTTGACCACTGCTAATGGGCGCGTCAAATGACACTTTCAATGCCCGTCCAGTATCGTCTATCAGACTCGCCATTACAGACATCATCATTGACGCTGGTGCGAGTGTCGCTCCTTTCATCACTCGATGCGCTAAATGTTTATAATTAGCCCCTTTATTAGACGTACGTATCTTTGAGTACTGCCTCAGAATCGCGAACACCCCACTTATGCGACTCGCCAAGTCAATTCCCGGCTCCATAGTAAGGCGAGAACAGTGGGTCCTCCGAGTGGATGGCTAATATTACCACGCACGAATTGAGCAGATCATGGACAACCACGGTGGTTGGAACGTTGATGCATGCACTTTTGGAAAACAGGAGCCTCAGGGGGTGTATCATTGCATACCTAAATGCGTATGTTACTAATAGTTTGTCGTTCTTCTACTCGCCTTTTGGATGTGGGGTAGATAGAAATCAAACGGCTTGAATCTATTATGCATAACATCAGGAAAACGCAATTTGCTACAGAGCGTTACAGAGCGCTCCGTAGCATGCTGTAGCACAATCCAACCCACTGATGAACCCATACATTCCATTCACGATCCTGCCAATCATCGAAGTCCAAATCAAAACTAAGGTGTTGCACGATCGGGCCATCGTGGATGCGGCGAGCATTCCTTATCAGTCCTAATTGATACATACGTCACAGTGAATCGGTTACCAAGCCATGCAAGGGAATGTTAAGCCGGACATGTTAGCCACCTCCGAGTCGTTTTTGTGCAAATAAATAAAGGGGGGCTGACCTCGACGCCTAGTCCGTACCCTCCATGCTGGCAAGTACCACATTTGCGCTGTTCAGTGTACTAGTAATAAGGGGAAAGGTCAATGCGCTCGTGCTTGTACGCCGCCAGTAGCTCTTCCATATCTGCTATCCTCATCGATCCGCCAATCGCGTATTTAGTCATAGACAGTACCGCCCTGCAGTTCAGAATCTCACATACCAACAATTTCTCTTGACACCAGACATCAAAAGGTCACAGCTCTGTGTACACAGGGCCCTGCTTTCCCTCTTTCGTTGCCATCTTCTGCATGTGGAATGCCTTCAGCTCCGCAGGGAAGCCATATAAAGAGTCCGGCACCCAAAGAGCATCAATCAAACGGCGCACCTGAAGGGTCATAGCGGGGGGTGAGCCCCAACACCCAGCGGTTGATCTGAACGATTTTTATCATTTCTCTGGTTGGGATAGAAAAATTTGAATATATGTTTGATTAATTTCTAGAGGATGGTTAAAACCAGTGCACTCCGTATCTCAAAGCACTCACAAAAGCAATGGTACAAATAAACTAGCTGTTTACACAGGCTTTGCCTTTGTCTGGTATAGTTACCCCCCATGACGACCTCGCAACCGATGACGTAAAGATAGAACAGGTTTACGACAGAATAATCTTGAAAGAATTCGATCCCCTTTCCAATTAAAACACCATGCTTCACAAGATCAACTTGGCAGGCGATAACGTCGTCCATACTTGAACAAAACCGGTTCCTCCTCCACTATGTTCGCCCTCAACCCATCGAACAGAGCCTTGAATGTGTCCCCTGCTGCGGGATGCAGTGATGTGACGTTGACGCCCTTTGCCTGCGGGATCCTCGACTCTATGTTGCTCAAGAGAGGGCCCGATGAATGAGGATACAGAGAAAGAGCCTTCGAATGCGCTATGCAGGTGTACAGTCGCTGGAGCATTCGCGGTTCTTGCCTTACTGTTGAGCTGAGAATAAACTGGCGAGTTGGTATAGGTGAGTTTAAGCGGGGCGTTCGCGGTTTGTGCATCAACTCCGAATTCTCCGGCATGTCCCGAGGCAGTAGTCAAAGATACACGTGCATCAAGGGGCCTAATGTAACAACGAAGCGTTTAATATATCGAGGAATGAAAAGGAGCATGAGTACACACGCATTTGCCGTTGTTATGACCAATTCAGACGGCTTTGCAGATTCGTTATGAAATAGGTCAATATCTGCGTTGATGGCCATGTTGGTAGTAATGAGTTTGAGAGACGACGTTGAATGAAAGTGTCCTTTGATAAGCCCGTTAGCAGTGGTAAAAATCCCTGTCTCGGCTGCTACAGACTATGAAGACTTCAACTCTAAATACTTAAACCTCTAAATGATGTGGCACGAACCTGGACGTTGATCGGGAAATGCAAAGTATTTAACGAAATACTGCCAAAGAAAACAGTGGCCGACAAAGCTGAGACTTCGTGGCGGAAAAGAGGCGCAGAGGTCCTTAAACTCTTGATGTAGAGGGCATCCTCGCTCGCACTGGCAGGCAAAGTCAATGTGACATCAAACATGAGCCGATCCTTGTTATCCTGGCCAGGGAGAGGGCTCTTTGAGGTCTATTATGTAGCATTGCCCATATAATATTAGTACGACACAACATAGTGTTAAAGAAAAAAACTTGCATAGACACCGATTCCATTCTGATTTTCCTGGCGATTAAGGCGGCAAACATTTGCACGTTCAAAGGCCTCTTCTTTAAAATATGCAGCGCGTACGCGTACGATGACATCATCTGAGACCTCCGTGGACTGCTCCACGGTGACAGTGCCGTACTGGAAAGCACCCCGAGAGACGAGATACAGAGAGTCAGAGCCGACAGGAAGGGTGAAAAGTGATTCGCTGCCAAAAGGGAACTGCTGTGCCCATGATGGCAATTCATAGTATTCGTCCCACTCCGCGCTACCAATGCACCTGACGACTGCCCCATCGCTGGGATCAGGGAAACCAGGTTCATTTAAGTCTGTTGAAAACTGTGGTGCACATAAGTTGATTTCTAGTCCTGACGGCCAAAGAAAATCCCAACCTCGTAGTAGTCGGGAATACTGCGCACAATGTGGAATCTAGGGTGGGTAAACACGACAAAGAGCAGCAAGCTCACAATGCCGATACCAAAAAGCCTAGTTGCGATAGACTGGCGCGGCCGTTCCATAAATTGCGATTCGCAAGTCTGGCTATTGAGAGTAGTAGTTGGTACTGACCCGAAATCACCATATTCAACTTGAAGTTGAACAACCTCTTTGTTGTCTCCGTTCATACTCGTCAGACGGCGCTTTTATGTCTAAAAGAACAAGCGAGGCCAGATGCACAGTACGATGTACATAACTGCAGATATATAGTAGATCTGCGCGCCAATATCAAAGAGTCCATGTGAAATATACTGCGGGCGCAGCGTGCTGGTGATGCCGCGCTCGGTATCGGTAATAACCTGTGACAGTACCATGAGAGCTCAGATTGATGCTCGTTGATCACTTTGCCAGAATCATCATGATATATCTGTTGGTATTATCAACATCATTGTAACAATCAAGCTACCTTTGTCGAATTACGGAAGATTGGCGCACGGCCGTCACAATCACCAGTCAGAAGCTGTGCAAGAATCGGTCCCGGGTGTCAGCACGTGGGCTCGGATTGACTTTCACCAGTTCGAATTTGACCGGTTATCAGAGCATCGACACTGACAGATCCAGGACGTTATCATACTTGCATCTTACCAAGCTATCTGGATATCTGTAAGAGGCCAATTGCTTGAATTCCGACTCGCAAGTACTGTCGTGCAGTGACACTGACAGTGGCTCTGCTACCGACTCGTGGTGATGTAGGTCCCATCCTCCAACAGCCTGTTCTGATCAAACCTATTCTGGGTGTCCTGAGTCCCTACAGACTTCACCCTTGACAAAGGTGTGAAGTAGCGACTGTGCCACTGTGGGGGCGGTCAGGTGAGCTCGGGTTCTCCCATGTCACGTTTCTTTTTTCTCACTTCCAAAACTAGGGTTTTCACCTCGCTCCGTGGCACGCTCTACACCTCCTTCCAGTAATTTTTTACCACACTTCTATGAGCGTACGCTTCACCCTCTCTCACGCGGCTTTTGAAGACAAAGACCTATACGGGGAAAACATTCAACGACATTCGTGTTGTCACCTCCCACTTGAACTTGTCCAGCATGTTCGGACGTTGCATCTACTTTTCTGATACGTGTTGCATGTTATATGTCTTGTAAAGTACGTTTGTTCCTTGAAACATTCTCTGTTACGAATGCGAGCGGCGGCTTTCCCGAGTTTCAGATTGCCATCATCATCAGATGCATCGCCGACAGGCGATAACATTCAGTCTGTTGAGCGCCTAAAAGACCCAAGCGCAGCATTGGCCATACCAACCCCATTACTCTCGGTGCCCAATAGCCCATAAACATCTCAGGCACAACGGAACTATTGTGTTTTCACTTGACGCATCTGTCTGTCTTATTTGCCGAGTCCTCGGACAACGTGCACTCCGGAATGGCCCAATAACGGGCCGCAGTGTTGTTCCTGAGTGTGCAGTCAAATAGGTACATGGTCCCTCGTCAGGTCACGAGCACTAACACGGGGAGGGCCATCATATCGCTAGGCATCAGGGGTGTAACGTTTCGAGCAACGATGAAGGTTGCTCAAGACATGCCTCCTGTTACCCAAAAGGTTATTGGATCTGCGTCCGAGGAATCAAATCTCAAGTACCGTGCGCACAATCTCCTTGACTGTGATAGTACTCACTGCGGAGGTGGATAAGTGGACATAAACACCTCCGTCGCAGCAGATGATTAAGTTATGGTTTGCAGCTTAAATTAACCATTGTGATGCTGCAACTACTTACAATATTGTAAGGTGTGCATCGTTCTATTCCCATTATGGCCATGGAGCACTATGTGCTAAAGAAATCGATACCTTGGAGTGCCCTTCGTGCTTCGCGGGGAGACTATCTTGGGCGCCTTGGTCCGAGTCTCTGACTCACACGATACATGATTCCGCCGGTTCCTTGCCCAATTTGCCTCAGGAAACACTCGCGGGAGGACATATTTGGAAGTTGTGACTCTACGATAAGGGAAATACGGTGGAAAACCTAATACCAGTGAGCGTCTTAACATCGCAGTCAGAAGAGTCGGAGGTCTTTCAGTTTGCTAAGGCAAAGTGCATTGGATTCCTCTTTTAGTATTGTAGGCTCTCCTAATCAAGCTGTGGCTTTGCGCTCATTTACGTCTTCGGTGAGCAGTTGTTTGGCTTCCCGATGTGGTATACTTAGAAGCATCGCGAATACTTATAGGCGGCTATGCATGTTCGTTCTCATATGTAAAATCTCAGTCATAGCATGAGTATTGCAAAACATGCGAAAGGATGTGGTTGGTCATCCTCACTCCCTCAAGAATGATGATCTGTGCCAAAGAATGGAGCGAGAGCCACAAAGCATCTATTTAAAAATTTCCAGTGTCCCGTAACCTCACCGTAAACTGCTAAAAGAGGGAAGAGTGGTGTCAATACCTTACTAGTATACTTATCGCTCACGCGAGTACGGACTGGTTTTAGTGACCAGTCCATCAAGGGTGACGGAATTATGTTCAGTGGCGGACGCCTTTTACGGCGGTGTCTGCATCTAGGCTGGGGTCATCTCCGGGATTAGTGAGTAATAATGACCCCAGCATTTATACGCTGCGGTGGGCAAAGCCTGCAATTTGGCTCGGAATCAACGTAGTTAGGAGTCCAGGACGCCTATCATGAGCTTTGGGGACCTGGACGTAGATATTTAGCCGCTGGTCGCCATCAATAGTGACGTGCATTGACACGCTGAGTCTGCACGAGTTCTCCTATCAGGGCGTAAGCGAGGCGCGCTATGCCTTTCACAGATAAGTATAGTGATAGTGGCAATAAGCATAGGCACATATGACAAAGTGAAAGTCCAGGCTGTTTACCTTCAGAGATAACCCAAACTTTTCGATGCTAGTGCGTTTGGGCAAGTGCCACGATAGAGTGTACATGTAGTTTGCAGCGATCGGCAACTTGGACTATTGTAACAAGCGGTTAATCGCCGAACAGGCGATGAGCACCGGTGCACGCGGGTTGTAGATTTTCGTTGAACGAGGGCATGACATATGACTCGTTGCCTTTAAAATGTAAAAAGGTATGACTGACAGCGGCGACTACATTAGCAGTATGCGTGGTGTTGGGGAACTTGTGAAGTTATAACATCCATGGAGGGTGCTAGGCACACGAGCACTGTCAAAATGAAACGTCACGGTTGCTGAAAATGACAAGTGGGTTGCAGCGTGTGGATGCCCTGATGTGCCTCAGGGCTAGCGGGCAAGATTGAAATGAGGGACTTGATCGAAAGCTGGGTCGCCAGCATAAGGAGAACATGAAACATACTGCCGATGAATCTATTAGACCATTTAATCGTCCTAATACTGGGATGTAGAGCTATGCTTAAAGGTTTTGTATGTAGATTGGGCGGCCGGAAGGGACGGCGGCTCGATAACCAGATTTAGGGTAAGAAGTCCAAAAAGGGAAGTGGTTGGGGCTGAAAATAAAATTAAAATGTGAAAAACGCACAAAAATATTAATCAGGAACATGGGAAGGTTGATGTGCCTGAGGAATGTGATTGGTTTAGTGGTGATCCTCTAGTAGCGGACCACTTTCAGTGCTCCCACAAGTCCTTTCCCTCCAAGTCCCTTCCCTTGTCCTCAGATACCCTCCCCTCTCCTCCCGTAGTCCTACCCATCGTCATCCACGACGCCGAGCAACTTTTTGACGACGTTTATAAGATACCCCAATTGGCGTCCAAAGGTCCTATTTACCGGACCTCTTCTGACTGATGTCCGGTAGGCCAACATCTTCAGCTGGAGGCTCTCGCCCCTTCACAGCCTCAGCTTTTCGTACATCTTCAGCCCGTCCCCCGACTTCTGCAGGCGCATTTGACCGTGACCACCAGTACACCTATGATAATGCTTATATTGAGGAAGAAGAGGAAGAGGAAAGCGACACAGAGGACCTTTTTGCCTTTCTCCCTCCTTCAACCGCAGACCAACAGCGCGACGTAGAGAAGCAGCGTGCGGCTGATTTATCCCGAATATCACCAGACTATGCAAACGTATTCGCGAATACAGTCCCATCAGACGCCCCCCCGCTTGTATATCCGGCGCCGACCTTTGACCCCTGGTCTCGTTTCTCCTCTGAAGCGGCCGGTCCCTCCCGTCTATTCCCCGTACCTATATCTCAGGTTCCAGTAGAAAGTCCTCCTTCTACCGCGTCAAACCAAGGCGCAAGCGACCCGTATCGCATGCGTCGACTAAGCACAGCCCTGTCGGGTACAACCAACACCCACCCTTCGAGACCTAGTATCCCAAACTCTCGTCAAATACGTGTCAGCCTAACTTCCAGCCCACCCGAGAAGCAGTGTCGAGGAGTACCTTCGTAACAGTTCACAGAGGACACGACATCCTTCATCAACACTGGGGGATTCAACAACTTTGAGTATAACACCTAGTATGCTGGAACAAGACAGTCGCGATGGTTCAATAAAGTGGGTTTTTCTTTTTTGTACCGAAGATTTCTCAACATTCTCTATTCTGGCGTGACACAGGATGGAGTTTGATTTTGACGCCGTGAATGAAGAGGACAGTCCATTTCCCGAAGTTCGTGCATCCGTCTCGAACATAGATGACCCAGAAATGCCCGCTATGACGTTGCGGATGTGGTTAATCGGTTTGGTTCTTTGTATGACCGCTAGGTGAGTTTTTTTTGAGCATCGTCCTTGCTTGTAGTCTCATGGTTTCCAGTGCAATGAACCTTTTCTTTAACTTCCGGCAACCTGCCCCGAGTGTCTCTCCCCTTGCCCTTTTGCTCGTTTGCTATCCGATTGGAAAATTCTTCGCTTTTGTCCTTCCCATCACGACTTATCGTCTCCCGCGGTATCTTGGCAGTCATGAGTTTTCGCTCAATCCTGGACCATGGAACATCAAGGAGCATGTTTTGGTGTACATCATGGCAAATGTTGCTATTGGTGCACCTTACGCTATCAACGCCATTGTAGTCACTCAGCTCAACTACGGCGTTCAAGTGGATTACTGGTTCAGTGTACTCCTGGTTGTTGCCACGCAACTCACAGGGTTCGGTCTTGCAGGGATATGCAGACGCTTTTTAGTTTGGCCTTCAAGCATGGTTTGGCCGCAGAACTTAGTGACGTGTACTTTATTGAACACCCTTCACGCGGAGGACGATGAAGAACCAGGTTCGATTACACGATACAGATACTTCCTTCTTGTCCTTGGTGGCGCGTTCTTCTTCTACTTTATTCCTGGTAAGAGTCTTTTTAAGCTCAATTTGGGTTGACTTTGATGATGGGTTTTTAGGCTACCTCTTCAGTGCTCTCTCGGTGTTTTCTTGGATGTGTTGGATACTACCGGATAACATTCCAGTTAATCAACTATTTGGCGTCGAGTCGGGCTTGGGCATGACCATAGTGACATTCGACTGGTCACAAATCTCGTGGATTGGTAGTCCCTTGATGTTTCCATGGTGGGCTGAAGTGCACATCTTCTTTGGCTTCGTTCTTTTCTTTTGGATCATCACACCAATATTATACTATACCAACGTAAGTCCCTCCAGCCCTCAGCCCCTCCTTCTATCCTTAGTTTCTGACCTTGTCACAGACGTGGGATCTCGCCTACTTCCCATTGAACGATAGTAATCCATATGATCGCTACGGTAACGTGTACAATGTGTCGGCTGTGTTGGATGCCTCAAACCGCTTCAATCTCACTGCCTACGAGAACTACTCTCCGCTTTATCTTCCCGCGACTTATGCAATGACCTACATGCTTGCATTCGCCCTATCGACATGCGTACTCGTGCATACAATCCTTTACCATGGCCGAAGTTTGCTGAATGGGATGAAGAAGATTCGCGTAGAGCAGGATGACATTCACGCGAAGCTCATGCGCAATTACCCTGAGGTGCCAGATTGGTGGTATCTCGTGTGCTTCTTCGGCTTTTTCCTCCTCATGGTAGTAGTCGTTGAGGTAAGCGCACTCCCCTTTTACATGATGAATTTTATTCATCGGCTGTTTGCAGGTGTGGCATACGTCAGTACCTGTGTGGGCCTTGATGTTGTCCGTGGCATTACCAACTCTATATGTCTTGCCGTCCGGATTCATTTACGCAATGACTGGGCAAGGGGTATGCATGCTTCCGCGCTGCATTCGAGAATAGGAATGCTGACGTCCGATCTGTACAGATCACGCTGAATCTGCTTGCACAGATCATTCCAGGAACTTTAATGGCGGGGGACCCTGTTGCGAACATGGTACGCGGTTGAACTGCAGCACTTTGCGAGGAGTTTGACGTAGTCATCCAAATTTGTCACAGATCTTCAAGGCATACTCCGTTCAGACATTGTCGGAAGCTACTTCATTTGTACAGGATCTCAAGCTTGGTCATTACATAAAGGTACCTCCACGAGCCACGTTTCTTGGTAAGCAGTGCTCTTTTGATCGTCACTCGATCGCCTGACCAAGGTGTCCCTGCAGTGCAATTCGTGGGCACCCTGTTGGCATCATTCATCCAGATCGGTGTTAAGCAGTGGATGTTCAACAACATTCCGGACATCTGCACCCCACAACAACCCAGTCTCTTGACGTGCCCACACAATCAAGTGTACTACACTGCATCAGCAGTCTGGTACGTCTGTCTTTCATTTCGGTTACTGTGTCTTTTCTCAACGATGCATGTTCGTAGGGGAATTATCGGACCCACGCGGCAGTTCGGAAAAGGGACGCTTTACTACCCGGAGTTGTACGCCATCATTGTCGGCGCATTCCTGCCCGTTCCTTTCTGGCTGTGGCAACGGCGGTACCCGAATTCATGGGTCAGGTTTGTGAGCACGCCTGTGGTGCTCAACGGCGTCTCGTATATACCACCCGCGGCCGGTATCAACTATTCTGCTTGGTTCGCAGTCGGGTTTGTATTTCAATATCTAATAAGAAAATGGAACTTTGCATGGTGGAGCAAATTCAACTATGTGACTAGCGCAGCTTTGGACAGCGGTATGTGGCTTCCTTGCCTCGCTTGATTTTTTGCTAACGGCGGAGCATAGGCACTGTTTTGTCATTAATTATAATATTTTTCACGTTAGATGTACGTTTCCCTTCTGCTCATCGTGGCTAACATTCGTTTAACATTACCTACAGTTCCCAAAAGGTGGCCTCTATATCAACTGGTGGGGAAACACCGTTTACACCAAGAGTGCGTTTTTTACTGGTCTGATCGATCAGTCTGCTCTAAGATGCTTTTTTCTCTCTTTCCAGCCGCGGATTGGAACCGTCTGTCACTGAAAGTCATTCCATCCAGTGGCATCCCTTTAGATTAATGTATTTAGCAATCTGCAACAATATGACTTCATCTAGGACCCAACGCAACAGCGGATGTGATTGGTGCTTTACGTCGATCTCAATCCTAATGAAACAGGCGATGTAACAGGTGTTACCGAGGCGAATGGCGGTCTTTGATATATTGGTTCATGAAAACAGGCACTGGATTAGATCTAGACCCACCATACCATGATGGAAGAGAAGCACGCTGCGTGCCAATGATAAACGCTTAGGGAACTCGTGCACGCGCCGAGAAGCACATTTCCAAAGGAACCCACTTTTGGTAAGATAGAGAGCCAAGGAACACCCAAAATGTGAGCTGTGCAAGGATGCGGGGCCGAAGAAAGATGCACTATCTGGCTATGCACGTTCTTATTAAGCAGTGGCTAGACAACACACTGTGATCATTCCGGCACTGAGTATGTACTGAATAATGACGTGTGGCAGTAGAGACGCATGGGGCACGTATGACATACCCTGAAAGTGAATTGCACAGGATGATGATCGCGGCAGGAATCTAACCTCCCCGTCCACGCCCTCGTCCACGTTGTCCGCTACCTCTTGGACCTCCACGGCCTGAGCACAATCAATTAGGACTGATTTGGTATGATGGAGTAAAATGGACAGACCTCCTCTTGATACAGCACCTCGGCCTGTGTGGAAATTACAGGCAGCATATCGATATCCCATGAAAACGGCGTGTGGTGCAAAGATAATGGACACAAGCGAACGAACGGATCATGATCAGTGTGCCGAATATGAAACTGCAGGGCGATGGGCTCAGACGCACCTCCTCGCATACCTCCTCCCCCTCCTCCTCCCCGCGCATTTCGACCAGCTTCTCGTGCTCGGGTTTGCTCCTCTTTTACAGTATCTAACAATGTGTCTGGTACACGCAGGTATTTTATCTGAGAGTTGTTCAGCTGCACTGAGGTTATCAAGATGAGTGGCTAAACGCACGGTGCTGCCGCGAATATAACACTCCTTCAACTTCCAGAATCTATCGCCGTCTGCGCTCGTTTGGTACACCTCCCGTAGTGTTATGTTCATGAAATTATCGCAATTGACGAGATGACCGTTGAATGTTTCGCCATTTTTCAACTCTACAAGCTATGGTTGTTGAATCAGATAGAAAAAAGAATGGATAGTGAGCCTTGTTTTGGTCAAATGGATGCGCGAGACCATGGTACCATAGGTTTGTTTTGGGCTGCCGTCAGTAGTGATAGAGGCAACTACACATTGAGAAAAGCCATCAGCAGGTGTATACAGACGAGAAAGACACATACCATCTTATTATATGGCAAGAGTTTTATCACTTCTTGGGTCGTGCTCAATAGTCGCGTCGAAGGACGTTGCAGTAGTAGGAGACGCTAAATACCATCTGTGGCTGTGTTGCACACTCCATCCAGACTTCGAACATATAGACATAGTATCACAGGGATACTAGTAATACAAGTACATAAGCAAACTGATATACCCCAAGTTCAGATCACTAATTCCACACGACCATTTGACGTTTTGACCGTAGCATACCCTTCGATCTCTTTGCTCTCGCCCCAGTAGGCAGACCCTCGGAGGCGATATCGTTCTCGTCTCTGAGTCACCTCTCTACGACGTCCCTGTCCAGAAGGATCCTCAACAGGCAGCTCCTTGAGCATGGCTGCTGCGTTTGAAGTCTGTAAGTCAAACGAGCCTTCGAAAGTGCTATGCAACTTGACGCTCATTGCCGCGTTAGAAGAGCGGGCTTCCGACCTGAGAACCGAGTCGACAGGCATGTCGGTATATTCAAGGGTGACGGGGCCATTTGAAGTACGCGTTTCGACGTCGAAGATACCACCGTGGCCAGAGTGTGTGACAAGATCCACATTGGCATCAATTTTACTGAAACAAGAGGTTAGATGGTGAAACCGAAACAGGACGCAAGTCACATACCCGTTATTTGTTGTCATCTTGAGCTCACTGACAACTCCATTCTCTTGGTTAAGGAGCGAAACAGATGCTTGAATGGGGCCATTTGAAGTTGTGAGCTTGAGAGAAGAGCCACTATTGAAATGCCCTTTGATGGCGCCATTGCTAGAGCGGATCGAACCATCCTCAGCGGTGACAGACTGATCGGAAGATATTTAACTTTTCAATAATCCAGGAAACCAAGACAACCAACCTTTGCATTTACATGGCCATTCGATGTTCTGAGTGATATTCTATCGAAGGAAATAGTGTTCCAGACATCTGCGACATCTTGACTGTAATTGGATGTCTCCGTCTCGAATGCTTTGATGTGCAGAGCATCTCCATTTTTCCCTGCGGGTAGCGTGATCTTTACATCGAATTTTAGCTGTTGTCTATTGCCAGGGAAGTGCGAGAATGCGGACGTCTACAAAATTCATTGAGATGAAGGTTCAACGAATGAGAATTGAAGTATTTACAAAGATACCGACACCATTCTCATTTGTCTTTCGTTCGAGACGACAGACATTGGCGTGGTCCAGCGCTTCGCGGGTAAGATAGCCAACCCGCACTTGGACCCCAACTTTATCTGTCGGCTGGGTGGATTGCACGATATCAACATGACCGGATTGCTGAGAGCCCCTCGTGAACAGGTAGAGTGCATCAGAGTCAACGGGGAGCTCTAGGAATGCTTCGGCAGTATGGGGATATTGGTTCAAGCTTTGGTTGGACAGTGTCCAGTCGGAGCCACTGATGCACTGGTGGACGATGCCATCTTGTGAGCCAGGATGAGGTGGCTCACTGTCCCAGGACTTATCAAACATGTGAGTCAAAGGCGTGCCATCGAGCGAGAGAAAAATGACATACGGGTCGAGATCCATGATTGAAGGCCATATCGGTGGAAGATGTGGTGAACGCAGCAATAACGAACCAAATAAGTAAAGCGACACCGAATGCTTTCCAGAAACGTTGTACGGGTGACTGACGATATACGACCACCACTACGTCCGTTATGGGTTGATAAGATGTCTGGGAAGCATACGGAGGGGGTGGGGATGGCCCTGGGGTACTACTTGAGCCCTCGTGGAGTCCTGCCCTCTGACCGTTGCCTTTGTCGTCCGTGCGTGTTAGGTTTGTTTCAACAATTATCATGCCGGCGTTTGCTCCAAAATCCACACACCCGTTGCTAGTATCCTTGTGTGTGCCGATGTGCTGCAATTGAAGCTAGTAGTTGTAAACGTCCTCTTATAATCAAGACGGCTGCGAGCTGCTGCGCAGTCCAACTGTGGTGCCACTCGCGCGTGACCTGTTACTGTAATCACTACGCAGGAACATCGACGTCAAGCTTGCTGCGTAGCCCGGGCTCTATAGGTCTGGGTAGAACTTGGGATCATAGATTCCCGATTTCTCACCCAACCATCGTCTAGTTGCAACGACTTGAATCTCCGGCAGCTAACATAAATAATTTACGTATCAATCTATGCATCGAGAGTATCTTGTAACTACCCTATCTAAGTAATCGACAGGAGCCTTTATATAGTACCAGGACAAGAAGCAAACAGATGCGCCTAGTATTATACGTAGACATGTACAAGGACTCCCCCTGGTCGGCTCTTCGATGATATAGTGTTTGCAGTAGAAATACAATATTAATATTAACACAATCTTGTCCTTCTTTCGTCTCTGCAAACAGACACAGCGTGTCTCTTCGCGTTCTCACTCTCGACAACGGTGCATACGATTAACCATGAGCAAAGGGATCCGTCCAGAGGTCGAGCACGGTTCGTGCCTTGACAACCATTAAGTGTAGTTGCATACACGCGTTGCAGATGAAACTGTCTCCGATTCACTGTTCACGAATCACTGTTTCGATAGAACGCAAAGTTAATGTGGGGGATGAAGTGCCAGCTTTCGAATGTATTAAGGAGCTGGACTTCGACGAACTGACGATACAACGCAATCACGCGCACATGCACGTTTCCGGCTAATCCCGTTCTACTGAGGTTCGTTGAATGGCGTAAATACAGTTATGTTTGAGATCCAGATGATGAGGTACTCCAGGATGGGTCAACATTGCAAGGTAGTCGGGGGTGTGTTCTGGTGCGTTCAATGGTGGGTTCTTTCAGACTCTCCAAACTAAAATAAGATTTATGTTATTTCGTGAGCGGAATGTGTGATTGATATCCATTTGCAACACTTACGAAGATCGCCTGGCAATTTGTCTAGAATTTTGTCATTAAATTCATCGACATAGACATTAAGAGGGGAAAAAATGCATGAAGACAGGTTTCAGCGTCTTTGAGGACATGTGGTGGGAAGAGGAAGTCAATGGTGTCGTCGAAGTTTGTAGTCACTGTTATGATGATGTGTGCGAGATTCTGTCGAGGCGCTAGCAACGTATTGCGAGACATCCAAATATATTTTCCTGCTTGACCGAAAAGGTACTCCGCGAAACTTTATCTGCTATGATGATTGTTGGAAGGCACAAGCACCATCAGGAAGGGGTTGTAATCCGCGAGTCTTACATATATATAGATAGACGAATGAGGAAAAATACGAAGGCGAAAAGAAGTCACGTACATGCATCAGCAAAGAGATGAATGGAATGCGCAGATTTGCCTTCATCGTCAATGATAGGACCGATAGATGTCCGCGCATCCAATAGATAGATTCCATCGAATTCGGCGGAGGCACATGTGAACACATTTACATGAGGGATGGCGATGAATCCGTCGTATCGCCAAAATTTCATTTTGTCAATCTGATACCTAGACAAGCCAGACTGTGAAATGAAGCAGAGGTCGCCATAATAGTGAGGACAACCGTAAATTAGAGACAAAACTATTAGCAACACAGCATGACGTAATGGACACAATAGCAAACGGTAACTCATACAAAATGTAATCAATAAACCCCAGGAATAAGCCAGTATCTCACTTTCTTTGCCCAATTCTCCCATTCTTCTCCCAGAGCACGCTGCAACATCTGGTCCTCCACTGCAGGTCGGCTGATGGCGAGCCAAGCGAGGAATGTGGTGTATGCAAAAAAGCTAGTCACTAATACTTTTATGAGAGGCACTTGTAAGATCCCAGACTGCCTTATCCATGATCCTTGAGTTCCGTACATGACGACAATCCCCACACTTTGGAGAAGGAGACCAGTGTAGCTCGGGTGACGCACCACCGAGTACGGTCCACTTGTCACAAGTCTGTGCTCTTTTCTGATGCTGAGGTCGAAGCTCCAAAGCTTTCCTAACGTCGAAATACAATAAAGCCTCAATGCGCCGCCAATCCCGACAGCAATACTGCCGATAAGGAAAGCGGGAGTGATTGATGTAGGGTGAAGAGTGTACAAAAGCCGCACAGCTCTAGCACCATAGATGCCTTCTGGAATATGCGAGGGACCCACATATGTGGCTAGGATATTGGCCACTTCAGCAGACGATGCTGCCCATGCGCTGATCTGTTACATTGTCCACAGATTAATAAAGGCCGGTGTTTAGGAGCAACCCACCTTCATTAACTCCATACAGCGCAGTTTCAAAAACTATCCAATGAGCACCTCGAGCGGTGAAGACACCACCTTCTCTTTAGACAACGATGGCGGAGAAGAAGAAGTCAACGAAATATGAATGCCAATGGCCGAAACTAGGATGAAGGGGATCTTTAATAGACTCATGGTGTGCCGCTGTACTTGACCTGGAGGAGGTGTTAGGAACTGATCAAGTCGAAGGAGGCCGGTATGATTTTTATATGGAATGTCTATCTCAGTTGCTTACACATGCCACTGATACTTACTCTTACCTGGTTCCATCTTTCAGGATCCATGCTGACATTCGACCAACGTTATTTAGTAAAGGTTGGACCCTGCAAACTGTATCGGAGAAAGGTACGAATATTTTTCCATGTATCATCATCTTCATTGTCCAGTACAGTCTTCATTGTCCTACTCAAGTCGTGCAAAATGTTAACATAGTACAGTCACTTTGGTAGGTGTAAAATTTGAACATACCTTCACTGAAACCTCTAACCCTAACCCCGACAGCCACTGTCACGTTGTGTGAAGTCCTATCGATCGGACACTAGAAGCCTCGTCAGGCAACAATACATACGTATTCTGTTTGTCCCCCTTTGGGCTGATAGTCTTCGTTATCAGGTCTGGTGGCATCCGATTCCCAATGCAGTCAATATCGAGCACGAGGCTCCCGATTGGAGTGTAGCTCCGGCCTCATTGGCAGTGTCGATATGTATTGCACTCACTGCATAAATTTCCTGCCTTCCCTGCAGGTTTTTTGCAGTATTCAAGTGAACTATGCCGTCCACGAGGCCGTTAACAGACACAAACTTTGTCTCTACAAGGTGTGATATGATTTATGTTCGACCAGCTGAGAAGGCCAATCTTACCAATTTCTCTCAACGGTATAGGCTCGAATGGATCTTATTGTCGTGTACAACCCTTGCGAAAAAAAATCACCCTCAATTCTCATACTCGCTTATCAGTTCCTGCTATCTTGGATGATGCAGTGCACTGAGACGGCAGAATCACAGACTGAGGTGTCGCACGCAGTAGCTCGTTTCGTTCTACCGCTGCCTTCTATGCCTGTTTGTGCATGATTGCGGGTCGACGGAGGCTGCGCGAGAGTGTGGCAATCGAGACTTCAACATTCCGTGCTCGATTCAAGCAGCTGCTTTTTCGTCGAGGAACGGGGATGGGTTGGCGTCAAGAATGGATGTAATAAATGAGAGGTCTTGTTGGTTGAGAATGGAAGGCCTGCTACGACGACGAGCAAGCAGATTTCTTGTCTGTCCGAGATCTCGGTGGAGTTTCGAAATTTCGTGGACATCTCGCCGACTGAACCCAGCAGGTTGGGAGCAATCAATTTGTATCCTAGATTGATTATCTGCTGATTCTGGGTCTCCTTTAGATCCATCCTAAATCATCCGTTGTGAAGTTCTGCCGTCCAGGCGTAACCAATCTGCCAAACCAATATAACTTCCAAGTTTTGCCCACAATATTTTCAGGATATACAAGCAAGCCATGTCTACCTCAGAGCAGTTAACAATTCCCTTTACAAAGCTTGTATCGCTTCGCATAAATCATGCATTTCTCTTACCTCGTCGCTATTGCTTTGGCTGCATGCATGTCTATCACTGCATGCAGTCCTCAATTTGGGACCTGCCATTTGGACTCAGATTGCTGTAACACCATGAAGTGCAATGTGATGTCGGTGAGTACGAGTGGACTGCTTTGCATTCAGGATTCAACCCAGTTGCTCACGCCTCGCACCTTGCAATGTCAATAGCCTCGCGGCGGTATCAAAGTCTGCAATTATTAGACTGCTTACCGATGGGCTAGCAGCCTGTACATGAGCACATCTGGACAGTGAGTCGTGTTTCTGCTTCCATATTGGTGCTGTGGCTGATGGAAGAATACGTAGTTCGTTGCTGACTTGGTCAATGTGGTTGTTCTTGGATTCTGGAGTTCTGCTTCATGGGCAATGGAGGCGTCTTTGAATTGATTTGAATACTCAATGTTGACTAACTGAGAGATGTGAGGAGAAATTCAAATATCCAGATTTGTGCTGCGTCATTCAGAGCTTGATTGTTCGTTGCCGAAGTCTGCATTATGTGCATAGCGGCTGTAGCAGTCGAGGCGAGAATTTTGACCACTGCTAATGGGCGCGTTAAAGGACATTTTCAATGTCCATTCAACACCATTTCTCGAACTCACCACAACCGATATCATCATCGACAGTAAATGCTTCTTATATCTAGCCCCTTGACACATGCATTTTTGAGTCCTCAGGGTCTGCCGGAGAATTCAGAGTTGATACTCAGACCGCGAATACCCCAAGGCTTATGTTGACTCGCCAAGTTGATGCCCGGCTCAATAGTAAGGCAATGGATGGCCAATTAATATTACTACACGAATTGAGCAGGTCATGGACAGCATGGTTGATGCCCAAGCAAATGCACTTTTAGAAAACAAGAGCCTTTGTAGGTGTATCGTCACATACTCGGATGCATGTTATTAATGGTTTGTCTCCACTGGCATCTGCTCGTCTTTGGATAGGGGGTAGATAGACATCAAACGGCTCGAATCTATTATACACAACCCATACATTCTATTCACGATACTGCCAAACATCGAGGGCCGAATCAAACCTAAGGTGTTGCACGACCGGGCCATCGTGGATACAGCGAGCATTCCCTGGAAGGCGTCTGTGTCAATGTGATTTTCTTTATCAGTCCTGATTGATACATACCTCACGGTGAATCGGTTGGCCAGCCATGCAAGCAAACGCTACACCAGACATGTCAGCCATCACGTTTTTGCGCAAAAATAAAGAGAGACCTGACCTCGACACCCAGTCCGTACCCTCCATGCTGGCAAGTACCATATTTGCGTTGGTCAGTGAACCAGTAATAAGGGGCAGGGTCGATGCCATCGCGCTTGTACGCTGCCAGTAGCTCTTCCATATCCGCTATCCTCATCGATCCACCTATCGCATATTTAGTCATAGGTAGTAGCACACGGCAGTTCAGAATTTCACATACCAACAATTTCCCCAACACCAGGCATTAAAAGGTCACAGCTCTCTGTGTATACAGGGCCCTGCTCTCCCTCTTTCCTTGGCATCTTTTGCATGTAGAATGCCTTCAGCTCCGCTGGGAAGCCATACAAAAATATTGGCGCCGCAATGATATCCGTCATCTGCCTCTCCGCAGCCTCCGCAATGTCGTCGCCGATTTCATGGTCGACCATCACGGGCTCGTCTTTACCAGTCTCCTCATCTTTCTTGGTGATCACGTTGCCGTCGGCGTCCTCAGCCGGGCGTTGGATCTTGTGCTCGTTGAGCCATGCGATGGCGGACGCGTAGGACATACGCATGAATGGTCGAGAAGGCGCTTTAAAGTGAGGGTTCAGGGTTTTGATAAGGGCTGCGGTGGCAGGGTTGACGAGGAGCTTATCGACCGTCTCGCAGATCTGCAGATGCACTGAGCAGAAATTTCGGAAGATACAGCAGTAGGACGTACAATGGCTTCTATGTGTGTCATGAGGTCATCAAATGTGATGAATGCAAGCTCGGCTTCAAGGTGCGTGTACTCGCTCAGATGTCGGCGAGTGTGACTGGGGAAGGACGAAATCAATCATTAGAATGAAAACACAGTCCGGCGAATGGGAAGGTAGCACAAACCTGTTTTCGGCACGGAAGCTCTCCTGGACACAGAATACGTCGCCCAGGGAAGGTAGACATGTTTCAAGATAAAGCTGGGAGCTCTGCGTGAGGAAGGCTGGTTGACCGTAGTAATCAAACTTGAAGAGCGTTGCGCCACCCTCCACTTGGGTTTGTACCAAACAGGGCGGTGTTACCTCCAAAAGGTCGTTGTCTGCATACGACTGACGGAAAGCTGAGAGAAGGGCCGCACGTAGGCGAAGCACAGAAGAAGCGGTCTCGCCACGGAGAACGAGATGCCGGAGATCAGCCAGAATCGATGGATCAGATTGCTGAAGATACGGTTAACACATGTCCAATGAATTAGTCAAACGACTCGGACCTCGTTGAGTCTGTTAGTAAATGCTTCCTCAGCACCAGGAGCGGCACCAAGTACGCGCCAGTAGTCAACGACTAGTTCGTGTCCTCCAGGGGCGCGCTGGCCTTCAGGGACCGCCTTCAGCATACCGGTCAGCTCAACTGATGCCTCTAGCTGTAACGTTACAGCATCGTATGTTTTGTTCTGGGGGGCGAATTAGATCTAAAGTCCAAAACTGTGGACTGCAAAAGTTACCGCGTTGCCAGTAAGAACAGCCTGTAGATATCCTGTCCCGTCCCGCAGGACAACAAACGTGATTTCTTGCTGGTCGCGCCGTCTGTGGACCCAACCGGATACCCGGACGCGCTGCTCGCGATGGGACTCCAATTTTACGATCTTGGACTATATAATTTGGAAATAAGCGGCGTAATCACAGCTCCAAATTAACGACGCTGATACCTTGACAGGTTTTGGGAGAGATGGATCTTCAGTAAGCACGATCTTTTTGCTTTCCTCAAGCCTTCGTTCGCGTTTCTCTGCCTTCTCTTTTGATTCTCTCTCTTCCGCTTGTGCTTTCAGCCGTTTCTTCTCAAGTCCCTGGGCGTCCTTTTTGGCCTTTTTCATCGCAGACTGAGTTGGTGCATCGTATGCTGCATCTGCGTCCTTACGGATTTGGTATTGTGTCGTTTCGGCGTCGGCGGTGGGCGTCGAGAAGAGGGCGAAGGCAAGGGACTGATAAGGTTGATCAACGGACCCATTGCCGGACGCGTCGACGCCTGATGTTTGATCTATGTATATTGTCAGCATTGAGGGTATCTCAATTAAAAGCCCTGAAGAACTAGATGGTGGTATGAGTTAAGGACTTTCTACAGTACAGATCAGTACACATTTGAAAGTCAGTGACTCGTATAGATCAACGGTCCTGATTTGGTTTATCTACTGTCGCATCTGATAAGATCTCATAACGCGTAGTGACCTAGAGAATAGAACACAGGCAGCAAGCAATTGCTGGCAATAGTCTCAATCGATGCATCATGCATCATGGTCTAGGTCGTTCGAAACACGCGTTCCAGCTGTGGTTGGTCGGTCTTGAAATCTCTAAGAACAAATTGGCAGCTTGAAATCGCTAGGATATATACTCAGGCTGAATGTAAGATATAATCTTGCATCACTGCAGCGAAAGTGAACAAAGACCAATAATATTAATGTGAATACCCAGCCTTGTTGAACCATTAACCGGTATAAGTTCACCGTATAACCCATGGTACATCAGCATATCCAAGTAAAGAGAGGAAGGTATATACATATATGCATGCACAGCTGTAGAAGATACATCCAAAGCATTAGATACGAAAGCACAAAAGCCGATCAATGATGCCAGGACCCAACTCAGACATACTTGGCAGCGAGGTGGCTACCGCCTCCCACCTTTGATCATTCCTACACCAGTGACGTCGTCTCGTACAGTGTCCCATTCTAGATCCATTGGGTCGTCAGCGCTGTCAGGTAACGCTGGTTGTCGTGCTGCGGACGTTGATTTGTCGTCTCCACACCCGCAGTCATACGTTTCATCAAGGTGGGCACAGTCAAATAACGGTTTTCCTAACCGCTCGTTGACTTTGTTGTGTACTGAGCACAGCCTAACCTCGTGTAAGCGGCGAGACTCAGATTATTAAAAAAGGGAGTAGTTTCACCATAGACTTGCTGCCAATCTCGATCCTGTCTGTTGAATGCTTCTTAGCAGGCGAAGTTCAAAGTTAAAGAGAATTTACCTGTGGCGGGAATTTCTTCAACAATTCTTGAAATTCGGCTGCGCATTCGCCACAGGGGTATAGGCGCGACGTAAGATGCAAATACGAATTCAAAGCATCTCTCTCGTCCTGTGACGGGCGCTACATATGTGATCTCGTCAGTATAGTCGATAGACTTAAATATCAAACACACCCTACCTCAGGATACCGTAGAGTCATGGTATGTCTACCTTACACAATAAGCAACAGCGTTCAGCAGACGTCCATGATACAATAATCCGAATACATACAACAACTTCCAAGTCGCGCGACCGAGTTCCGCCCTGTAGTAAGTGTGTAAGACGCAATGGAACAGCATCTCGCATTACCTACTTGGCAGTTTCATTCCCCAGCTTCGACATGATGACACCTCCCTGAGCTGATAAAGGTCGTGAGCTATCATAAAGAGGAGGGCGTAGATCTTGTTCGACGCCGCCTTCACCGAATAAGTCGCCAGTCCATGGGTCGATGTACGCACGAGAAGGTGGGTGAAGGAATGCTATTGTGGCCAGCAGAAACTGAAACAATTATTTTCGAGAAGCTCCAGGACAGTGTTAAAACACGTACGAGGCCAAGGACAATCGCCAGAAAAGACTTTGCGAACCGGGAAATCATGATGTGTGCACAATGAATGTTAATGAAACCTTCAATGGAACCGAGCAAGACCTGAAGAGGGTCTGTCTGAAAAAGGCAAGTGGAATTACATAAAGCTCTCACTAAATATATTATCACTAAGACGATCATCGATGCACTTTACTAGCCTTATGACCTGCTAGACTAGTCATTGCAAAGTGTTCCAAAATGTTCTACGTGATTGGTCTCGGACTCTGCGACGAGAAGGACATCACAGTCCGTGGATTGGAAGCAGTCAAATCCTGCTCTCGAGTCTACTTGGAGGCCTACACGTCCATCCTGATGGTGAACAAGGACCGCCTCGTCAGTTTATCATCATACCATTCTTCTCTCACTGCTCACATGCGAGCAAGGAAGCCTTCTATGGAAAGTCGCTTATCCTTGCAGATCGCGACATGGTAGAACTCGAGAGCGATGAGATCTTACGCGACGCAGCCACCGAAAACGTTGCGTTTCTTGTCGTTGGCGATCCATTTGGGTGAGGCCGTCCTGTTCCCCTTTCTTGTCTGCATTGGCTTATTAGCCATCCGCAGCGCGACAACGCACACAGATCTGCTGCTACGAGCTCGCGATCTGCAGATCCCTACTCAAATCATCCATAATGCATCTATCATCAACGCAGCGGGATGCTCGGGGCTTCAGCTCTACAATTTCGGGCAGACAGTATCTCTCGTCTTCTTTACAGACACATGGAAACCAGACTCGTTCTACGACCGCATTGCAGAGAACGCCAAGTTCGGGCTGCATACCCTGGTACTTCTTGACATAAAGGTAAAGGAACAAAGCGAAGAGAATCTAGCGAGGTGCTTATATTCCTCACCTTCTTTGGCCCCTTTAGTTTCTGATTTATTTTGAAACGCAGAGGAAGAAAAATATACGAGCCGCCACGATATATGTCCATTCCTACAGCTGTGAGCCAGCTTCTCGAGATCGAAAACATTAGAAAAGAAGGTATCCTTGATGGCGATTCGACACTCGCTGTTGCACTATCGCGTGTGGGCGGCATACCCTCCAGCGAAGGATCGACAGATGATGACGACGGTACTCAACGTATCGTCGCAGGTACTCTCTCAGATTTACAAGTCCAACCAGAGTCTGTATTTGGAAAACCACTTCACAGCCTCATCATCGCCGGCAAGAAATTGCATGAGTTGGAGGCGATTTATGCAGGCGCCTTTGCTGTTAACCAGGAGAACTGGGATCGTATCGCAAAAAAACATCTTAAGGTGAAATAATCATAGACAATATCACATTATAACATGCATCCCGTCCGATTTAGCAAATTTTTCATAGCACGTCGGTGAGTGAACATTGTGATGAGCACAGTCGCAGTATTTAGGCCAAGGCTCTCAATTACTTAGAGCCATTGGAAATCTGGGCTCCATGCTGGAACGTCTGGCACCAATGAAACTATACACATATGATACAAAAACATCGAGACAGCAACGACGGAAAACAATAAGATAAGTTTGCCAGTTGGGCAGTGAAAAAAGCAAGACTCAAACCTAAAACGCCACACCCTGTCCAGAAACTTCAAATTACATATACATTTTCCTTCTTCATTTGATAACCATCTAATTTGCGGAAGTACTCAAGGCGCGCTAGACGCTCCTCTTCGTATCGCTAAGAGTTAGGGAAACAATTATCAGCAAGAAGCAGTCTTCATGAACATAGCTATAGCGAACCTCGCGGGTATCATCTGACATTTCCATCAAGTCATTGAGAGGCTTCCCTTTCTCTTTGCCCTTACTCCGAGGCTTCAAGGACGACTTTTTGACACCCTTTGACACGGGTTTTCTGGGGGCACTTGATGATGGCTGTGCCCTCGATGCAGGCTTCCTCCGCTTCGGCTGCTCCTCATCACTATCACTGTCACCCACAAGATCGGCAGCCATCCTAACCCTTCCTTTAGCCCCAGTTTTCGCTACGGCAGCTCCCCTCCGTGTAGTCGCTCTACGCGGCAAGAGTTTCTCCAAGTCCTTGCATGCCTGTCTAGGGCTCAGCGAAGCAACTTCTTTAGTAGTGCGGACACGTTTGCGAGGCTTGAGCATGTCACCCTGGGCTTTCCCCTTCCCTTTCGCCTGTGCACGTGTTGTACGTTTAGGAACAGGAGTATGTTCATCCGCTGTCTCCGGGCAATCTGACGGTGTTTGGGGTCCTCTAGCGGCTACGCTAATCTTCACAGGTGATGGGCTGGATACTACGTCGCTGGAGGCGGGAGTGGCAGCTTCAACATCACGTTTACGTTTTCGCGGCGTACGGAGGGGATCGCGGCTGTGTGTTGGATGGTCTCGTAAAATGTCCAAGCGAGGTTTAAGTAGGGTTGGGACTACTATCTCCGAGCGAAGGGAAGCAGGGGAAGACGATGGTGTTGGGATATGCGAATGACGCAGGATCGGCGCAGGGACTGGAATAGATGTCGTGATTGGTTCGTCGAGATAGAGATCATCGATGTCTTCATCGTTTGTCGGGATGGGGACTGAGGAAGCGGCTGGGCGCGTTGGAGTAGACGTAGCGCGATTAAGCTGTCCTCTGGTACGTGTGGAACGTGGTGTGACGCGTAAAACAGTAGATTGAACGTATTTGTGCTTCTCGCTTGGTAGACGTGCAGCGCGTCGTTCTTTCAGTACCTTCTCGGCCGCTAAAAAACCGAATGGGTCTGAATCACCACTTCTAGGGTCTATCTCTTGTGTATGACGATAAAACGCAGTCATGTTATACTCGTAGGCATTAGCATGCGATGTTGACGCGTAGTTCTGCGGTCCATATGTGGAAGTAGAAGCGAGCGGCGAGCTGGGAGGGAGTGGTGATGTTGGCTGCCAGTTGGGCGGGTTGGCTGGGAACGCGAGGCTTTTTGGTTTCTTTGGCCGTCGAGGTGGTTTAAGGTTTGCAAACGCGGGAACTGCTTTGATCGGAGATGGTGAAGGTGGATGAAAAAATTCATCAGTGATGTCACGAAGCGCATCTTCATGAGAAGGCGTGCGAGGCGGATTTGCCAGCGAGCGGGGTGGTGGTGGTATAGAAATGCTGAATGAGTTTTCGTCGGCCCCATACTCATTGTCCCTATCACCAATGACAAATATATTCTCGTCATTCTCTTGCTCCATCTCTGAATCAGAGTTGAGCAGCTCTTTCTCGACTTGAATCTCTGCTATCTCCTCGCTTTCGTGGGCTGCCTGAGCTCGTTGTCTGCGCGTTTTTGGTGCCATTGTCGATGTTGTGGTGCAAGGGGCGTGGGAACGTGAGGACAATGGGGAGAAGGCCAAATGCGCGATGTGGTGTCACGTGAATTGAGTTTCCTTTTTTATTCATGAGTATTCACAAACCGGCTACCAGTCGAGTGATCCGGAAGTGACGGAAGACACAGTCTCTGAAAACCTTGACATGCACCAGGGCAGATCCGTTAGGAATTCACGCTCGTGTGCACACGGATTATCAAATGGTCTGATATCCTATATTAATTCACAACAGACTTCAGCAATTACTGGGTCCCATTCATCATTCATATACTAGGTGCGAGCATTATATTGCACACGCTGCAGTAACAGATCCCCTGATTTTACCATCTCAGAAATTTATCATGCATGCACAGATGTTATTCTCTACGTCTCGTACTCGCGTAATTGTCTCGATCGCCCGCTTCCAAAACATCGGCCAGCGGTGTATGAGCGTCCGCCCATTAAAATATGAGCATCTCACAAACACACTTGGTGAACCTTCCCCACAGAAACCAGCTCCACCGCCTCGTAAGTCATTTTTTACTTCAAATCGCGGACTCGATCTCTCATCATGCCCAACAGCCCGCAAAAAGGTAACAATCGCCTCTCTGCATGCCCTCCGTCAAGAACGCACCCCGATTACTGTACTCACAGCATATGATTATCCCACTGCACGTGCTGCATCCATACACGGCATTGATGTCACACTTGTCGGTGACAGCCTAGCCCAGGTTTGCCTAGGCTATTCCAGCACTACTTCACTCACTCTTGATGAGATGCTTCACCATTGCCGCGCCGTCGCCCGGGGAACATCCGCACCGCTCCTTGTCGCAGACATGCCGTTCGGAAGCTTTTATGCCGGGAAAGAAGACACGGTTCGAGCAGCCGTCCGCATGCTCCAGGAGGGAAACGTGGAAGCCGTGAAACTAGAGGGAGGGAGTGAGATTGCTGGACGTGTGCAAGCACTCACGAGTATTGGAATCCCAGTAATGGCCCACGTAGGGCTGCTACCACAGCGTCACACCGCGCTCTCCGGGTACCGGGTCCAGGGGCGCACTGCGCAGTCTGGTAGATCAATTTTGCACTCGGCCCTCGCCTTAGAGGAGGCAGGAGCATTCTCCATTGTTCTCGAGGCCATCCCTTCATCTCTTGCTGCATACATTACATCGCGGTTAAAGGTGCCCACTATTGGCATCGGTGCGGGCCCGGGCTGCAGTGGGCAGGTGCTCGTGTGGGACGACGTAATGGGGACATGGGCGGGGCACAAGGCAAAATTTGTGAGACGGTTTGGGGATGTTAAGAGCGAGGTCGAACGAGGTGTAAAGGCATATGCTAGTGCTGTTCGAGATGGTAGCTTCCCTCAACACGAAAAGGAGGGTTATGGGATGGATGACGGAGAGATCGAGAAGCTATTGGAAATGGAAGGTGACCGGGAGTGGACGTGGAGCCCTCCGAAATTGATGTAAAACTGACCAGATGCTTCAATATTTGTAGCCTTGCAACTGTCATTAATTGGGATGCCGAGGTGCAAGTACTATGCTGTACTATGATGGATTACAAGTTAGTTTATACTTTTTTAATTCGGGCGACTTATTGCTTCGAGACATGTTGAGGAATCACGGGAAGATTAATTCTACGTTGTTACCCGCACATAGAGGAAACCGATGTATAAAAAACATACAAGGGGCTGTCGAGTCTCGATGCTGAACTCGAAAATGAAATCGAGAACGAACGCGACGGAGCCCATATCTTACTCAAGTAAGTGGGAGTTTAAACCTGGTTTGAGGTAAGTATATCACTGTCCTCAACCTGCGATACGATGTGCTGGAGCAGTTCAAGCAGTTTCTCAATCTAGCACCATTAAATCCCTCTCGAAAACTACCGGTATACAATGTCGCATTGCTCGCTGCCTGACCAAAAAATCACTCACCAGTTTGCATCCGCCTCAATATTCTCCAAGGCATAGCCAACTAGAAGTTGAAAACAGTAATCGTTCAGAAGAGTGGTGGTATTAATGTCCGCCTCATCAATATCGCGGAAGGTGAAGACACCTTCTCTTGAAGTGGAAGTGGATGCGCGATACCTCTGATTACTCTGCAACTGTGACCCAATCCCGTATCAGCACCAGCCGAACCTGTTGACAAACTTGTCAGTACGAATGCACACATTTTTTTTGGGTAGGAGGGGGACTCACTTCTCGTTATACACCCACTCTATATTCCCTGTCGCTCCAGGTCCATACCACACTATCTGTGGCAAATGTTCGTTTCGTATAACCGTCCGCCCACCCGTCCTCTCCGCAATGTCCTTCAATCCTTCTCCCAATTTCCACACCTCTACTTTCCCAATTCCGCTGCGTCTAGCCGCCTGAGTGATCTTCGCAATTAGCCCAGGGAACGTCTCTTCACTGGCACAGAGCCGCGTAATGATTAGCGTTGGTGGAGGAGGTCTGAAGTCCACGCTCCAGCTTGCATACGTGTCTGGGTCGTTCAAAGACTGTATACCCCAGAATCCACCTACCATAGAAACGTCCGAAGCGTATGTCGAGCGTGGGATGTGGAACCCACAGACACCGTTTGTTGGCAGGTACGTCACAAATGCTGCCGGGCGCTGCACCTCATACGAGGTGTCGCTTGTCAACATGTTCGCCAGCTCTTTATTGATCCGCCCAGCATCGCGATCCCAAAGTCCGTTCAGCTGCTCCTGCGTCAACCACGTCCACCCAATATCATCATCATCATTCCGCTCCTCTGTATCCACGTCCCAAATAGTCGAAACGGCTCCCCGCGTCTCCCATCCACCCTCTTTACCCCCAGGGCCTGCGGAGCGGTAAAAGTATTCTCCGACATCACTATACAGGCAAGAGAACAGTCCCTCACTAGCTTCCGTTACCTGCTCCGGTGGTGCGCCCCATGCTTGTGGGAACTTGGGGAGATTGGCACGTGAGGCAATGACCCAATATAAGAGGCGCATCATGTGGCTCGCATAGCCGCGCCCGCGTTTGGAGGGTGGGGTGAAGACACTGGCAATGGCGTAACAGGTTACTTCGTGCACTGAGTTGGGCTCAGAAGTAGAAGAGGAGGGGTAAGCAACGAGACCTGAGCGTTTGAATCTGTCCCCATAGACGCGCGTCAGAGAAATACACGTTTATTGAGAGTATTCGAGTCGCTTACGCCTCACAGGAACACATGAAATCAAGAGTAGTTGGGTCATCCCGTGGCGCCAGCACCCTTCCTCTCCCATTAACTTCTTCCCTGCCGGGCCCCGGCACAATGGGTTGCTTACCAGGTGATCAGTCTTCCATCCTTTGCGTGATCCATGGATTCCATCTCAGCCTCTCGCGTGAGGTACTCTGTGAGACTCAGAGTGCCACCCCATTGTGGCCACGTTCGGCGCCATGACCCCTCAACCTGTGCACGTGTCGCGGGGAAGAGTGAGAGTGACGCAAAATCTACCCTTGATTCTATCATCGGTGATCAATGGTCTTTGCAACGCTGAGCTGGTATTGAGGGCACTTCGCTAGTGACTTGATTGAAGTAGGCCTCATCGGGATCCAACACCTCTTAAGTAAGCAAGGTTGAGTTATTCTACTCATCATCAAATAGCATCCACATCATGGTCGTTCAACATCATAATGAGTTCAATTAGAGAGATAATGATATCTATGCTAAGAATTTTGTGTTGAAGTAGCTAAAAATACGAATTTTGTGAAAGTGCCGACTTCTGTGGGGTGCCGATTGCAGTGGAAGGGATAGTAGCATCCACATGAAACCAATCTGCACCAGATGTAATTCCCGGAAAGATTCTTATGAAGCTCCTCTTGAAGGCCCAGGAAGAATTTTTAATTTTGGATCAGAACTCTGGAGAAATAAGTCAAATATTAAAAGTGTCAAATGGCTTGGAATATCATTCCCGTGTGCTGCAGCAGCGAGAGAAACAAGAGAAACACTCTTCGAAGTATTTGGCAATGACGCAAGATAGGACTCTGACTGGTTAGACTACCCTAACAAAGAATCGATGGTTGCGCTGATCGCTAACCTGAGAGCTCACTGCACACTGACCACCCTCACAGGATGGGATGCATCAACACCGAAATTGCACACAACAGAGCCACAATTCTTGCTAAAGTAGGGATGAGCAAAATCCAACATGATGATGTTGAAATGAGGATAAACCCACCTCTAGAGCTGACGGGCATGAAACTGTGTACCGGCACACAACGCTACAAAAATATAAGGAAGTCTCAGATAGCTCCAAAACGAAGGAGACTAACCACGGTGATGACACTTAATATGCAGCGTGCGACATAAGCGGTGAAACACCCAGTCTGGTTATCGATCAGAATTCCCACAATCATTCGAGGATTTCTGTGGAAAAATCTGCATGTGCCGTAGAAAATGGGTGAATTCTGGGACAAAATCCCCAACTGCGAAAACAGAGGAAAAAGTGGCTTATATGACTTACCTGAGTCTATGGAACATATCCTGATCGATTGTGATAGATCGTCTGCGTCTTGTATCATCTGGAGAGCGGCCAGTGACCTATGGTGCATGCGAGAGTCGAACTGGCCAGAAATCCGCTTCGAAACGATCCTAGGGTGTAACTTAGCAGTTCTCCGCAACACGAAAGGTAAAAAGAAACCGGGGGCAAAGATGCGAACGGCCATCAATGCATCAAGTATGGAGGAGATGAAGAAAATATCGCTCTGAAGCCGAGATCCTACACAGACGGATCCATGCCATCAACATGAGATTGAAACTCGACCGGCTGCTCACCGACTCAATAAGAAAGCTACTAAAATAGACATAGTCCTACAGACTTGGAGCGGCTTCCTACAACCTTCCGGATAACTGGATCCGACAAGCAGGGGTATGACACCTCGCCGTCCCTCGGGACGGAATAGGTAGTTCCGAACAAGGTGTAATTATGTAAGTTCCACACTTACATGAAGTATTTCCTCTCGGTGACCTTTTTACTATCTAACACGGGTGAAAATCGCGTACCCCAAACGTATCTTCTAGGATTGACCATGTCAGTTGCTAGTTGATAATATCATTCCACCCCCCCAAAAAAACAATGAGGCAAGAGTCACGAGGCTGAAATTTTCGACCAGTGTTGCGAATCAACTTGGTTGAACAAGTCTAACCCCGATTTAAACGATCACCGAGGTGACAATTTCTGAACCGATTGTCCCGGACTTTGACAAACCTCGAAATTACTTGAAACTCTAATCTTAAATCCGAACGCGCAGTAGATGGTCCTTTGCCCACAATGGAGTAACAGTACGTCATTAGCCTATTCGCCATGCCCGTGAATCAACCCGAGATTGATATCCACATAGTCCTAGAACACATGGCGCAGCCTCACTAGTACTAATTGCATGCTTATAATGGCTAGTTTGAAATTAATCAGAATTATATCAACAGGGATCCCAGTACCTCTGGAGTTGTCTCATCTCCATGTCGCTAATCCTATTCTGCCTAGTCGGAAGCTTCTTCCTCGCTCTCTTTAAAGTCTTCAATTCGCTACTGCGACGACCGCATGGCATTGATCTCAATGGACCCGACAGGGGGAATTGGCTATCAGGTTCTTGAACCACGTACTCGTCATTATTCGGCTTCTTCGTCTGACCTCCAACATAGGCAACATTATCAGACTGTTTGATGGCGTTGACTATTGTGTGAACCTTTCAGAGAAATATGGTGGGGCGGTGAGACTCCATGGGCTATATGGCGTAAGTCTGTTCACGACGCCCATCAGCGTGCTCCGAGTTGTCCTTGCGAATGCTCATTTCTTTAGGAAATTGTCTATGTGTCCGATCCACGTGCATTGCATCACATTGTAGTCAAAGACCAGCAAATATTTCAAGAGCCCGAAGACTTCATCGTGTCAGTTTCCTCCTACTTTTCTCGTACTGCATTAACTTGGTGCATCAAGGTCAAACAAACTTGTATTTGGCGAAGGCCTGATATCCACCATTGGTGCGGCACATCTCGTCAAGAATCAATTACTTTTCTTTTAACATTACGTACTTATCCCCAGGAGAGCAGCATCGCCAACAACGCAAACTTATCAGTCCCGTGTTCTCAACGTCAAACATGCAACGACTCCTCTCCACAGTATATCACATCACTGATAGACTGGCATCCACCCTCGCAGCTAAACTTCCTGCCGATGGCTGTACGTATCACACTCTTACACTTAGAAAAACCTCAGTTGATACCTGTCACGCAGCACACAGCGAGGTTGACGTCCTTACATGGCTCTCCCGCTGCGCCCTCGACAGTGTTTGTCATTGTGTCCTTGGGTACACCTCCGATAGCCTCTCAGCTGCAGAAGATGACATGTACACTGAAGCACTGCGGTCGGTCGGGTGCGTCCGCTCAATTTAGTCTCCCGTTGTTTTGAGTCATAACAATACATACTGCAGGCCCTTAATAGGAAATCTCTGCTTGTTACGGCCGTTTGTACTAATCGTCATGCGTTGCTGCTCGCCGTACTGGGCAAGGAAAGTTCTTGATTTGGTCACGGCGCCCTGGATCCCGACAAAGTTTATGAGAGACATACGGGAGATGCGCCGCATTGTTGAGACCATGGATTCTGTCAGTCGAAATGTATTTGCAGAGAAAAAAGCGGCAATGGAGGCGGAGGATATGTTATGTGGAGACAGTGATTCGATACCATCGATGATGGATATCATGCGTGAGTTCCATGAACCATAATTGAGAGCATCATGGCTCAAGCATGCACAGTTAAGGCCAATTCCGCATTATCTAGTGCAAAGCTCACGGATGCTGAACTGCTGGGACAAATGAAGTAGGTTTCTAATAATGTGCGCGTTCCAAACATCGTCTGATCACATTACAGCGTCATGGTATTTGCTGGCCTCGATACGACTACTTCTGCACTTGCCCGCTGTGTGTACTTGCTCGCCCAGCACCCTCGCGTTCAAGCAAGACTTAGGAACGAAATTAGTGATGTCATGAAGTTCTCGAGACAACAGGAAGACAACGACATCCCATCCGCTAAACTGCCCTATGACGTCCTCATGAACCTCCCCTTCCTTGACAGCATCGTAAAGGAGACTCTCCGTCTCTACCCGTCCCTCCCACTCATGATCCGAACGTACGTCCATTTTTCTCTTATTAGTCCTCGCATATATATCACCTTGTGCATGGTACAGAGCGACCAAAGCAACCACCCTTCCTTTACATTTCCCCACACGCTCACGGTCCGGTGAGCACACATCTGCCGTCACAATCCCACAGGGGACCCATGTAATCATCTCCATCCTTGCTGCGAATCGCCATCAAGGTATATGGGGTGCCGACGCAAATGAGTGGCGGCCCGAGCGATGGTTGTCATCACCTCTGGCTGTTCCTCCAGACACGGACATCCTGGCCGGTGGAGAAGATGCCATGTCCACGTCGACATGTGCGCCTGTTCTGGGCATTAAGGATGGTGTGCGGTTTCCTGGCGTGTACTCTAACATGTGAGTACTGATAATGCTTCCGGTTCCCACTGAGTTTATTAAAGTGGCATGCATACACAGGATGACGTTTCTCGGTGGCAGCCACTCCTGCATGTCAGTCCCTTCCTTCTCATGACCTCCTTCTGACTAATTACACAATTCGCGATTCCTAGCGGGTTCAAATTTGCCGAAATGGAAATCAGTACGTCCATACCTTTAGGTGGGTGACAATTCGCAGTCAGAACTAACCCTCTCGCTAGAACAGGTCCTCACGACGCTTGTGCTGCGCCTGCACTTCTCGCTCCCGACGGAGCGGAATGCACAAGGGCACGTGAAGGAGATACAATGGAAGCTCAGGGGGTTTCATATCCCTGTTGTGGAGGCCCCTGCTGGGGATGGCGTGACACCGCAGGTGCCTCTGAATGTGCGGCTGGTGAGGGACGATGATTTTGTGTGGTAGGTTACGATATGTTAGAGTCGGGAGAGGCATCGTGGACGGCCAGTGGGACGCAAGTTGTTATTGAACCTCATGGTAGGTCTGACGGTAGGGATGATCAACAAATAGAGATCACATACAACAAACTCGTCTGTCGCGGCTTGTCTTGTAAAAAAAATTCTGTGCGAGTTTGCATCCACTGTAGAATATTTCTTTTGTGCATCACTATATAGTATATTGTCGTCTGTCTTGTCCTGCAAAAATAGCATCTGTGTCTGTGTGTATGACATGTTGCAGATGTCAAAAAGCTGTATATATTAAAGATAGTTTGAGTGGTGTGTAAGCAGATGGCTACTGTACCCACCAGGTTACATGTACTTACATTGTGTATAGATATGCTTGCTCACCATCAGTGCCCTACTTCACAAAATATTGAGACATGGTCAAGACACTAGCTGATGAAAGTATTCTCCATGTCTGAACTGCCACATGCATGATATGACACTCCAAAGTGAACTTCAATAAATTGTGTGATACACCACTGAGTGTGTGACACACAGCATCAAATGCATGATACAATCTTTAGTCAGGCCTTGAAGTCATCTGATGTTGATGTTAGGAATTTTCAAGTGATTCTTAAAGCATAACAAAGTAGTACTAGAGTCTGAGAGCAACAAAAAAATAACTGAAGGTCTGAAAGTTGGCACTAGCAGCATTAGTGACCAAGCCTTGAATCTTTTTAAGGCCTGGCTAGTACTAGTAATGGGTGGATTGTTATTAAGGGAGTGCATCAGGAAAACCCTCCCATTTTAACTTAGAGAAATTTAGAAAAAATTAGTGTTAGTTTGACCTAAGCTTGCTAGGCTAGCAAAATTTTGCAGAAGTTAGACCTAGGCTCTCTAATTTATCAAAATTTGTACATAGCTAGTGCAAAGTCATGAAAGTGTATCTATCCAAGTATGAATTAATGAAGAAATATTTGAACTTGTTAGCACATTAGTAGACAAAATACCAGGCCAAGCCATGGGCCAAAGCTGGGGCTCAGTGTTACAACCATGTACACCCCTATTCATTTTCTCTTCTATTCCTGTGTATTACATCATGAGCTGCATGATGCTGCTGCTAGACTTATCTCTGATTCATACCTTGTATTACATCACAACCACCGCTGCCATCGCTAGATGATCTATTCTTGCTATCGCTTACGCATCCTTTATCTCTGATTCATATCTGTTCTCATGCCTGCCCTAAAGCACTTGTAGTTCACTATAAATAGTCCTCTTGTACGCTTTAGTTCTTTACTTTAATCTTACTAGGTTTTACCCTGAATATCCTTCACTTGAGACCTCCAATCTCTTGTTGTCTGAATTGTACTTTAAGTTAAAGGCACTTAGCTTACACTGAACACTTGACTTATCATCTTGCATAGAATCTCAACAGAGGTCCTTGACTCTTATCGAGTTGTCTGTTGTTAGAACTATCCTACAGTGGCTCAAAGAAGTGTCTTGATGTTTGTGACTTTTTGTGTAATTGCTGTACTATGAGCTAGGGTGTGAGAGTATGACTAAGCCATAGGGAGGTGTGGGAAAGCTCTGCTTCTAAGCTTCATGTTTGATTCCTCTAGCATGAGAAAATTATGTCACCAAGTGAAGATATGGTTAATTTAATTTGGTGACTCATTGAGACACTTTTTTGACTTTCAGTTTGACCAACACAATCTCTATAATTCTGGTACTTGGTGTTTCCTCCTGTTGCTCTAATTACTTCTACCACTCTTCTATGCATAATATCTATCAATTTGAGGCATTCCTCATCAACAATCTTGCCCCACTCTGCTGCAACTCTCTCCCACAGCTGAAATAACCCCTATTGAGGATCTTGATAGACTGCAAGTGATATCTTGAGTAATTACCAGGGCTGTTTAACAGGGTTGAGGTCTGAGGACTGGACTTGCCATGATAGAACATTGATACCATAGTTTTCAAACCATTTTATGGTCAACTTGAAGTATGCTTAGGGACATTATCTTGTTAGAAGGTAATGTTTTCTTCATTAATTCTTAATTCTTGCATGCTTCTGAGCAGATAGTTTTCCAAAATTGAAATGTGCTTTGCATTCATCCTCCCACCCACCTCACAGAGAATTCCTACTCCATTCCACCTCATACAACACCATACCATCAAGTTTCCTACTCCATACTCTAGTGTTTTCTTGACCTTTCTTTCTTCTAGTAGTTCTTTTGCATTTCATTACATATATTCCTAGCTGTCTGGCCCCATCCTATTTATTTTTGTTTCATCTGACCAGGTAGCCCTATTCCAGTCCTCAACAGTCCAATATTGAGGCTTTAAAGCAAAGGCCAATCTCCTTCCTATATAGGCTGAAGACAGGAAAGGCTTTTCTGCCTGTTTACAGCTTTAAGATTGGCTGCCTTAAGAGTACCCCTGACTATTTGAGTGGAGAGAGCAGTGTAGATGATGTCATTAATGAATTTGGTGGCTTGAGTAGCATTGGCAGCCTGCCTAGTTGGAATATTATGAACAAGAGATTTTTTATTATATGATGTAAGCTTGAAAGGACAATCTAATTTGATATTTTTCTTATTTGGAATGACTTTTTATGATCCTCATGATAGTAACCCTGCTCAGACCAGTTTTAGTAGCAATCTGCCTGGTATACAGATTAGAAAAGCTGATGATAATAACAATAGGGGCTATTTCAGCTGTGGGAGAGAGTTGCAGCAGAGTGGGGCAAGATTGTTGATGAGGAATGCCTCAAATTGATAGATATTATGCATAGAAGAGTGGCAGAAGTAATTAGAGCAACAGGAGGAAACACCAAGTACCAGAATTATAGAGATTGTGTTGGTCAAACTGAAAGTCAAAAAAGTGTCTCAATGAGTCACCAAATTAAATTAACCATATCTTCACTTGGTGACATAATTTTCTCATGCTAGAGGAATCAAACATGAAGCTTAGAAGCAGAGCTTTCCCACACCTCCCTATGGCTTAGTCATACTCTCATACCCTAGCTCATAGTACAGCAATTACACAAAAAGTCACAAACATTGAGACACTTTTTTGAGCCACTGTAGTTCATAACACTCAGTAACTGAAGCTTTCAAGAATGAAATGAGTCAAAATTCAATATAAGCATGTTCATAACTGTACAGTACATAGGACAGCACTGAGAGTATGCTGGACATGTAAAATGACTTTAGATAAGACCTCCTGCCGATTGATCATCAATTGCTTGAACTCAACAAAAAAATCAACACACTCACATGACTGTGACATGGCTCAAGCTTGGAGGATCAACATACTCACATCCTGTGAACAGTGAGTAACAACTTTGATGGCACAACCTGGAGGTATCATATGCCATTCCGGACTCTCAACTCTAAATCTGCTTCTCCGGATATCTGGATCCGAGATCCGGATCTCAAATGATCTGATCTATCTTTATCTCCCTTCTGGAATCCAAACCCTATATCAGTGCCCAACCCCATTTAGACTGCCCCTGTCTCCGGACTCTGGTTAACCATGTTTCCCTTTTGATTATTGATCTGTTACATACATTTCATTTCTGGTGTTCATTATTTGTGATCTGTCCTACTTACTAATAGACTTTGCATATGCTTCATACATAGCTTTTATGTTTGCTGACTGATTCCTATATGATACCTACTGTTACGAACTAGGATAGTTGCAACAACAGCTGCTCGATAAGAGCGACGGCTGAAGTTGAATCAAGACCTTACAAATGTAAGGGTCGGTTAAGACAAGTCAAAGAGAGTGTCTCTGACTTGAATATCAGTGTTCAGATGACCTAAGATTGGAGGTCTTAGGCGAAGGAAGTTCTGGTGAAAACCTAGTAGGATTAAAGTAAAGATCTACTAAGTACATGACTGGGTTTATATAGATGTAAGTACTTTAGGGCAGGTACATATGCGTCAGCGATGAGTCAGAGATAAGGGATGAGTCAGAGATAAGGACGAGTCAGAGATAAGGGTGAATGAGTCATCTAGCGATGGCAGTGGCGATCATGATGTAATACAGATATGGTAAGAAGTAAGTCTAGTGATGGCGCAGCAAGGCGCGGTCATGACGTAATACACAAGAGAAGAGGAAAATGAATAGGGGCAAGCATTACTGTAACATTACCCCATGTTTAGGAACGAAGTCACCGACTTCAGTTATCCTGATTGGCCCAGTAGATAGGGTCAGCGTCATAGTTCAAGTATAACAAACCATCCTGCTCCTCAGTGATAGAGGATGACTTATCAGCTAACTCAGCGGCATGGTAGATAGTGTCCTGCTCAATCTCCCAGCGAGCGAGGGCTTCGTAGAAGCTAGGGTCAGTCCATACCAGTAGAATAACCACTTCTCCTTTCAACTCTTTACAAAAGACTGAAAGATGACCAGGTGCATACTCTTTGCAAACCCAACAGTAGTACGCTGGGCAATTCTTATGGCGATGCCCAGCGGTGCGACAGTTGTGACATACAACGTTATTGTCTGGTGCTGTCTTTACCGTGATGACGGTGGACTGTTCAGGGGGAGAGGGGGATCTCAACCATTTGAGCATTTTAACTGGAGAGGTTGATGCAGCCCGTTTGGCGGCGATGTGGGAAGATCTTTGTTTGAGTGGGTATCTTCGTTTGCTATGCATGATGGGGGCAGGAGACAGAGAAGCTGGTATGTCAAGCACAGCAATAGGAGGGATATTATCATCCTGATGCTCAATGGGAGTCGCAGTAGGAACTGGCGGTGGGACTGGAATGGTGATGTGAGGGGATGGGGGACGTGCAACTGGGTCAAGGGCGATGTGTTCTGTGACGATGTGAATGGCTTCTCTGATAGCCTCTTGAGTGTCATCAGGCAAAAGACGAATTGCAGTATTGCGAATACGTATATGAAGGTGACAGAAAATGGTCTTGTGGCGTTCATCATCCAAAAGATTGGTGGTGTGGTCGATAAGGCTGGCGTCTCTGATAATCCTAATAATGAGTCCGCTAGATATTGCTCCTCTTTCTCCAAGGAGGCGATCTATTTCTATAGCATACTGCTGGGATGTAATGGCGGATTTGAACAGTGCGCTGGTTTCAACCTGATCAATGACCAAAAAATAATCAGTGAGAGTGGAGTTGTTGGTGAGAGTGAGAGTTGAGTCGGAAGCTGGTGGGGAGGCTACTGGGGAGGATGCATTGTTGGCGAGGTTGATAGCGGTGGCGGTTTGGTAGTC